ATTTGTATACGGACAATATTTCATATCAAAAGTATAGTACACCTTAATTATCATGTTTATACAACATTCAATCCTAATTTGCATCAAGTGTAAATAAGATTTTCTATGCAAAGTACTTGTAGCGTGTTTTATCCTGTACAATCCGCTCAGCAGAGCGTCACCCATGCATTAGATGCAACACGAGATAAAATGCTCCAAAAGACACTTGAAATACTGCACATCGCCTGACTGTTTTACTTTGATCATTAAATTTCCAGGCAACTTTAAAATCTATCGAAATTTTGGAAATTATTATCGTATTTAATCAATCTTGCTCGGAATCGAATCCACAATTTGACACAACAGGAAAGGTTCTAACAAAGGTTTAATTAAAAGAAATGTAAATATCATTCTTCCAAAAATGTGAAACATTTTCTTCCTTCAGCAAAAAAGTTCGTAAATGAAATGTTCACGTGGTTCCAAAGAGGATTCTGATTGGATGAGGTTGACAGAAAACGATGTGATTGGCTAAGAACCATGATACTGTTCTCTTCCTTGATTCATTACAAAATAATCGTTTACTTCGACACACGATCATTCTGAAGGTTTAAGTTGAGAGATATCACACACGTTGTGTTGATGGTGATCCCGAGGCAACACATGGATCACACAAAAGTACGAATGGAGCATTGCTTTATTTTGTTGAAGGTTATTGCAATCATGAACTACCATGTCCACCCTACGTTCATGGCAGAGAGCTGACCTGTGTCGTCTGTACACAGTAACTAAACCCACAAGGATTTTTCAACACTTGATTAACATTTAACAACACTAATTTAGTATCATCAAAGCTGCACAGTTAACCTCATAATAACCATTTGAAACAACGAGACAATATTAGCAAGAAAAGCACCTTACTTTACTACAAAATATATCGCATTTAATAGCACGTTTTCACAACCTCTGTAATAGTTTTTGTCGCAATAAAATTGGTTGAACCAATAATTGTTTATAGACGTGCTGTTCAGAATGGTGAAGGCTCTTGGTGGATGTTAAAAAAAGAAAAGTCGGAAGCCGGTGATGACGTCATGCCACAGGAATACGAATATATTGCAAAACTAATGTTTCGAAATCATAGTTAATTTATTAGAGCTTTGCTGTCTGATAAATAAACTCACAATAAAGGATTGTCGTTAAAAATAAATTGATGAAATATTTCAAACACTCATTAATTCACGAGCATTCCAACTAAACTATTTCAAAAGATAATCTACAACATGCAATTGTGCTATTTGTGACAAAATGTTTATTATTATATTTATATAGCTAATACTTCATCCTAATTTGCATCAGGTTTGAATACGACTTCCTTTTTAAAATACTTGTAGCGTGTTTTATCCTGTGCAACCATTAGAGCGTCACCAATTACTTTCACTAAACACTTCAATACGAGAAATAAATACCGAAAAAACGCGCCAAAGTTTACTTTTAATCTTTCAATGTCCAGGCAACCTCAAAATTTCAGCGAAATATCGGATAATTACCGTTTCCAATCAATCCTGTTCGAGGTTAAACATCAAGTGGACACAGTAATTATTAAGCTTGACTTCACAAATATATGTAAAAAATTCTCCAAAAATGTGAAAACTGTTCTTCCTTCAGCAAAATAGTTCGTAAATGAAATGTTCACGTGGTTTCAAAGAGGATTCCGATTGGATGAGGTTCACAGAAAACGATGTGATTGGCTAAGAACCACGATACTGTTCTCTTCCTTGATTCATTACAAAAGAATTGTTTATTTCAAAACGCAATCATTATGACGATTTGAGCTGAGAGATATCAAACGTTATATTAGATTTTGTTAAGAAAAAAGTGTAAACCATGAAGAATATTTCGAGTTTTTACTTCGCTCTGCTATGTTTATCGCTGGTTTCCGCCAAGGAAGATGAACGTGAATTAACACAACGAAGGTAATCCACAAGTTTATTACGTTTGATTTTAGCGAACAATATTCAGATTGGCGGTTTTGTCAGTTCTCTTGAAAGTTGTTCGATTGTGCCTAGCTTGGAGTGATAGAAAGATCGCTTGGTAAGAGCAAGTGATTATTCCAGATGATAAAAGACGCTGTCATGTTCTTTTCTTCCAGCAGCGGCCTCGTAAAGCGAACGAGAAATCCATCCTCTTGTACAGGACCTCAAGGATTGCCAGGTCGTGATGGTATGTGGCCTTGTTTTGAAATATCTCATTATGTTACCTCAATATTCTTCTCGGTTTTTACAAATTCTTAAATCACGCTTTCAAGTAATCAGCTCAATTTAGGCTAGAGGCTCCAAATAGGCTCCAAGAAACCAGAAGTTGATATTGTCTAAAATTCCGTTTTCAGGAAAGGATGGTAAAGATGGTAAAGATGGCAGAGATGCCTCGCTACGAGGTACGTTAATTACCTTGAGTCAAAATTGAAGAGTTTCGCCACAAACGACACGTCACATAATCTATCAATTGGTTTAGAAAATATATTCGAGTATTCATATGCAAATGATCCTTTTTGAAAGATGATTGTTGTAATTGCAACCATAATGTTTTAGAATGACAGACATTTTTACAAAGATGATTTATAATTGATTTTGTTTTTCAGGTGAACGCGGAAGAAAAGGTGCTCCAGGACCACAAGGCCCCCCGGGGCCACCAGGAAACGCCTCGCGAGGTGTGGTTTACACCAGATGGGGACGAAAACATTGCCCTTCGAAAAGCATCGAGATGTATTCTGGTAAGAAATCCTATTTTCCGTGAAGCATGCATATTTTGTAATGATCTCCCAAAATCAAATCACACTAATTTAATTGAATCTTCATCACAGGTGTGATGGGAGGATCATATCACAGTGATCCTGGTGGAGCTTCAAACTACCTCTGTCTACCATTGAATCCGATTTTTGAGAAATACGTCGATGGGACTCAAGGGTCGATGTATATGCACGGTGTCGAGTATCAAATTCTTGGTGGACAGAGTACAATATTTCCCAATGCTGATATTCACGATGACAACGCACCATGCGCAGTGTGTCAAGCTAAATCACGTGCTAGTCACATGATGATCCCAGCTCGTAACGTGTGTCCTTCTGGTTGGACAATGGAGTACAAAGGTTACCTCATGGCAGAACGTCTTAATCACAAACGAACCCAGTTCATTTGTGTTGATGGTGATCCCGAGGCAACACATGGATCACACGCTAATACTGATGGAGCATTGCTTTATTTTGTTGAAGGATATTGCAGTCGTGAACTACCATGTCCACCCTACGTTCATGGCAGAGAGCTGACCTGTGTCGTCTGTACACAGTAACTATATTTAACCCACAAGGATTTTTCATCACTTGATTAACATTTAACAACACTAATTTAGTATAATCAAAGCTGCACAGTTAACCTCATTATAACCATTTGCAACAATGAGACAATATTAGCAAGAAAAGCACCTTCTTTTCTACAAAATATATCGCATTTAATAGCACGTTTTCACAACCACTGTAAAGGCTTTTGTCGCAATAAAATTCGTCGGAAGCCGAAGATGACGTAATGCTGACGTATGCCACAGGTATATGAATATATTGTCAACTGATGTTTCGAAATCATAGTTTGAAATTTTAACTATTTATTACATTAAAGCTTTGCTGTCTCATAAGTAAACTCACAATAGAAGATTGTCGTTAAACATAATTTGATGAAATATTTCAAGCGCTCATTAATCTCATTAATTCAGCTAAACTGTTTCAAAAGATAATCTACAACATGCAATTGTGCTATTCGTGACAAAATGTTTATTATTATATTTATGTAGCTAATAGCTTCATCCTAATTTGCATCAAGTTTGAATACGACGTCCTATTTAAAATACTTGTAGCGTGTTTTATCCTGTGCAAGCATTAGAGCGTCACCAATTACGTTCACTAAACACTTCAATACGAGAAATAAATACCGAAAAAACGCGCCAAAATGTACTTTTAATCATTTAATTTCCAGGCAACCTCAAAATTTCAGCGAGATTTCGGATATAATTACTTGTTTAATCAATCCTGTTCGGAATGAAACATCAAGTTGACACAGTAATTATTAAGCTTGACTTAACAAATATATGTAAAAAATTCTCCAAGAATGTGAAAGCTGTTCTTCCTTCAGCAAAAAAGTTCGTAAATAAAATGTTCACGTGGTTCCAAAGAGGATTCTGATTGGATGAGGTTGACAGAAAACGATGTGATTGGCTAAGAACCATGATACTGTTCTCTTCCTTGATTCATTACAAAAGAATTGTTTATTTTAAAACACAATCATTCTGACGGTTTGAGTTGAGAGATATCACACCTTATTTTAAATTTTGCTAAAAAAGTCTACACCATAAAGAATATTTCAAGTTTTTGCTTCGTTCTGCTGTGTTTATCGCTGGTTTTCGCCAAGGAAGATGAACGTGAATTAACACAACGAAGGTAATCCACAAGTTTATTACGTTTGATTTTAGCGAACAATATTCAGATTGGCGGCTTTGTCAGTTTTCTTGAAACCTGTTTGCCAGCGTAGGCAGACTGTGTCTAGCTTGAAGTGATAGAAATATCGCTTGGTAAGAGCAAGTGATTATTCCAGATGATAAAAGACGCTGTCATGTTCTTTTCTTCCAGGAACGGCCTCGTAAAGCGAACGACAAATCCAGGCTCTTGTACAGGTCCTTAAGGATTGCCAGGTCGTGATGGTATGTGGCCTTGTTTTGAAATATTCCATCATTTTACCTCAATATTCTCCTCGGTTTTGAGAAATTCTTAATATCACGCTGTCAAATAATTAGCTCAATTTAGGCGAAAGGTTTTAAATAGGCTCCAAGATACCAGAACTTGATATTGTTTTAAATTCCGTTTTCAGGAAAGGATGGTAAAGATGGCAGAGATGGTAGAGATGCCTCGCTACGCGGTAAGTTTTTTAAATTGAAGACAAAATTGAAGAGTTTTGCCACAAACGACACGTCACATAATCTACCAATTGGTTTGGAAAATATATTCAAGTATTCATATGCAAATGAATTCTTTTTGAAAGATGATTGTTGTAATTGAAACAACAATGTTTTAGAATAACAGACATTTGTACAAAGATGATTTATAATTGATTTTGTTTTTCAGGTGAACCCGGGGTAAAAGGTGATCCCGGACCACAAGGCCCCCCGGGGCCACCAGGAAACGCCTCGGGAGGTGTGGTTTACACCAGATGGGGACGAAAACATTGCCCTTCGAAAAGCATCGAGATGTATTCTGGTAAGAAAATATTTCATTTTATAATCGGTCGTAATATTATTCAGCCTCGTTCTTCTCGCTAGAATGACAACCCTAGAGTTAAGTTTTCAATCTTCATCACAGGTGTGATGGGAGGAACCTATTTCAATGATGCTGGTGGAGCTTCAAACTACCTCTGTCTACCATTGAATCCGATTTTTGAGAAATACGTCGATGGATTACAAGCGTCAACGTATATGCACGGTGTCGAGTTTGAAACGATAGATGGACAAAACCAAATATTTCCAAACACCAATATTGACGATGACAACGCACCATGCGCAGTGTGTCAAGCTAAATCACGTGTTAGTCACATGATGATTCCGGCTCGTAATGTGTGTCCTTCTGGTTGGACAATGGAGTACAAAGGTTACCTCATGGCTGAACATGATTATCACAAAGGACGCACCCAGTTCATTTGTGTTGATGGTGACCCCGAGGCAACACATGGATCACAGGCTGATACGAATGGAGCATTGCTTTATTTTGTTCAAGGTTATTGCAATCATGCCCTACCATGTCCACCCTACGTTCATGGTAGAGAACTGACCTGTGTCGTCTGTACACAGTGAACAGACATACAATGATTTTTCATCACTTGATTAACATTTAACTAGAAATACATGCATGCAGCAACCCCTCGCTATTTCAAACCAAGTACACAATTTCCTGAGTTAACCTGACCTAAACTTATATTATGAAATGACACAAAACTCAAATCAGTCTTATTATATTTTACCGAGTATATTATAGCTAATGTTTCCATCATTCAATACAAAAATAATCATAAAGCTAGTGTAAACATTGCCTGTTCAATTTTGCTGCATTATACCATGCCAGCAATTAAGTAACGGTTTAAAATCGAAGTTTCAAACGATTAAAACAGTACAAAATCTTCACAGACAAAGAAAAAACTTCAAATGTTATTTTATTCTGTAATTGCAGTCGACGCCGGCGGCTAAAAGTTTTATACTTTATAAATAGTGTGTATTTTTGATACCAAAATTCAAATTACACTTTCAAAAACACTTTTTGAAGTTAAAGCAAAGGTGTAATAGCCTTTCACAGGTTTATGCGTTTGCATAAAAAGCTGAAAATTTTACAAATAAACGCCATACAAAGCTGAAAAGTATACAAATACGGCTTTCTTATCGCGAAACAAATACGAAATAAACAAAGTAAACACGTACCCTTTGTCTTTGAAAACATTTATAAGTTTGCAGATTATGAATTATTCCTCTTACACGGCTTTGTCTTGACCGTATCCACGTTCATCTTTGCTAACTGTCATGCTTCATATATCTTGTTTCTTCTCGTTTTACTTTCTTTGCACAAAGTTTATGAAACGCTTTTACAAATTACAAAAATGTTTACGAAATGACAGTTAATTTAAATTGCTGACGTTCTCATTGAAATACAAACTTTCTGTCTTAGCCAATCAGAACGTTCGTTGATTACCAGACGTCACTCGCGCATGCGCATAACTTACAAAACCACCCAACGTCGACCGTCCATGACAAAGAATTTGGACAACTTTGGATTCGGCTATGTTCTACCGGGTTCCGGGTGTAACTCCTAATCTCCGAGCGGAATTAGTACCCTCGCAGGCGCTCCGCGCCCGCTCGGGGACAACACTAATTTAGTATAATCAAAGCTGCACAGTTAACCTCATAATAACCTTTTGCAACAATGAGACAATATTAGCAAGAAAAGCACCTTCTTTTACACAAAATATATCGCATTTAATAGCACGTTTTCACAACCACTGTAAAGGCTTTTGTCGCAATAAAATTTGTCGGAAGCCGAAGATGACGTAATGCTGACGTATGCTACAGGTATATGAATATATTGTCAACTGATGTTTCGAAATCACAGTTAAACAATTTTAACTATTTATTACATTAGAGCTTTGCTGTCTGATAAATAAACTCACAATAGAGGATTGTCGTTAAACATAAATTGATGAAATATTTCAAACGCTCATTAATCTGATTAAGTCACGAGCATTTCAGCTAAACTGTTTCAAAAGATAATCTATAACATGCAATAGTGCTATACATGAGAAAATGTTTATTATTATATTTATATAGCTACTAATAGTTCATCCTAATTTGCATCAAGTTTGAATACGACTTCCTATTTAAAATACTTGTAGCGTGTTTTATCCTGTGCAACCATCAGAGCGTCACCAATTATTTTCACTAAACACTTAAATACGAGAAATAAATACCGAAAAAACGCGCCAAAGTTTACTTTTAATCATTAAATTTCCAGGCAACCTCAAAATCTCAGCGAAATTTCGGATATAATTATCGTTTCCAATCAATCCTGTTCGAAGTTAAACATCAAGTTGACACAGTAATTATTAAGCTTGACTTAAGAAATATGTGTAAAAAATTCCCCAAGAATGTGAAAACTGTTCTTCCTTCAGCAACAAAGTTCGTAAATGAAATGTTCACGTGGTTTCAAAGAGGTTTCTGATTGGATGAGGTTGACAGAAAAGGATGTGATTGGTTAAGAATGACGATACTGTTCTCTTCCTTGATTCATTACAAAAGAATTGTTTATTTTAAAACACAATCATTCTGACGATTTGAGCCGAGAGATATCACACGTTATATTAGATTTTTCTAAGAAAAAAGTGTAAACCATGAAGAATATTTCGAGTTTTTGCTTCTTTCTGTTGACGTTAACGCTGGTTTTCGCCAAGGAAGATGAACGTGAATTAACACAACGAAGGTAATCCACAAGTTTATTACGTTTGATTTTAGCGAACAATATTGAGATTGGCTGCTATGTCAGTTCTCTTCAAAGCTGTTTGCCAGTGTAGGCAGACTGTGCCTAGCTTGGAGTGATAGAAAGATCGCTTGGTAAGAACAAATGATTATTCCAGATGATAACAGACGCTGTCATGTTCTTTTCTTCCAGAAGCGGCCTCGTAAAGCGAACGACAAATCCATCCTCTTGTACAGGACCTCGAGGATTGCCAGGTCGTGATGGTATGTAGCCTTGTTTTAAAATATCTCATTATGTTACCTCAATATTCTTCTCGGTTTTTACAAATTCTTAAATCACGCTTTCAAGTACTCAGCTCAATTTAGGCTAGAGGCTCCAAATAGGCTTCAAGATACCAGAACTTGATATTGTCTAAAATTCCGTTTTCAGGAAAGGATGGTAAAGACGGCAGAGATGGCAGAGATGCCTCGCTACGCGGTAAGTTTTTTGAATTGAAGTCAAAATTGAAGAGTTTCGCCACAAACGACACGTCACTTAATCTATCAATTGGTTTGGAAAATATATTCGAGTATTCATATGCAAATGATCTTTTTTGAAAGATGATTGTTGTAATTGCAACAACAATGTTTTAGAATGACAGACATTTTTACAAAGATGATTTATAATTGATTTTGTTTTCAGGTGAACGCGGAAGAAAAGGTGCTCCAGGACCACAAGGCCCCCCGGGGCCACCAGGAAACGCCTCGGGAGGTGTGGTTTACACCAGATGGGGACGAAAACATTGCCCTTCGAAAAGCCTCGAGATGTATTCTGGTAAGAAGTCCTATTTTCCGTGAAGCATGCATATTTTGTAATGATCTCCCCAAATCAAATCACTCTAATTTAATTGAATCTTCATCACAGGTGTGATGGGAGGATCATATCACAGTGATCCTGGTGGAGCTTCAAACTACCTCTGTCTACCATTGAATCCGATTTTTGAGAAATTCGTCGATGGGACTCAAGGGTCGACGTATATGCACGGCGTCGAGTATCAAGTTCTTGGACAGCATACAATATTTCCCAATGCTGATATTCACGATGACAACGCACCATGCGCAGTGTGTCAAGCTAAATCACGTGTTAGTCACATGATGATCCCGGCTCGTAATGTGTGTCCTTCTGGTTGGACATTGGAGTACAAAGGTTACCTCATGGCTGAACATCATTATCATAAAGGACGCACCCAATTCATTTGTGTTGATGGTGATCCCGAGGCAACACATGGATCACAGGCTAATACTGATGGGGCATTGCTTTATTTTGTTGAAGGTTATTGCAATCATGAACTACCATGTCCACCCTACGTTCATGGTAGAGAACTGACCTGTGTCGTCTGTACACAGTGAATATATTTAATCTAAAATGATTTTTCATCACTTGACTAACATTTAACGACACTAATTTAGTATCATCAAAGCTGCACAGTTAACTTTATAATAACCATTTGCAACAATGAGACAATATTAGCAAGAAAAGCACCTTCTCTTCTACAAAATATATCGCATTTAATATCACGTTTTCACAACAGCTGTAATAGTTTTTGTCGCAATAAAACAGTTGAAAATATAATTAGCAGTGTTAGCAAGACCGTGAATGACGAATACATCAACATTTCAAGCCGATGGTGACGTCACGCTATCAAGTCGATGGTGACGTCACGCTGATTTTCTCAACACGTATATGGGTGTATTGCCAACTAGCTAAAAGGGTCAAATCTTAGAGCTTTCTTGTCTAACTGATAATAGTACATTACATATATAACTCTATTGCATTCCATATGTTATCATTGAATAAATGACTAAAACATCTATGATCATGAATTAACTAGCGTTGAACAACATAAAATCAATTTGTATACGGACAATATTTCATATCAAAAGTATAGCGCACCTTAATTATCACGTTTATACAACATTCAATCCTAATTTGCATCAAGGGTAAATAAGATTTTCTATGCAAAGTAATTGCAGCGTGTTTTATCCAGCACAATCCGCTCAGCAGAGCATCACCCATGCATTACATGCAACACGAGATAAAATACTTCAAAAGATACTGCGCAAACGCCTGACTGTTTTACATTGATCATTAAACTTCTAGGCAATTTTAAAATCTAGCGAAATTTTGGAAATTATTATCGTATTCAATCAATCCTGCTCAGAATCGAATCCACAATTGACACAACACGAGAGGTTTTAACAAAGGTTGAATTAAAGGAAATGTAAATATCATTCTTCCAAAAATGTGAAACATTTTCTTCCTTTAGCAAAGTAATTCGTAAATAAAATGTTCACGTGGTTCCAAAGAGGATTCTGATTGGATGAGGTTGAGAGAAAACGATGTGATTGGCTAAGAACCACGATACTGTTCCCTTCCTTGATTCATTACAAAATAATTGTATATTTCGACACACGATCATTCTGAAGGTTTAAGTTGAGAGATATCGCACGTTATATTAGATTTTGTTTAAAAAGATCTAAACCATGAAGAATATTTTGATTTCTTGCTTCGTTCTGCTGTGTTTATCGCTGGTTTCCGCCAAGGAAGATGAACGTGAATTAACACAACGAAGGTAATCCAAAAGTTTATTACGTTTGATTTTAGCGAACGATATTCAGATTGGCGGCTTTGTCAGTTCTCTTGAAAGCTGTTTGCCAGAGTAGGCAGACTGTGTCTAGCTTGAAGTGATAGAAATATCGCTTGGTAAGAGCAAGTGATTACTCCAGATGATAACAGACGCTGTCATGTTCTTTTCTTCCAGCAACGGCCTCGTAAAGCGAACGACAAATCCATCCTCTTGTACAGGCCCTCAAGGATTGCCAGGTCGTGATGGTATGTGGCCTTGTTTTGAAATATCTCATTATGTTACCTCAAAATTCTTCTCGGTTTTTACAAATTCTTATATCACGCTTTTAAGTACTCAGCTCAATTTAGGCTACAGGCTCCGAATAGGCTCCAAGATACCAGAACTTGATATTGTTTTAAATTCCGTCTTCAGGAAAGGATGGTAAAGATGGCAGAGATGGCAGAGATGCCTCGCTACGCGGTAAGTTTTTTAAATTGAAGACAAAATTGAAGAGTTTCGCCACAAACGACACGTCACATAATCTATCAATTGGTTTGGAAAATATATTCGAGTATTCATATGCAAATGATCCTTTTTGAAAGAGGTTGTCGTAATTCCAACAACAACGTTTTAGAATGACAGACATTTCTACAAAGATGATTTATAATTGATTTTGTTTTTCAGGTGAACGCGGAAGAAAAGGTGCTCCAGGACCACAAGGTCCCCCGGGGCCACCAGGAAACACCTCGGGAGGTTTGGTTTACACCAGATGGGGACGAAAACATTGCCCTTCGAAAAGCATCGAGATGTATTCTGGTAAGAAAATATTTCATTTTATAATCAGCCATAATATTATTCAGCTTCGTTCCTCTCGTTAGAATGACAGCCATAGAGTTAAGTTTTCAATTTTCATCACAGGTGTGATGGGAGGATCATATTTCAATGAGGCTGGTGGAGCTTCAAACTACCTCTGTCTACCATTGAATCCGATTTTTGAGAAATACGTCGATGGGAATCAAGGGTCAACGTATATGCACGGCGTCGAGTATGAAACACCTTATGGACAAAGCAAAATATTTCCAAACACCAATATTGACGATGACAATGCACCATGCGCAGTGTGTCAAGCTAAATCACGTGGTAGTCACATGATGATCCCAGCTCGTAATGTGTGTCCTTCTGGTTGGACAATGGAGTACAAAGGTTACCTCATGTCAGAACGTTCTAGTCACAAAGGACGCACCCAGTTCATTTGTGTTGATGGTGATCCCGAGGTAACACAAGGATCACACACTAATACGAATGGAGCATTGCTTTATTTTGTTGAAGGTGATTGCAGTCGTGAACTACCATGTCCACCCTACGTTAGTGGCAGAGAGCTGACCTGTGTCGTCTGTACACAGTAAATAAACCCACATGGATTTTTCATCACCTCACTAAGATTTAACGACACTGATTTAGTATCATCAAAGCCGCACAGTTAACCTCATAATAACCATTTGCAACAATGAGACAATATTAGCAAGAAAAGCACCTTATTTTCTACAAAATATATCGCATTTAATAGCACGTTTTCACAACCACTGTAAAGGCTTTTGTCGCAATAAAATTAGTTGAACCAATAATTGTTTACAGACGTGCTGTTCAAAATGGTGAAGGCTCTTGCTGGATGTTAAAAAAAGAAAGGTCGGAAGCGGATGATGACGTAATGCCAAAGGAATATGAATATATTGTTAACTAATGTTTCGAAATCATAGTTAATTCATTAGAGCTTTGCTGTCTGATAAATAAACTCACAATAAAGGATTGTCGTTAAAAATAAATTGATGAAATATTTCAAACACTCATTAATTCACGAGCATTCCAACTAAACTATTTCAAAAGATAATCTAAAACATGCAATCGTGCTATTGGTGACAAAATGTTTATTATTATATTTATATAGCTACTAATACTTCATCCTAATTTGCATCAAGTTTGACAACGACTTCCTTTTTAAAATACTTGTAGCGTCTTTTATCCTGTGCAACCATCAGAGCGTCACAAATTACTTTCACTAAACACTTCAATACGAGAAATAAATACCGAAAAACGCGCCAAAGTTTACTTTTATTCTTTAAATTTCCAAGCAACCTCAAAATTTCAGCGAAACTTTGGATAATTATCGTTTCCAATCAATCCTGTTCGGAATGAAACATCAAGTTGACACAGTAATTATTAAGCTTGGCTTCACAAATATATGTAAAAAATTCTCCAAGAATGTGAAAGCTGTTCTTCCTTCAGCTAAATAGTTCATAAATGAAATGTTCACGTGGTTTCAAAGATGATTCTGATTGGATGAGGTTGACAGAAAATGATGTGATTGGCTAAGAACCACGATACTGTTCTCTTCCTTGATTCATTACAAAAGAATTGTTTATTTCAAAACACAATCATTCTGACGATTTGAGCCGAGAGATATCACACGTTATATTAGATTTTTCTAAGAAAAAAGTGTAAACCATGAAGAATATTTTGAGTTTTTGGTTCGTTCTGCTGTGTTTATCGCTGGTTTCGGCCAAGGAAGATGAACGTGAATTAACACAACGAAGGTAATTCACAAGTTTATTACGTTTGATTTTAGCGAACAATATTCACATTGGCGGCTTTGTCAGTTCTCTTGAAAGTTGTTTGCCAGTGTAGACAGACTGTGCCTAACTTGGAGTGATGGAAATATCGCTTGGTAAGAGCAAGTGAATATTTCAGATAATAACAGACGCTGTCATGTTCTTTTCTTCCAGCAGCGGCCTCGTAAAGCGAACAACAAATCCATCCTCTTGTACAGGACCTCAAGGATTGCCAGGTCGTGATGGTATGTGGCCTTGCTTTGAAATATCTCATCATGCGAGCTTAATAATCCTTTCCGTTTTTACAAATTCTTAAATCACTCTGTAACAAAGAATTAGCTCAATTTAGGCTAGAGGCCCCAAATAGCTCCAATATACCAGAAGTTGATATTGTCTAAAATTCCGTTTTCAGGAAAGGATGGTAAAGACGGCAGAGATGGCAGAGATGCCTCGCTACGCGGTAAGTTTTTTAAATTAAAGTCAAAATTGAAGAGTTTTGCCACAAACGACACGTCACATAATCTATCAATTGGTTTGGAAAATATATTCCAGTATTCATATGCAAATGATCCTTTTTGAAAGATGATTGTTGTAATTGAAACAACAATGTTTTAGAATGACAGACATTTGTACAAAGATGATTTATAATTGATTTTGTTTTTCAGGTGAACGCGGAAGAAAAGGTGCTCCAGGACCACAAGGCCCCCCGGGGCCACCAGGAAACGCCTCTGGAGGTGTGGTTTACACCAGATGGGGACGAAAACATTGCCCTTCGAAAAGCATCGAGATGTATTCTGGTAAGAAAGTATTTCATTTTATAATCAGTCGTAATTTTAGCTAGAATGACAACCATACAGTTAGGTTTTCAATCTTCATCACAGGTGTGATGGGAGGATCATATTACAATGATGCTGGTGGAGCTTCAAACTACCTCTGTCTACCTTTGAATCCGATTTTTGAAAAATACGTCGATGGGATCCAAGCGTCAACGTATATGCACGGCGTCGAGTATCACATTCATGGTGGACAAAACCAAATATTTCCAAACACAAATATTCACGATGACAACGCACCATGCGCAGTGTGCCTAGCTAAATCACGTGCTAGTCACATGATGATCCCAGCTCGTAACGTGTGTCCTTCTGGTTGGACAATGGAGTACAAAGGTTACCTCATGGCAGAACGTTTTAATCACAAACGAACCCAGTTCATTTGTGTTGATGGTGATCCCGAGGCAACACATGGATCACACGCTGATACGAATGGAGCATTGCTTTATTTTGTTGAAGGTTATTGTGGTCATTCCCTACCATGTCCACCCTACGTTCATGGCAGAGAGCTGACCTGTGTCGTCTGTACACAGTAACTAAACCTACAAGGATTTTTCATCACTTGACTAACATTTAACGACACTAATTTAGTATCATCAAAGCTGCACAGTTAACCTCATAATAACCATTTGCAACAATGAGACAATATTAGCACCAAAAGCACCTTCTTTTCTACAAAATATATCGCATTTAATAGCATATTTTCACAATCACCGTAATAGTTTCTGTCGCAATAAAAATAGTCAACACGATAGTTGTTTAGGCGTTAAACGCAAGAGAACCGATTTGATGTGAAAGATGCAGTGGACGGAAATACATCTCTTCCAATCACATATAATGTAATAATATTATTAATTTGTCAACAAGAAAAAAATCCCTAGCATAGTTTTTGAATAAAAATTTTTTGCATTAAACGACTTGATATAACTTAAAATATATAACTTATTTGCTATATACCTTATTTGCTTCTACGAAATTTATGTGTCCCGTTACTAAGCATTTTTAAACAGTTTAAACAAGCTTCATGGAAAACATTGAAGGATATGAGCCGAATTTAACCAATCAGAATGGATTTTCATTTTGGTGCTAGTTCCGGGCCTATTCTTGACGATCGTATGAAGTAGATAACACTTCAAACCATTTGCGATACCATTTTATTAGAATTAAAATATTTGCAAACATGTTCATGTATGTTTGCACCACTGACCTATGTTAGATTATCTAATAAAGGTCAGTGGTTTGCACCTGCATGTGCGGGTTTTGAGCGGGTTTAGCTTTTGGAAGACGTTAAATATGCCTTTCGATGACGTCATGCTGACGTTTACCGCCCACAGTTTAGATATCATCAGCGTGCACCTGAACTCGGGCGACAAAATTTTACAAAGTTATTAATTATGAAAGTTATTATTCCCCACTTACCTCTGACATAAGACAGCAATGAATAGGGTTTGTTGGTCTAAGACAAGTATTCTCCTCAACAATGAGTTGACCATTCACAGACCAGAGATACAGATATGTGCCCGCACACGTGATAATATCACCCTGCGTGGAATAACACAACAACCTTAAAGCCCGTTTTGCACTAGTCATTTTGGTTGCAGTTTTCGGTGCGATTTTCGTCTTTTGATGGATGTGAACGAGAAAGAGTTACGAAAGCTCTAATGTATCCAGTGAACTCTATATGAACTGGAACGATACCCTGATCGCCATCTTTGAAGCCTATATAAAGCCGAATCGGGCACCAGTGCCAGTCCATTTCTATCGTTTTTGTCCTCACGGTCGACGATCACGGTGACAATGATAGAAAGAGACTGGCACTGGTACCCAATTTGGCTTCAAAGATGGCGGCTAGTTCACCCCGTGAGATTGTCGTATTCCAGTTTTTATATATAGTTCAATGGATGTATAAGAGCGCTTATTACAACATACGTAACTAATTGACTCATTCACATCTATCAAAAGAAAAAAAATGGGAAAATGGGAAAAAACAAAAACTTACGGTCAAATTGTTTATGGAAATGTTTGACACTGGCGAAACATGGCCGCGAAGTTGTCGTACGTACGTCAGTTTATTCAAATCCCAAATGATGCACGTCATATCCTAAAAAAGATTATATTCGTCTAAAGAAACATCCGCTGTTTAAATTTTCGGCCGTTTCTAAAAAAGGTCGTGCAATGCACGCAAAGTGAGTCATACGGTAATACTTTAGAATTGAATACCTCAGATCCACTGACAATAAGATTGTAAGAGCTCGAAACAGCAAGACACGTGACCGGTTGCAGATGGCCGTATAGAACCTATAATAAGAGGTTAGAGGGTGAAGGTGATAACCTTCGTAATGATGGTTTATTGTTGATAATGTCGGTGATAACGGTTGATGTTGGTTGATAATTGTGAATATGTCGGTGATGGTGGTCTATTAAGAATATTGCTGAGCGTTGTTGATAAATAGGGATATCGCTGGGTATAGTTGTGATTAAGGTGGTCAGATGGTGATAAAGTTGGTTATATTGGTGTAATGGTGAAATCGTCATATTTACGGAGGTGTAATGGTGGTACTGTTGGCGACGGTTGATGTGATTGTTAAATGGGGATATTGTTAGCAATGATGATATTTAGTTAAGGTGGTTAAATGGTGATAGAGTTGGTTATAGTGGTTTATTGGTGAAGTTGGTGATATTAGCGAAGGTGCAATGGTGGTACTGTTGGTGACGGTTGATGTGATTGTTAAATGGGGATGTTGTTAGCTATGGTGGTGTTTATTAAGGTGGTTTAATGGTGAAGTTGGTGATATTTACGGAGGAGTAATGGTGGCACTGATGGCAATGTAAAGCCACGCATTCAATAGTGATATGTAGGAAAATGAGACTCACTTCGTGTATGGCAAGTTGAGGTCTCTTATCTTTGTTTTCACGATCAACTATCCACACGTACACCAGCTTAAGAAAAACAAGAATTTAAATAAAGTTTTTAATAAAAAGATCAAAAACACTCACATTAGATCAAATAACATGTTAATGAAATACTATAATAACTCACAGTGTTCCTTCCTCCTGTAATGAGTGTTCTTGAGTCGGGACAAGCAGCGCAGAGAATCTGACCAACTTGGGAATCTTCCATCACAGCGATAATCTAAAAACATTTAACATGTGCATAAACAAACCCTTTTGTAGTTTGAAAATAAAAATTTAATAAATAGTTTTCAAATGCTACTAAATAACCACCACCAACGTGCACAACGAGTTCAATCTGCGACTTCGCACATGCGTTGCTCTATTTAAGAGTCATTTATCATACAACTGTCAACCTCAGTGCATGACTAATTACTAACTTATCTAAATATGTTAATTATATTACACCTTTAACGTAAAAATTCAAATATGTAAGTGACGTATGCACAGCGATGCACTACCTTATCTCCATCCAGTTGCCCGATTCTTAAGCTGAGATCACCGTAGCCCCACGCGACGTATTGATTACAAGGAGGAGGAAACATTATCTAAGAATAATAGTGATAATGTGAATGGTTAAAGTTCGCTGATTATGATTGATGCTGATTAACACGTCCTCATCTCTGTGACTGAGGTTTGATTTCTGTAATATGCAGTTGCCTGATTATAATTTCACCTCAGTCACATGTGAGAAGATTGCTTCTAGTTTGACTCTACCAAACACAGTGGTTAATACGTGTGTCTTTCATCTCTGTGACTGAGGTTTGATTTCTGTAATATGCAGTTGTCTGATTATAATTTCACCTCAGTCACATGTGAGAAGATTGCTTCTAGTTTGACTCTACCAAACACAGTGGTTAGTACATGTATCTTTCATCTCTGTGACTGAGGTTTGATTTCTGTAATATGCAGTTGTGTGATTATAATTTCACCTCAGTCACATGTGAGAAGAGTGCTTCTAGTTTGACTCTACCAAACACAGTGGTTAATACATGTGTGTATGGTTAGTTACAGAACTTACATGATTCTTCTTTACCGCCAAAATCCCTTTATCCGATTGAATGATTTGACCAACTGGACCTTTAATTTCTAAAAAGAGAAAACAGCAATTCAATTTTAAAACGCTGTTATATTGGCCTCAAACGAAAAAATCGAATAACTTCAAAGTATCGTAGTCCCGTAGTCCTAATTGCTGGCTCAACAGCTACCTTTAATTGGCTGAGTGCTTGGCATCATTTTCGTGAAGTTATTAACCAATTTGTCGGCATTGACAACAAACGAGCTGTTTGATTGTTCCTGATCTTGAACCAGGAAAGCTTTTTTGCTTACATGAGCCTTCTTAAATAGCTAAACAATTTCAAAACTACAAATTATTACTATGATCGAAAACTTTATCAGTTCTAAACTGTTCTTCCTAGAGGTCCAGTAAGGATCATCTCTTATTGATCCAGTGTTACTACAGGAGGAAACCTAAACTATACTAACTTTATTTATACTGGATAGCTCTATCAGTTCTAAATTGTTCTTCCTAGAGGTTCAGTAAGGATCATCTCATATTGATTCAGTGTTACTACAGGAGGAAACCTAAACTAAATAAAAAAAACTTTAGTACCTGTCTTGGAGTTTGGCCGAAATTGTTGATGAATCCAATTTTAGCATTTCTTTTCACAGGATCGTGAATATTGGTTATATCTGTAAAAGAAAGTAAAGGGAATGACAAGGCTGAGAGCAAATTATTCGCTTATCGCCGTAAGCAATTATTGTGTGTGAAACGAATAATAAGAAAAGTAGAAATCAAAACAAAACAATTCATAAGTTAACTACCAGCACTATCAGCGTAAAACCAATGATGAAAAACATTAACAGCTTCTCTGGCAGCATCTCCTCGCTGTTTGTAGCCAAAGATCAAGTCAATCCAGAGATGAAGTCGGCTGCTGACGTAATCACATTCCAACGCCTTGCGATGTTGACGGATAAACTCCCGTGCGTCCCCTTTTGCCCATCGAGGTAACACAACATCATTAAGTACCACTCCACTTTGCTTCTGACCTATATATAATAAGGATGAAGTGAAGTCTCAATAAGAGATTATCCTTACTGAACCTCTAGGAAGTTAGAGTTATCCAGTATAAATAAAGTTAGTTTAGTTTAGGTTTCTTCTTGTAGTAACACTGGATCAATAAGAAATTATCCTTACTGGACCTCTAGGAAAAACAGTTTAGAACTGATAGAGCTATCCAGTATAAATAAAGTTAGTTTAATTTACGTTTCTTCCTGTAGTAACACTTGATCAATAAAATATAGTTAGTATGCCTACCCAGATCAAATCTATTTGAATTCAAAAGAAATTCTGGAAGGTAAAAGAACTCTGGTATAAGTTCTTTAACGTCCGCCATGTTTGTTTCAGAAGCAGAGAACCAAGCGTCCTTAACTCCATGAAACATTCGATCAGGAAGGTCGAAATGGCCATCCTAGACAAAAATTATCATTCTTTATAATAAATTCGCATCCATCATCATCCAACCCTATCAACTCATATTCACTTTCGTATTACACCCATCCCCTTCAACCTGCACACACACCCATTCTTATCCCCTCACGTACTGTCAACGGCTCACATTTCGTCTAGTCCACTTTAGTCAACCACTTTCATCAACCCTGATCAACCTTCATCCACTCCTATCCACTCGCACTCACCCTTACCATACGTCTCAACAACATTCATCAACTCACAAGAAATCTCATCAACTATCTTCCCCTTCTATCAACCTTTATCCCTCCACCCTCCTTGACGTGGGCTTCACCTGTAAGCGAAGAAAATGCTGTGCAAATGGTTCCATCCTGACTAAGTATGAAGCAACGACCATGGCTGACGAATAATGAGTAGCGTAATGATAGGCTGGTGTCTCGCTCGTTGGATCATCCCACTCACGATAACGTTTCTCAAAATCTTTCTTGCGTCCTTCGGTCTGCGTTCCCATTGGCTTAGACAGATCTCGAAATGTAGCCGGATTGTTCAAGTCAAGTTCCTAACAACGAGAATTTCATAGCACAATAGTAAATGTTTAGTAAATTGGTTCTAATAAATGGGACTTTCACTTTTGTGGAATTGTGACGTTTGTAATGGAGTGCTTCTACGGTTCCACAAACCACAGAGTTGTTCTTTTAGTGATGGAACACAATTTAAGAGGGAACCTAATTTTTTCGAGTCATTGTGAGATAGAGGAGCTTACCTCGCTGTCATAGTCCGCAATGATCCATGGGAAGACAGGATACTGCATAAGATCGTTGTACGAACGTCCAGATAACGTATTGAGATACATCAGATACTGGAAATTGGAGATTTCTCCTTTCTAAACCAAGAAAAATAAGCAATTGAATTATGAATTTTTTTGTATTCTGAAGCCGGTTGTATTAAGCCCGCTTAATTTGAACAGTGGATAAGTCAAAATTAAATAACACGCTTAACATCTCTCTTGAATGAGTCAACTTGAATATTATACACTGAATATGTAGTTGTAATCAGTAGCTTTGTTTTAAGGTTAAAAACATTTTGTTTGCTTCTTGCCATAAAACGATAGACATGCTTTCTATTTTGAACTTATCCACCGTTTAACCTAAACGGGCTTGATACAACCGGCCCCTGCACTTTAGACGATAAACAAACTGTAAACAGAGTTTAAAGAGTTTGCTGGAAAATTCAAAATTAGTCTATAGCTGATATCATCCGTCGCACAAACCTCCCATCTTTGGGTTACCGATTTCTCGCCGATGAATGCGTTTATGAATCCCAAACTACGAAAAACAAGACGCCATTATTTTAAAGTTTAAGTCAAGTCCGTAAGTAAACAAACTGTTTGTTTGCATGTTGAACTTCTATACTTTTCAAAATAAAATCGCTGTGTTAATATTTAATTCTGTATTGAGGTTCGCTACACTTCCAAATGATCGTATATTATTTGTTTGTGCGCAGAAAAATTATAAGCATGTGAAATTTGGGCAAATTTTTATAGAGAGGGTCCTCAATTGTTATGAGCAGAACCGATGCGCAAAACACACTTGATTTCCACTTTAAAGAAATGCATCGCATGGCATTTTATTCACTGAAAATTTCACACCTTTCAACATCCGTATCTGGTTTTTGTCCTGACACGTAATCAATTGGAGTGGCTGGTATCAGGGAGAGCATTCTGAATAACGAAAACAATGTTGTGTACAATATCAGAGGTGAATTATAATCAGACAACTTCTTATTTAAGGATCAAACCTCAGTCACAGAGATGAAAGACACATGGACTAACCACTGTGTTTGGTAGAGTCAAACTAGAAGCACTCTTCTCACATGTGACTTAGGTGAAATTATAATCACACAACTGCATATTACAGAAATCAAACCTCAGTCACAGAGATGAAAGACACATGTACCAACCACTGTGTTTGGTAGAGTCAAACTAGAAGCACTCTTCTCACATGTGACTGAGGTGAAATTATAATCACACAACTGCATATTACAGAAATCAAACCTCAATCACAAGATGAAAGACATATGTACTAACCACTATCTTTGGTGGAACCAAACTGGAAGCATTCTTCTGAAGTGAATCCCAAACTTACTTGTTGTAAACTTTATCTCGAACCGACTTGGGAAAAACAAGCAAATGATTCCTTCCATCGCTTGAGAAAATCTCCAATGCTGTGTCCTGAAAAATACACCACAAGTCTTCAAATTTTGCATAGTTATATCCCAGTTACTGTAACTCTGAAATACACGACCCTGATTGGCCAATTCTGTCCCTAACTATAGTTAAAGTTAACTATATACGTTTTACACGACCGGCCTCTGCTGAAGGAAATTGGGGTAAGCTTTTCGGTTCGTTCTAACCTGTAAAAGATATCTCCTCTTGTGCACTTCACGTACTGCCTCGTAAGCCCACGTGGTGCATCTGAAACACAACAAAAGTTGTTAAACATTTCTTTGTTAAAGTCTTTTGTGTTGCCTTTTGGTCAAAGTACACTCACATCTTTTTAAATGCAGACAGGCCAGAATCATGTGAACTTCTTGGTATGATCGGGTCATGGGCACTAAAGAAAATACACAGTTCATAGGAGATTATCAGATGATCGTAACAGATGATCGTAACAGGTGATCCTAAGAGATGATCCTAAAAGATGATCCAAAGAGATGATTTAAAGAGATGATCCTAAGAGATGATCTTATACTCAAGATGATCCCACCAGAGATGATCCCTTAGAGATTATCTTACTGAAAAAGATCCCAGAAGAGATGTTCTAATCAGAGATGATCTACTGAGGATGATCGCCTTAGAGATGATCTTACGAGGGATGATCTTACAAGAGATTATCTTACTAGACATTATCTTACTAGAGATTAACTTCGTGGAGATTATCTTACTAGAGATTATCTTAGTGGAGATGATGATCATAGTTCATCACTTACCCATCGGGAAGTGAATCGATATCTTTGATTTCCTTCGTCGATAACAAAGTCACGCCGTCGACAACGTAAAAATGCAATTGTCCAAAAAGAAACAATCCTTCAGCGTGGTCAAGACCTTCAACACGAGCACAACGGAACATTGAGCGAATCTAATGAAAATGAAAAAAAAAATTTTTACAAAATTAATCCCAGGTAATATAATTTTATAGCGTGCGCAGTAAATGATAAACCGTAGGCTAACACTCTTTGAGATGAGTAAACAAAGTTTTATTCATCTCAATGGTCACATATTACATAAGAGCTGAAAACAAGATTTTATCCTTTTTTCTATGGAATACTTAAAGCATATTGTTTCAATGTTTACCTTTTCACCAGCTTCAAGTAACTTTAATATCGTTTGATCTTCCATCTAAAAGTGATGCGTTTACATTTAAATACTCGTTAACTTCACAAAACGTGCTTCAATATTGTAACAGCCGAGATTCGGAGAGCTGACCTTTGTCGGGTCAACAATATCCTGTGAGCCAACTTCAAGACCATTTCAACAATAAAATATTTGTCATGGATGTTATTTTTCTTTAAGATATAGCTACATACTCATTTACAATTTTTCGAGCGATTTTGTAAGACGAATAAACACAAAAACAGTTGTTAATTCTCTGAAGTATAAAATGCCTTCATATGCGAACTAGACTTTCCCGGCGAGATGTAAGCATTGCAAGGCATGGCAGTTGATGCGAATGCTCAGAATTATCACTCTAATGATTACCCCGGCAAAAAGATAACGACTGCTTCCACTTACATCGTTAATTTCATTTTCTTCCACTTCTTTGTACTCTGTGGAAACAGAGTGCTGTATTTCACTGACCGAACGTTCATCTATGACGTAGCAAGATAAAAAAGGGTTTACACTTTTGAATGTAGAGATACGGTGATCCTATTGTCTTAACCACCAAGACTCACTTTGATGCAATATATTCTCTTTATACCAAAATAACGCTTGGTGCCTAATGGAGAACCCGTTAAATGCTATTGGCAATCATTTGAGATACCTAATGATCTATTTTTGTCAATACCTTCAGCATATGAGAAGGACCGCGTTTGAAACAGGCCTACAGTTTTGATAGGAAGCGATTCTACATTTTCGCGGCAATTTTTTTCGCAAGCCAATCACATCACTGGATTTCATATATCGCTTCGCGCGGCGCGAATAAATTCGCCTGGTGGAGAATAGACTTAAAATCACAGACTTACATTTGTTGTCAGACTTCATCTCAAGCGCACTGATCTTCTGGTTTGATAACATTGAATACAATCTGCTGTCGAAACTCATCGGAATCTTAAACTTAGAAGGCTGTAATGAAAAACAGCTGCTTTAGTGAATTCAATTCGATTTAGTTCAATCAGTTATGATTACTGATCTTTATAGCAATCCTGGAGAGCGTTAACATCGAATTAACATGAAATGTTGACATGATTTAACATCGAATTAACATAACGTTAACATCACTAAAGTCAACCTCTGTGGTTGTTATTTTTGTCAAAATTCAGGGACGCCGGAACAGGGGGGGGGGCAGCAGCAGGGACAGCTGGCCCCTTGTCTTTCACGAGCAAAGACAAGGATGCCTTTTTCTTTTAAGGGATTTCATTGTAAAAGTGTAATCCACGAGCTTCAAGAATAACACAATCGTCTGGTGAAAAACTCCCGAAATGATCTCGGAATGAAAACACGAAGTTCAACAGAAGATGTTTTGCAAACATTCTATTGTATGCGACTTCACGAAAGTGTCCTTTCACGATGCCAATCAATCCCCCCTCTTTGCCTTCGCATCCTCCAGCGTCCCTGTCAAAATTGCACTGCAAATTTTTGTTGATTTTATGTGCGATTTTGTTCTTTTGATAGATGTGAACGAGTGACCAGTCACGAATGCTCTGATGTATAAGAGCTCTTACTTGAACATCCGTAACTAATTCACTCGTTTACATCTATTGAAAGAAGAAAATCCCACATAAAATCGCGAAAAGTGAATCAAGACAGCGTGTTTCAGTTTTTGATTGATCACCTTTTCAGACTGTTTCTCTGGAGTTCTGTAACAGTAATGCTCATAAAAGTTGTCATTCTGACACATTTTCTTTCTCATGCGACAAGGACCTGTCGGGTGAAAGAGAATATCGAATTTATCACACGTTAAACCTAGTAAAATTTCAAATTTTCTACCAAAATTGTCGACACCAACCTTCGACCATGTCCAACATCCATTTATCCAAACGAGAGTCAGAAGGCGGACCCCAGAGACCTCGAATCCTCGTCAAGTCATCCGCACGGGATGACCACTCTTGTGCTATGGATCTTTCTATTAACTTGTAATTCTAAATAGTGAAAACCAAATAAATAAGAGATGATCCTTACTGGACCGCTACGAAGAACAGTTTAGAACCGATAGAGTTATCCAGCATAAATAAAGTTAGTTTAGTTTAGGTTTCCTCCTGTAGTAACACTGGATCAATAAGAGATCGATGATCCTTACTGGACCTCTAGGAAGAAGAGTTTAGAACTGATAGAGCTATCCAGTATAAAAAAAGTTAGTTTAGTTTAGGTTCCTCCTGTAGTAACACTGGATCAATAAGAGATGATCTTAACTGCACCTTTAGGAAGAGAAGTTTAGAACTGATCGAGCTAACCAGTATAAGTTTCTCTAAGTTTCTCTCTTAGTTTAGGTTTCCTCCTGTAGTAACACTGGTATTTGGTCGTATTTGCCATTTTCCGACGAATATGACAATGGTCGTATTTGCCATTTTCCGGCGAATATGACCATGGTCGTATTTGCCATTTTCCGACGAATATAACCATGGTCGTATTTGCCATTTTCCAGCGAATATGACCATGGTCGTATTTGCCATTTTTCGACGAATATGACCATGGTCGTATTTGCCATTTTCCAGCGAATATGACCATGGTCGTATTTGCCATTCTCCGACGAATATGACCATGGTCGTATTTGCCATTTTCCAGCGAATATGACCATGGTCGTATTTGCCATTTTCCGACGAAAATAACCATGGTCGTATTTGCCATTTTCCAGCGAATATGACCATGGTCGTATTTGCCATTTTTCGACGAATATGACCATGGTCGTATTTGCCATTTTCCAGCGAATATGACCATGGTCGTATTTGCCATTTTCCGACGAATATAACCATGGTCGTATTTGCCATTTTCCAGCGAATATGACCATGGTCGTATTTGCCATTTTCCGACGAATATGACCATGGTCGTATTTGCCATTCTCCGACGAATATGACATGGTCGTATTTGCCATTTTCCAGCGAATATGACCATGGTCGTATTTGCCATTTTCCGGCGAATATAACCATGGTCGTATTTGCCATTTTTCGACGAATATGACCATGGTCGTATTTGCCATTTTTCGGCCAGTATGACCATGGTCGTATTTGCCATTTACCGGCGAATATGACCATGGTCGTATTTGCCATTCTCCGACGAATATGACCATGGTCGTATTTGCCATTTTCCAGCGAATATGACCATGGTCGTATTTGCCATTTTCCGACGAAAATAACCATGGTCGTATTTGCCATTTTCCAGCGAATATGACCATGGTCGTATTTGCCATTTTTCGACGAATATGACCATGGTCGTATTTGCCATTTTCCGACGAATATAACCATGGTCGTATTTGCCATTTTTCGACGAATATGACCATGGTCGTATTTGCCATTTTTCGGCCAGTATGACCATGGTCGTATTTGCCATTTTCCGGCCAGTATGACCATGGTCGTATTTGCCATTTACCGGCGAATATGACCATGGTCGTATTTGCCATTTTCCGGCGAATAAGACCATGGTCGTATTTGCCATTTTCCGACGAATATGACCATGGTCGTATTTGCCATTTTCCGGCCAATATGACCATGGTCGTATTTGCCATTTTCCGGCGAATATGACCATGGTCGTATTTGCCATTCTCCGGCGAATATGACCATGGTCGTATTTGCTATTTTCCGGCGAATATGACCATGGTCGTATTTGCCATTTTCCGGCGAATATGACCATGGTCGTATTTGCTATTTTCCGGCGAATATGACCATGGTCGTATTCGCCATTTTTCGACGAATATGACCATGGTCGTATTTGCCATTTTCCGACGAATATAACCATGGTCGTATTTGCCATTTTCCAGCGAATATGACCATGGTCGTATTTGCCATTTTCCGACGAATATGACAATGGTCGTATTTGCCATTTTCTGACCAATATGACCATGGTCGTATTTGCCATTTTCCGGCGAATATGACCATGGTTGTATTTGCCATTTTCCGGCGAATATATATATGACCATGGTCGTATTTGCCATGTTCCGGCGAATATGACCATGGTCGTATTTGCCATTTTCCGACGAATATGACCATGGTCGTATTTGCCATTTTCCGACGAATATGACCATGGTCGTATTTGCCATTTTCCGGCGAATATGACCATGGTCGTATTTGCCATTTTCCGGCGAATATGACCATGGTCGTATTTGCCATTTTCCGGCGAATATGACCATGGTCGTATTTGCCATTTTCCGGCGAATATGACCATGGTCGTATTTGCCTTTTTCCGACGAATATGACCATGGTCGTATTTGCCATTTTCCGACGAATAGGACCATGGTCGTATTTGCCGTTTTCCGGGGAATATGACCATGGTCGTATTTGTTATTTTCCGGCAAATATGACCATGGTCGTATTTGTATTTGTAATTGGCATGGTTATTATGTACTGGTTATTATTCGTATTTGCCATTTTCGGACCTCTAGGAAGAACAGTTTAGAATTGATGGAGCTATCCAGTATAAATAATGTTAGTTTAGTTTAGGTTTCCTCCTGTAGTAACACTGGATCAATAAGAGATGATCCTTACTGGACATCTAGAAAGAACAGTTTAGAACTGTTAGTCTTTTAGAGTCATCCGGTATGAATAAAGTGATAGTTTTCTCAAAACCAGTTTAACAAGAGACGATCCTCAGAACTAGATCTTGTTCTGTCTACCTGCAAATGGTTTCGATGCTGATGTAAAAACAATTTTTTGGCCAGATCAATGTGTTGGTTCGTCCATACGTCAGTGCTGGCAGTTTGTGGCAGATCAACAATTTTCTCCTTTTTAGTATTAACTGTTCGCCGACTTAAACCCATTTTAACGGGTCTCTAAACGAACGAAGAAATTTTTATGGCTGAGGTTTGATTTCTGTAATATGCAGTTCTGTGATTATAATTTCACCTCAGTCACATGTGAGAAGAGTGCTTCTAGTTTGACTCTACCAAACACAGTGGTTAGTACATGTGTCTTTCATCTCTGTGACTGAGGTTTGATTTCTGTAATATGCAGTTGTCTGATTATAATTTCACCTCAGTCACATGTGAGAAGAGTGCTTCTAGTTTGACTCTACCAAACACAGTGGTTAGTACATGTGTCTTTCATCTCTGTGACTGAGGTTTGATTTCTGTAATATGCAGTTGTGTGATTATAATTTCACCTCAGTCACACATGAGAAGAGTGCTTCTAGTTTGACTCTACCAAACACAGTGGTTAGTACATGTGTCTTTCATCTCTGTGACTGAGGTTTGATTTCTGTAATATGCAGTTGTGTGATTATAATTTCAGCTCAGTAACATGTGAGAAGAGTGCTTCTAGTTTGACTCTACCAAACACAGTGGTTAGTACATGTGTCTTTCATCTCTGTGACTGAGGTTTGATTTCTGTAATATGCAGTTGTGTGATTATAATTTCACCTCAGTCACACATGAGAAGAGTGCTTCTAGTTTGACTCTACCAAACACAGTGGTTAGTACATGTGTCTTTCATCTCTGTGACTGAGGTTTGATTTCTGTAATATGCAGTTGTGTGATTATAATTTCAGCTCAGTAACATGTGAGAAGAGTGCTTCTAGTTTGACTCTACCAAACACAGTGGTTAGTACATGTGTCTTTCATCTCTGTGACTGCATGAGGTTTGATTCATGTAATATGAAATATGTCTGATTATAATCTGGGATATAAGAAAAAATAAACTCTGCTGTACATATAAATACCTGGATCTTTGGACTTTCTGTTTTATGTTTGAGCTGAGAATTATGGAAAGCGTCCCAGACCTTTTTAGAAGGTTCTAACAAGGTGGGACTGAAATAAAATAAAAAATATTAGCCAGTCTATCATCATTCAGTGCAAATACTCTGACCATTCGAATGGTGAATGAATAGATCCTGAGGAAGCTCTAAGTTAAACAAATCTCGTACCCCAGAGATTTCGGATCCAAATTCATTGTTTTAAAAGTTTTTGTCGGTCTACAAAAGTAAATACAGAAAGGTTTAGGTCCACCTGTCAGTGTAGTAACACTGGATCAATAAGAGATGATCCTTACTGGACCTCTAGGAAGAACAGTTTAGAACTGATAGAGCTATCCAGTATAAATAAAGTTAGTTTAGTTTAGGTTTCCTCCTGTAGTAACACTGGATCAATAAGAGATGATCTTTACTGGACCTCTACGGAAGAACAGTTTAGAACTGATAAAGCTTTCCAGTATCAAGAAGTTTAGTTTAGGTTTTCTTCTGTAGTAAAACTGGATCAATAAGAGTAGATCTTCACTAAAACTACTGTAGTTAAAAGTTTTCCTTACATATCTCCCATGCCTTCGGAGCCATAAGGATATTTCGTGAAATTTGATTTCGGAAAGTCTATTTTGAACACACTTTCGATCACCTAAGAAATTCAAAAAGGTAAGAAAGAGGTTTCCTCCTGCAATAACAGTAGACCAATAAGAGATGATCCATAAAAGACTGGACCTCTAGGAAGAACAGTTTAAAGCTGATAAAGGCATCCGAAATACGAACCTCTCTTTTATTCTGAATAAAAACCTCCCATACTCGTTCAGCTGCAGCACTCAACAAGGCACCACTGTGGCTCAGGTCGCTGGGTCCTACAAAAAAACGAAGCAGCAGAAAGCTGAGACGACACCAACGTTGACCTTTGTATGGAATAAAGTTAAATACCTGCAACTGGACTACTCCCACCAGAATGCCCATCCTCGTGGTTCGTGTATTCTGGCAGAATAGCTCCGGTCATGATCAACAGGTGGTAGCATAAACTAGCGGTGAACTCAGCGTTGTTGTTAACGGATGAAAATACGATGCGATTGTTCGCAGTTAACATGTGAAGAAAGTCCAACATCACTGTGAAGTCTAAATGAAAGCAAAAGAAAGCGTTGTTCGTAATTCCTGAGACCCCTTTTACACTAGAACGAAAGTTTCCGGATTTGTAAATTTATCCGGATTCATTGTTACACACATGTATCGGATTCGCCAGGTGTTTACACTACACTTTAGTTGTCTCTGTATGCGGATTTGTCCGTTTACACTCACATTACTTATTCTTGGAGAATTGTTTGGTCGTCGCGTTTGAATTTCTTCGGATTCGCCGTGCAAAGCGTTTTTTACAAAAGAAAATTTTCCGGATTCAAATGTTTCTGGATACGAAGTTTCCACAAACTTTTACGGATTCAAAGTTTCCGGATACGGCTTAAAACCGAGTACATTTTCTATCGGATTCGTTGCTGCGTGTGTAAACAGCAACATGAATCCGGTACTAAAACATTCCGCTTTCGTGATGAATCCGGAAACTTTCGCTCTAGTGTAAACGGGGTCTGAGTTTCACGATGCCTTTTAAGAGTCAGAGTTTCAGTTTGTTTTACAGGTTCTAAATCAATCGTTAATCGTGCCTTGATCCAAGTGATCTCGCGCCTATATCTTAGTCGATCAGCGCTCAAAAAGGTTGAGCAAATCAAAATCAATTTTGCAGTATTTAATCAATTATATCTTCTGTTATTCTTTATAAAATTACTCGAAATTTTGTGATAATGTTTAGTTATAAGAACTATTTAGCTCTGGCATAAATTTGAAACAGAAATAAAGTAGATTTCTAGAGATATTTTAAGATATTTCAACTTAAAAGTTTTTCAGCCGAGAGTTGGATTTTCATTTGACAACTAGTCCCATTCCTTTCCCGCCAATTTTCCCCGTTTTGGCTCTCTGGAAGTCCACATAAATTCTGGCTTCGTTTCCGATAAATACACCTGCATTTTCTCTGTAATTTTAATATTATCAGATCGGTAAACACAAATCATTGGTGTTGAAATCAACTCTAACCTGTCAATTCCTTAAGCTGTCTTGATAATTGATATAAAATTACTCGGTTCAACGAATGAAATGCCCCGTCTTTGGCAGCAGAATGCCCTAAAATACAGAAGTTGTATAAGAAAACTATCCGAAAAGTGAATATATTAGGCAAGACTAATTTACGTACCTTTGCTTGAATTAATAATTGAAATGATGAAGTGAAAAATTGGTTTGTAGCCGAGGTTAAACGTTTCTGAAAAGGAATTTCATCACTGTAAGAGTAGAAATCTTAGGTCGTTGATTTTGGCGGGAAAAGATTCAAAACACAATTTTTTCTCAGTATACTAATCAAAGTTCATTTATTTAAGATTTCCTCTTTCGGTTATGTTGGAAACTAAGATTTGAAGCGGATTTTGTGGTTCCAAAACACAAAACGAGGGAGTTTATTTATTTATATAACGCGCCTATAAACAATGTTATAAATGTCAACGCCATTATCACTGAAATTAATACAAAAATAGTATCATGTTTATTCATTAAACGCCATTTTCCTTGAGCACGATAAATCCCTTCATTTCCACATTGAGTTTCAGATTAAACCATTTGAGGCTTCCAAACGTTTTTCGTTGAGAATTTTAGTACTGTTGCATGATGATAATATACAAACCAAGTTTTGAGCACAAATTACGCGAATTTAAATTCATTCTAAAAACAATATTTATTCTACAAAGATACTGTGGCTATCCTCAGTCATGAGAGTTCAATGCTGGACACAGAAAAACGCAAATTGATGCTTTTTACCTTGCCACAGTTTGTCGACGACTTTTGCTGTGAAACTACAAATGGACACTAAAACCTTTCCCGGGTTACTCAAGAGGTTACCCGCAAGCAGATATTCCATTTGCGAATTGAGAACTTCTGTTTGGAATTCTTGGATCTGATGAAGCTTGCTAGATTGTGGAACACTCTGGAATACAAAAAAATACGAAAATGAAACCAATTCGCTTCTACTTTGCTCCATTTCCTCGCGAAATGCGTCAAGACTGACACGTATCTTTCGGCTCGAGATTTGTGTTTACCTCCAGAATCATATCAAGCAAACTGGCAGCTTTCAAAAATGGCGGGGTTGTAATAGCATCCGTAATAACAACCCTGATAAAATCCATGATCAACTTCTTAACCGGATGTCGTATGAGAGTTTCCATGTCATCGTTGCACAAAACAACAGTTCCTCGAGCACGCGTTAAAATCTAAGTGAATAAAGTTAGTTTAGTTTGGGTTTCCTTCTGTAGTAACACTGGATCAATAAGAGATGATCCTTACTGGACCTCAAGGAAGAACAGTTTAGAACTGATAGAGCTATCCAGTTAGTATAAATAATGTTAGTTTAGTTTAGGTTTCCTTCTGTAGTAACACTGGACCAATAAGAGATGATCCTTACTAGACCTCTAGGAAGAACAGTTTAGAACTAATAGAGATATTCAGTATAAATAAAGTTAGTTTAGTTTAGGTTTCCTTCTGTAGTAACACTGGATCAATAAGAGATGATGCTTACTGGACCTCTAGGAAGAACAGTTTAGAACTGATAGAGCTATCCAGTGAATAGGGAGGTCATACCTCAAGAGAGGCATCATCTTTCGAGGTAATTCGCACTTGTTTAACTTCAGGGAATGCGATAGCAACCAAATGTTCAATAAAATCGTGGCTTGATGAAATCGCTGAGAACTGATCCACGTTGTGATAGAGAAATGTTAGAAACTGGATCACTGTGATTGGATACTCTTCAAGCCAAGAGCCTTGGGAACAGTTCTGCCATTCCTGGAGAGAACAAGCGATCATTGCAATTCTACCTTTTTGAGTGATGTAAATTAGTGAGGAGCTTTCGAAATGTGTACAAGAAAACGTCATTTGAGTGTAAATAAACACGAGAGTTTTGAAGTTGTCGAACTTACACTCATTAATTATAGAATTAGCTACATTACAAGTTATAAGAATTGCACCGGGTAATACGGCATTAGGCCTGCCGCACACGAGAGCTATTAGCTGAGGCAAAGACCACGCGTTGCTCGAAGTTACTCTCGTGTGCGGATAGTTTTTTGTGAATAATTCGCCTCGAGAGGCAAGTTTCTCACGTGTGCGGATGGTTTTCGGGCTGAGCTAACTGCCTCGCGAGGTCGCTAGGCTCAGCTGATAGCTCTCGTGTGCGGCGGGCTTAAAACAGTCGAATTATGTAGAAATCACTGACACACAAGTCTTCAAATTGTACCGCAGTGAATAAGGATGGGGTGGGAACGTACCTTGGCACACACCATCCTCGCCATAGTCAGCAGAACACAGGCCGCCTCGGCGCAGTAGATGGAATGTTTCTCTGGTCCGAGTGGAGAAGGTGGGGGACTGGTGTTCGATATGGAGGTCTGTGACACCCAAAATACATGATACAAACTGTCCCAATCAAACTGCTTCCCAGCGTCCACATCTGAAGAGATACAATGATTAATACACTTATATACCCTTCACCCATGTCTACCCATATACCCCCTTACACTTATCCCCCTTACCCCTACCCCCTTATCCCCCTTACCCCTATCCCTTATCCCCTTACCCCTACACATCCCCTACCCCTTTACCCATACTCCCCCTTACCCCTACCCCCTTACCTATATCCCCTTTACCCCTACCGCCTTACCCATACCCTCCCTCACCCAAACACTTCACCCTTCATAAATCAATCATACATCATTGATAATCCCATAACCCGATACCCCTTTGACGTCCAGCTCCGTAAAACCACACCACCACCCTCTTCTAATATAAACTCAAAAGCTTTCTTCGTTTGTCTCACCTGCGACAGGATGTTTCAGCAAAAGACTGATGACCAAATGATAAATTTCCGGGATATCAACATGTTTTGATAGAAGTTGATTCAGACTAACAAAACCAGGAACATTGACAACGCTTTTGTTCACTTCACAAAACCCCTCCTGGCTTGAAGAAGCCCTCACTTCAAACCCTGAAAATACAGTATCGAAAAACAGATTAGCGGATTACCAGCTTAAAAAAGTCGGTTTAGTTAAGGTTTCCTCTTGTAAAAAAACTGGGTCAATAAGAGACGATCCTTACTGGACCTCGAGGAAGAACAGTTTAGAACTGATAGAGCTATCCAGTATAAATAACGTTAGTCTAGTTTAGTTTTCCTTCTGTAGTAACACTGGATCAATAAGAGATGATCCTTACTGAAACTCTAGGAAGTACAGTTTAGCACTGATAGAACTATCCAGTATAAATAGAGTCAGTTTAGTTTAGGTTTCCTCCTGTAGTAACACTGGATCAATAAGAGATTATCCTTACTGGACCTCTAGGAAGAACAGTTTAGAAATGATAGAGTTATCCAGTATAAATAAAGTTAGTTTAGTTTAGGTTTCTTCCTGTATCAACACTGGATCAATAAGAGATGATCCTTACTGGACCTCTAGGAAGAACAGTTTAGAACTGATAGAGCTATACAGTATAATTAAAGTTAGTTTAGTTTAGGTTTCCTCCTGTAGTAACACTGGATCAATAAGAGATGATCCTAACTGGACCTCTGGGAAGAAGAGTTTAGAACTGATAGAACTATCCAGTATAAATAAAGTTAGTTTAGTTAAGGTTTCCTCCTGTAGTAACACTGGATCAATAAGAGATGATCCTTACTGGACCTCTAGGAATAACAGTTTAGAACTGATAGAGCTATCCAGTATAAATAGAGTCAGTTTAGTTTAGGTTTCCTCCTGTAGTAACACTGGATCAATAAGATCCTTACTGGACCTCTAGGAAGAACAGTTTAGAACTGATAGAGCTATCCAGTATAAATAAAGTTAGTTTAGTTTAGGTTTCCTCCTGTAGTAACACTGGGTCAATAAGAGACGATCCTTACAGGACCTCGAAGAAAAACAGTTTAGAACTGATAGAGCTATCCAGTATAAATAAAGTTACTTTGGTTTAGGTTTCCTCCTGTAGTAACACTGGATCAATAAGAGATGATCCTTACTGGACCTCTAGGAAGAACAGTTTAGAACTGATAGAGCTATCCAGTATAAATAAAGTTAGTTTAGTTTAGGTTTCCTCCTGTAGTAACACTGGATCAATAAGAGATGATCCTTACTGGACCTCTAGGAAGAACAGTTTTATTTAGAACTGATAGAGCTATCCAGTATAAATAAAGTTAGTTTCGTTTAGGTTTCCTCCTGCAATACACTGGATATAAAAAAGACAAGATCTTCACTAGACCTGAACGAAGACAAGCTCAACAGAAGCATCATCAACTTACCTGCAACAACATGAACAGATTTACTTCCCAGAGCGTCCGTTCCTCTTAACCAGCCGCCATTGCAAGAGCCTTCTTTGAATCGACCCAAAGCACTGCTCTCGCTGAGAATCATGACGAGGAGTCTCAGTGCTCGCACTACGGTGGAACTATGAATATTCTCTTTCATGAATAACATGACCCAGTCAAAGCCAAGAATCTCCTGAATCAAAAGCGAAAATCTGCAAGAAAAAGGCCGGTTGAAGAGGTGATGGTACATTACATTACTTCAGGTGACAACCAAACAGCGTTACAGTGAAATATAATAAAACCTAGAACGATAATTACGCCGCCACCTTTGATGCCTAAATTGAAGGTGGTTTTTCGGAGTTTTTTACTCGAGACTAGCTCAAAACCGACTAGCTTACTCGAGACTACCTAACGAGACTTTAAAACCTAAATATCTGGGAATGTTTAGAAATAAGTAGAATACATTGTTCTGCTAATTTTTAGAAAAACAGAACAGGCAACAGAGTAAAAAATCCAGTTTTTTGGTTCATATTTTAGCGTCCACGAAAGAAGGTACTGAACTATAGAAGTTATTATTATTCCACGTTTAATTTCAGTTCACGGCGACCAAAAGCTAGCAAAAAGAGAGAAAATAGGCTCACTCTTGAGTCATATCTTGAGTCATCAAACAACGCAACAATTTACGGTCCATTGTTTTGAGAAAATAACACTATGAAATACAATATGAATTGAAAATATTCGCCCACCTTTCATTGACCTGTCCTTTCTTAGCACCAGCGACAAGGACAAGGAAGATCTCCAACAAAGAATTTCTCAAAATGATCTTCTTTCCCATTCGCTGTTCTGCGGTTTCCGCCTTGGCTTCTGGTGATAAAAGCGTGTTTTCGATGGCATTGATGTCGATCAGAGATTCCTTTTGGTCCGGAGAACTTAGCGTCCATGTTAGAAACTGACCAAATCTGTTGAGGAAATTTTAGACATTGTGATTCAAAGTGACGAGGGACATGCACTGGGTTTACAAAGATGCATATTCTAGTTTAGGTTTCCTCCTTTAGTAACACTGCATCTTTACTAGAACTTTTGGAAGAACAGTTTAGAACTGATAGAGTTATCCAGTATAAATAAAGTTAGTTCAGTTTAGGTTTCCTCCTGTAGTAACACTGGATCGATAAGAGATGATCCTTACTGAACCTCTAGGAAGAGCAGCTTAGAACTGATAGAGCTATCCAGTATAAATAAAGTTAGTTTAGTTTAGTTTTACCTCAGTATATTTCTCTTGTCATTGCCATGATTCAGTAATATGGTCAAAACTTCACACGTCATTTTGATCGTTGCCACGGGAATTGTGTCATCTTTCAAAACGAACAACAGTTTTGAAATGACACCCAGTTCTTGCATGAGTTTAACGTTGATGGAAAGCTGACTACAAATGAAATTTGATATTTCAAGTAATGATTGACTGAAGAACTGATAAAATTATCCGGTATAAAAGTATATAAATTCATCTATAATAATTACGTTGGAACACTGAGCAGTTCCAGGAAGTGGGCAACCAACGATTTTTGTAAATTCTCTGGAGCTCGCGTCCAAACTTCGAAGTCACACAACAGATCTTTGAAAGCAATTTCATTCGGGATGGTAGACATTTCTCTTTCGCTGTCGACTGTCCCGACGAGGGCGAATGTAAGATGAAGTATATGCGTGTTTAAAAGTTGACTTTTTCTTTTGAATAAAAGCGCAAGGATCTAGCGAGAAAAAGGGGCAAATCTTTAATAGGATTTTGTACTGATGCGTTCCTTTTATTTCTGCTTCTAGTTTGACTCTACCAAACACAGTGGTTAGTACATGTGTCTTTCATCTCTGTGACTGAGGTTTGATTCCTGTAATATGCAGTTATTTGATTATAATTTCACCTCAGTCACATGTGAGAAGAGTGCTTCTAGTTTGACTCTACCAAACACAGTGGTTAGTATATGTGTCTTTCATCTCTGTGACTGAGGTTTGATTTCTGTAATACGCAGTTGTGTGATTTAATTTCACCTCAGTCAAGAGTGCAATGTGAGAAGAGTGCTTCTAGTTTGACTCTACCAAACACAGTGGTTAATACATGCGTCTTTCATCTCGGTGACTGAGGTTTGATTCCTGTAATATGCAGTTGTCTGATTATAATTTCATCTCAGTCACATGTGAGAAGAGTGCTTCTAGTTTGACTCTACCAAACACAGTGGTTAGTCCATGTGTCTTTCATTTCTGTGACTGAAGTTTGATTTCTGTAATATGCAGTTGTCTGATTATAATTTCACCTCAGTCACATGTGAGAAGAGTTCTTCTAGTTTGACTCTACCACAGAATACCTATCAGAAGTAGAACTCCTGTACTTTTTTCGTAAGTGTGATTCGTCATGATTCGTCACTTAGCAAGTGCATTAAATTAAGGCAGTCACCCCCCTGCGAATGTCTAAAATGACCCCATTTTTAATATTGGCAGGGGGGTAATTGCCCCAATATAATGCACTTGCTAAGTGACGAATCATGACGAATCACACTTACGAAAAAATAGTATAGAGTTATTTTTCTGATAGGTATTCTGTGACTCTACCAAACACAGTGGTTAGTACATGTGTCTTTCATCTCTGTGACTGAGGTTTGATTCCTATCTAAGTAATGTAACATTTTAAAAAACGAAGTTGTTTGTTTTTAAAGTCTTGTACAAACCTGATATCCTTTGATTCGTTCCATATCCTGTCTGGACGAAAAACTCTGCTTCAGGACACAGCTGAGGGCCTTCACAGCGGCATACAACATTTCCACGTCATTTGCCATGGCAACGAGCCCGAGCAAAGTAATCGTCCCGCCAACGCAGCATATCAGCTCAGCCACGGGCCTGGGGTTGAATGTTCTCACACCTAGAACAGAGTGAGATGTCAATCGGGTGACGTCATCGCTACATTAACTAAATGACGTCATCGTTATCAGGAATTAACGACGTCATCATACCTGAAATCCCAATAATAACTCCACCGAGACACCTTGAAGGACCTTGAAGGTGACCGGCCGTGTTGTGAACCAAGCGGACTGGGGTTGAGTTATCCTTTTTTGACAAACCAAGCTACGAAAGACAAAGAATGTGGTCAGCTTAAGGTGGCTACGTACAGTTTCTTAAGAACTGTAAAACGCACATCTTTTATCTACGAATTACCGAATTTAATTTTAAGAATGAATCCTAGTAAGCCAAATCATAATGAAACAACAGTAGTACCTTGTGTGCAACAGTGCGACTTTCAGCTTTTGAGAAATGTTTTCTAAGCTTCGCAATGGTCAGCAGCGAGGTTGCATGAGCGTGGAGACCAAACACGATGTTAGCTTCAGCTACGAGTGGCTCTCGTATTTCACGTTCGCCCTGAATAAAAACAAAAGGGCTTTAGAAAGCATTACTCACCACAACCTCATTATTATTCACTATAACCTCATTATTATTCATTATAACCTCATTATTATTCATTATAACCTCATTATTATTCATTATAACCTCATTATTATTCATTATAACGTCATTATTATTCATTATAACCTCATTATTATTCACGATAACCTCATTATTATTCATTATAACCTCATTATTATTCATTATAACCTCATTATTATTCACTATAACCTCATTATTATTCATTATAACCTGATAATTATTCACTATAATCTAATTACCATTCACTATAACCTAATTACTATTCACTATAATCTGATTAATATTCACAATAATTTTAGTTATTATTGACAATAGTTTAATAAACTTATGCCTATTATTTTTGAACTCTTGCAGTAAAAATAAACGCAAAACAAGTTAACGTATAAACATTTTAAAGGTACTGTGAGGTACAGGATGAAATTATAGAGTTTGTTGTGAAACTTACACTGTGACTATTCTTGTTAATAAAAGGTGCTTGAAAGCTACCAAGATAGCTTGGGCCAAGTTGATACATAAGTGCAGCTTCAGTTGCCTGAATTGGTTCCTCTAAGAGATGACATGGTCCTAGCTGCCATATTAACTTTGAACAACGTCTGAGAGAACGACGAGTGCCGATGTAAGTGTCAATTGTTGATACCGTGTACGGAGCATTGCTGGGTGATGTGTTTTGAATATAACGTAGCTGAAAGTTAAAATATACTGTACGTTAGTTAGCTTCTAAGGTCAACTAACATTGGATCAATACAAGATGATCAATGCTGGTCCACTAGGAAAAACAGTTTAGAACTGGTAGAGCTCTCCAGGGAAATAAAGTTAGTTTAGTTTAGGTTTTGTCCTGTAGTAACACTGGATCGATAAGAGATGATCCTTACTGGACCTCAAGGAAGAACAGTTTAGAACTGATAGAGCTATCCAGTATAAATAAAGTTAGTTTAGTTTAGGTTTCCTCCTGTAGTAATACTGGATCAATAAGAGATGATCCTTACTGGACCTCAAGGAAGAACAGTTTAGAACTGATAGAGCTATACAGTATAAATAAAGTTAGTTTGGTTTAGGTTTCCTCCTGTAGTAACACTGGATCAATAAGAGATGATCCTTACTGGACCTCTGAGAAGAACAGTCTGGAACTGATAGAGCTATCCAGTATCAATGCAGTAGTCCAAAATATTCTAGCATACCACCATGACACCCTAGCTAACCTTTTCAGTCCCGACGAATCCGCCATCAAGATATACGGTGGCTGTGCTGGGTTTGTGAATGAATCCTCTGTTCAAGGTCACGACAACATGATGCCAGTATCCCTCCTTGATACGGTCGCGAAGGGAAAATCTTGCCTCGTTTCGAGATTTTGATTTCTTCCCAGGCGGTGTATGTCCGGTTAATTCTTCCTCTGTTGTCACCTAAAATCATGCACACCTCGATAATTTCGATTGAGTTTTTCTTCGTACGAAACTACTGTTTAAACTCGACAATTTCAACGGGTTGTTTTTTTGCGAAATGGCAGTTGTTTCGAGAGTTTTGAGAGTAAAATATTTATCCTTTTGTTAAATTTCTGACATTTCCAGTTTTTAACGGCTTCACTTATATACAGCCTAAAATTTGTCGTCAAATATATTTCAACTCAACCAGTAATTTATCAATTATATAAGAATTCACTGGTTTTGACTCTTTTCAACAGGACTGACCTATATTGTGAGCTTTAGCGGTGACTACGAGTACGAAAGTACGAAATGCGTTATTTTCGCGCCAAATTCGGTGCTGTTTGCCCACGCCATCTGACGAAACTGCTAGTCGTCAGCATTTGACCAAGAAATTGATCAGCGTACTCTCTCACCAAAGCTCGACGACAACGAGTTTTGCATGTATAGACGTTAAAATTTTGTGTACGACTTTCTTGAATAATTTCGTAGTCGTAAGTACAAGGAGAGTGTCGTCAGATGGCGTGAGCAGCAGCAGCACGTTTGGCGCGAAAATGACGAGTTTCGTACTCGTACTCGTAGTCATTGCCTCGGGTAGACAAGCGATTTTTAGCGGCGATGTTCTCCTCCTGGTGTATGTCACTGAGTACATTTAACAGATTAGCTTACTTTTTTCGACAATCTTATACAGCTGTGTAATAACAATACATACGCTAGAAAGAGAAAATCGCCAACAAAATCGCCAAGCCAAAATCCTTAATAACTTGAAGAACACAAACTATATTTCAAAGAAACATCATCTTTACCACAAGCGAGCGATCCAAGTCTGTTGCTGACAGACGAATATTTAAACACGTGTCTTCACGGTGGGTTTTGTTGAGCTGTTTTGTTCTCCAGAGTATCGTGAGCAACCGAACGGGATGTGGGTCCTGGAAAGGACTGCTGAATCTCTCGACACAAAACCACGCGATGTACGTGAGCCCAGCTTGTGGCGGGAAATTACGATCGCTAGCGCCCATTCCATGCACGGCGCCAATCATCGCTGATGAGACTCCCGTCATTGCGCCCACTATTGCTGTATCTGAGAGTAAGTAGAAATTTGAAGTTACAATCATTCAGCGCAGTCCAGTATGAAAAGAGTTAGTTTGGTTTAGATTTCCTCCTGTAGCAACACTAGTTAAATAACTGGATCTCTAGGAAGAACAGTTTAGAACTGATAGAGCTATCCAGTATAAATAAAGTTAGTTTAGTTTAGGTTTCCTCTTGTAGTAACACTGGATCAATAAGAGATGATCCTTACTGGACCTCTAGGAAGAACAGTTTAGAACTGATAGAGCTATTCAGTGTAAATAAAGTTACTTCAGTTTAGGTTTCCTTTTGTAGTAACACTGGTTCAATAAGAGATGGCTTCTGGTCCTCTGGGAAGAACTGTTTAAAACTGATATAAGCGAAGTCAGTTTAGTGGAGTTTCTCACCTGGTGGTACATGAGGGGCGATGGAGGGAAAGTACAGACATCCATAACCATCCAAACTCATATTAAACTCAACGAACCCAGGTAAGCTGGTTGTCCCACACAGATGCATATCACGTGGCGTTGTCATGGAAACTAAACATTTGATCCTAGACAAGGCCACAGGGCCGCCTCCTTGCCGGGTTGCAATTTCGGTAACCGAGTTGATGTCCGTCAGAGTGTTCAAACCAAGATCCAGCTTGGTTGGGGGACCGTTGGTTAGTTTATTACCACCACCAGTGCTGTCAACTGAAGATCCCATCACATTGTGAGTTCCAGAAATTAAATCAGAGTATGTATTCTTATTCCTCGGACTCCTAAAAACTCCTCCAGAGTCATTAGTAAGGGATAATCCTTCATTACCTCTGGATAATTGATTTGAAAACTCAGACCCAGCGTGTTCTGCCTGAATACTCTCTAGAGAACCCTCATTTGACATACTAACAATATCATACTCGTTTACTCCTGAGGTACCTTGTTGACCACCAGTATCCAATAAAGGCCCGTCATTTTTTTTATTTTCATTGTCTTGTCCAGCAATTATAGCCCTAGAAATACCATTCGATCCCTTACAATCCCTTTTAGTCCTACGTCGTTCATTCACTATCAAGGTCTCAACGGGAAGCGTATTATTCATAGCAGTTAAATCTACGTTACCCCGAAGTGACCCTAAATTAGGAATACCCACTGGGGTACTTGCATCGCTCACAGAATATCCTAAACAACTGTCAGGTGACTCTAAAGGTCCCTTATTACCCTCTGGTGACCCTATATCATCATCAATCCCATCGATTGAAGAACTTGGAGACGGTGTATAAAACTTGGATTTTGATTTACTTCGAGGTTTCCTGCGAGGTCTCTTAGTACTCTTAGGGATAACACGGGACTTTAGATGACGGTGAAGATTATCCTCACTGTTCCCATCGAGTCCATCTTCACCCCCTGACAAAGAACTGTTGGCCGAGCTTGACCTTGAGCGATTGCCAGAAAAACGATTTCCGGATGGGAATATTGCCTCGTTAAAGTCTTTAATCAAAGATTGTTTGTGTACATCCGGGTTTGTATCTTTGCTGACGTGATCTGGCGTGTTCTTATTGGTCAAGCCGCCGTCTATCATGTCGGCCTTTCTTCTATCCTCTCGTTTCGTTACTTCGTGAATTTCCACGTCGGCGCAACGAAGCGGAAGCGCGAGTCTCATGAAATCCCTTTGTAATTACAAAAAACAAAATAACATTTGTAATTCAGACTAGCCACTGAACTTTATACTAAGACTGGATATCGCATTAGAAGCCGGAATAATTTTAGAAGACAAATCTCTTTAACAATGCAGGCTATAAGCTACTCCCACTGATCTTACCATACACTGGATGTATTACTCCAGAGACTAATACCGATTTTTAGAAATGCACTTTTTCATAAATTAATCCCAATTTCTTTTATGATAGGTATAGTCCATCCAGTGCATTTTCAGATCAGTGGCCATTCTGAGGTATTACAAGAGGACTGGTGATAGCGAGGTTAGCGATGCATCACGGGACTGTTTGGGGGATGCGAACAAGAGGCTTCTTTCCGAAATAGTCCCATGATGCCTTATCAAGCTCGTTATCACCAGTCCTCGAATGCAACTCCGAAGTTGCAAATTCCTGCAAAATCTTGCACTTTGTGGACAATATTCTCACCTTAGTACAACTGGGGTGAGTGCCTGGGTTGCAAGACGCTCAAATACTCTCTGTAAAGGTAAGTGAAGTGGATGTTCCTCGAGCTCCAAGGCAGCTTGACAATGCAAGAGCATCTGCTGAGGGAGACCAGCCTGACACATGACTTGTTGATTGCGTTCTGAACGTAAACACGATTGCACTTTGTTCGCGACATAAAGCTGTAAATCAAGAGCATCCTGTAACGAAAAAAACACTTTATCAGTTTTAAACTGTTCTTTCTAGATGTCCAGTAAAGATATTCTCTGATTGAACCAGTGTCACTACAGGAAAAAACCTTAACTAAATTAACCACTGTGTTTGGTAGAGTCAAACTAGAAGCACTCTTCTCACATGTGACTGAGGTGAAATTATAATCAGACAACTGCATATTACAGAAATCAAACCTCAGTCACAGAGATGAAAGACACATGTTTAAACGAAGCCAACCAAAGCACACACTACAAAATCTACAACATCTGAACAACACTGTACCTGATAGTCCCCATCCTCATGCAAAATCAGATCTTCCTGAGACTCAAAAATGGACGGCAACAGCTCCACAAGAACGGTGACAGCTCCTGGGTGACAGATGCAAGACACGTCCAACGGATAAACACGACTTGTGTCGGTGTCATCGCTGATTGATGTGTCTGACTTGAGAGTGAACGAATCCATCGCCATATCCAGCAGGCAGTGCAGGACATGTAAAGCAGCGAATAGGGAAGATGCGGGATGAAATTTAGGGATCTGCGGGTCGACGTATATTGATGATCGGGCTGAGCGGGTGCGCTTCAGGCGGGTCTTCATTCCGGTCGGAGAAACTATCCGTCCTTCGGATAACGTTGTGCTGTTCGTATCGAAACACCCAAGAAGACGTAGGCTGTCTGCTAAACCTTTGTAACGCACCTGTGAATAACGAAAATTGCTCTATTAAATGATTTTAATGTTGTAGATTCGTCAGTTCTAAACTGTTCTTCTCAGAGGGCCAATAAGGATCATCTCTTATTGATCTAGTGTTACTACAGGAGGAAACCTGAACTACTTAATTTAAGCTGAATAGCTCAATCAGTTCTAATCTGGGATTCCTAAGGACTAACTCTTGTTTAAAACAACAAGAAAATAAAATTATTAACCTCATCCATGAAAAAAGTTTTGTTTGCGGGTTCATCCTGCATGGCGCTTGTGAGAACGTAGAAAACGACACGAAATAATTCCAAAATGTCGGATCTTTCAACTAAACAAGAGATGGGGTGATATGTCATGACACAAGCGATGGCATCAATATCAGAAAGCTGACTCTTTAAGTCTATCTTACTTGAAGTCTTGGTTTGAAATTAGACGGCTGTCAGTTAAGTGCGCCCGCGATTGTTCGGCAACAACAAGCCCCGGGCATTAAGACACGCGCATGGGCAGCTAATGGATCATATGTCCTTTAAATTTAGGCATCCTATGACCCTGGGTTTGAATTTATCTTAACGAAACGAAAAGCCCCTTATGTCATATCATGTTCACGATTATCCCTTTATGTTCCTTACCATCCTTCCATATCGGGTTGGGGTTATTGCTCAAAGCTCCCTCCATGCTCATGAGCACGGATATGACGTAAACAAACCCGCCGACGTCACGAAACATTGCCCTCGTCCCAGGCTCCAAGGCAAACACTCTTATTACTGTTCGTAAGAGGGCGATCTTCATCGGGACGACCAGCGTGGTGCAGGTGTTTGTTGATCTCAGCAACGCTCCTGAACAGAAAAACTCGACAGTTCAAATTCGATTCTTAAGGCTGTTACACTTGCCACTTTTGCTGCATTTTCTTCTTTTGACAGATGTGAACGAGTATTTCGTTACGAATGCTCTGACGTATAAGAGCTCTTATTTAAACATCAGTAACTAATTCACACGTTCACATCTTTCAAAAGAAGAAAATCGCTAATAAAATGGCAGCAAAAATTGCAAATATCAACTGGCCTTTAAAGCAATTTTCTTGGCTTTATCATTCTTACTTAGGATAAGGTTTTTCATGAAGAGTTAACTCGTCCGGGCGGAGTTAAAGAGATAGAAAGTCTGTAATGTTTTACACAAAAGGAAAAACATGGTATCGGTTCAGATCAGACTACTTCGAGAAACCACTGTTCGCTTATTTCTTGGAAAAAAATTCCTGCTGTATTTGTCATCTTGTATTTGGATAGAACAAATTACTCTTGTTATGTTTAAAGTTGAATATTTGGCTATCGCTCATTACAAGAAATCTACAATATTTATACAAACCTAGGTCATCTCTTCCACCATCCAAAATTAACTCTTGAATAATTTTCAACGCCTCTCCTCGGGAGTTCTCGTACTTTACCAAACCTTGGACACATTGTGCTCCGCCGCAATGACGAAACATCGCGGCATTTTCCGAGCATTTCTCGAGCATTATACGAACACACTCCATCAGTAACATGGGATAATCGGCATATTTTGCCAAAGTGTCCTCATCTGGGATGAGTTCAGGATCGACCTTAAAACTTTTAGTTTCTTTGGCTGAAATATCGTCACTCTCTGAACCTAGTAAGTCAGATTTATTTCTGTGAAGAAAATGCGACTTTTCTTTTACTAGATAGTTCTATCAGTTTTAAACTGTTCTTCCTAGAGGTCCAGTAAGGATCATCTCTTATCGACCCAGTGTTACTACAAAAGGAAACTTAAACAAAACTAACTTTATTTATACTGGATAGTTCTATCAGTTTTAAACTGTTCTTCCTAGAGGTCCAGTAAGGATCATCTCTTATCGACCCAGTGTTACTACAAAAGGAAACTTAAACTAAACTAACTTTATTTATACTTGATAGCTCTATCAGTTCTAAACTGTTCTTCCTAGAGGTCCAGTAAGGATCATCTCTTATCGACCCAGTGTTACTACAAAAGGAATCCTAAACTAAACTAACTTTATTTACACTAGATAGCTCTATCATTTCTAAACTGTTCTTCCTAGAGGTCCAGTAAGGATCATCTCTTATTGATCCAGTGTTACTACAGGAGGAAACCTAAACTAAACTAACTTTATTTATACTGGAGAACTCTATCAGTGCTAAACTGTTCTTTCTAGAGGTCCAGTAAGGATCATCTCTTATTAATCCAGTGTTACTACAGGAGGAAACCTAAACTAAACTATAACTTTATTTATACTGGATAACTCTATCAGTTTTAAAATGTTCTTCCTAGAGGTCCAGTAAGGATCATCTCTCGTTGTTTTATTGTTACCGAGGGTTAGAACAGAATCATATTATCACATTTGACTAGCTTGAAAGAAAAGTTTACCCTCCATGTTTGACATCTTTTCCAATGCAACAGAATAATAAACTAAGCAGTTCGTCAACACTTCCAAAAGGCCAACATCACGAAAAACATGTTTATATTGATCCTTGTAGTTTACCAGTTGAATAAGAACTTCTAATGCGAAAATCCATGAACTATGTACCCTAAATATAAGAATGCATCTGATTTAAGATATGTTTGGCATATAGAAAGGGCTTGGTATAAGTGTATTAAAGAAGCATTTGCATTACAATTACAGAGCTGTATTATAGAGCGGGCCTGAGTACATTTTAGAGAGGTATCTGTATTAGATAGGTGTCTGTATTAGAGAGGCTGTATTAGCGAGGTATCTGTTTTAGAGAAGAGTGTATTAGAGAGGTGTCTGTATTAGAGAGGCGTGTATTAGAGAGATGTCTGTGTTAGAAAGGCGTGTATTAGAGAAAAGAGCATTAGAGAGGTGTCTGTATCAGAGGGGCGTGTATTGGAACAGTGCCTGTATTAGAGAGGGGAGCATTAGAGAGGTGTCTGTATTAGAGAGGAGTGCATTAGAGAGGTGCCTGTATTAGAGAGGAGTGCATTAGAGAGGTGTCTGTATTAGAGAGGCGTGTATTGGAGCAGTGCCTGTATTAGAGAGGAGTGCATTAGAGAGGTGTCTGTATTAGAGAGGAGGGCATTAGAGAGGTGTCTGTATTAGCGAAGTGTCTGTGTTAGAGAGGTGTCTGTGTTAGAGAGGAGTGCATTAGAGAGGTGTCTGTATTAGAGAGGGGCGCATTAGAGAGGTGTCTGTATTAGGGAGGAATGCATTAGAGAGGTGTCTGTATTAGAGAAGTGAACATATTAGAAAGGTGTCTGCATTTGAAAAAGGTGTCTATATTAGAGAGGTATCTGTATTAAAGAGGAAACAATATTAGAGAAGAGTGTATTAGAGAGGGGTGTATTACAGAGATGTCCGTATTAGAGAAGTGCGCATATTAGGGAGGTGTCTATATTAGAGAGGAGTATATCAGAGGGGTGTGTGTATTAAAGAGGAGTGTATTAGAGGGGTGTGTGTGTGTGTGTTAGAGAGGTGTGTCTGTTACAGTAGAAAGGTATCAGAGAGGTGTACTAGAGAGGTGCGCATATTAGAGAGGGGTGTGTCTTAAAGAGAAACCTGTATCAAGGAAGTGCCTGTATAAAAGAGGCATGTCTATTAGAGAGAAATTTGCATTAGAGAAGTGTCTGTATTGGAGAAGTTTTGTATCTGCATCAAGTCTTGTCTTGAATCAGTAACAATGTTATTACTTACCTTGTATTTTTAAACAACATGCTTAGGGAAATGAGCTCTGGTGAAGGCGTCCAGTTGAGGTTGCATGCGACAAACTCGATTAATTTTAAAACTTTTTCCTGAATTGGGGCTTCTTTTTCATTAATTTTTCCAATGAATGTTGAGATGGTTCTCTGTTGTTCGAGGATGAAATAATTCACCGGATCCGAAGTGTAGATGCGTCGTATTGAGTCGAGAATGTGCTGACATAAAAGACCATCATCGCTCTGAAAATGAAGTGTTAAAAAGTAAGAATCATTCAGCCAAAGCTAAGAAAAGTGAGAAAATAATAATATTGAATTTTTTACAAACCCTAACAAATACTGCTTGTAAAACATGAAATGCTTCGATATTTCGAACAGTTTTTCCTGCAAAGAAATGCAAAACAGTAGTATTTTCATATTGGACAGGTTTATGTATGAATTTAAAACTGCTCTTTCTAGATGTCCCAGTAAGGATCTTCTCTTAAGACTTGTTTACACTTGCAATTTTCGCTGCAATTTGTGCTCTTCTTTTGAAACATGTGAACAAGTGGATAGGTTTTAAATGAACAAGTAAAGGCATTTTACAACTGTCTACTTGTTCACATCTTTCAAAAGAAGAGATCGAATCACATGAAAAATTGCAACAAAAACCCCATCTAGTGTTACTACAGAAACAAACCTAAACTAAACCAAATTTAATTATACTGGATAGCTTTATCAGTTCTAAAGTGTTCTTCCTAGAGGTACAATAAGGATCTTATTAATCCATTGTTACTACAGGAGGAAACCTAAACTAAACTAACTTTATTGATACTGGATAGCCTTATCAGTTCTAAAGTGTTCTTCCTAGAGGTCCAGTAAGGATCATCTCTTATTGATCCAGTGTTACTACAGGGGGAAACCTAAACTAAACTAACTTTATTTATACTGGATAGCTTTATCAGTTCTAAAGTGTTCTTCCTAGAGGTACAGTAAGGATAATCTCTTATTGATCTAGTGTTACTACAGGAGGAAACCTAAACTAAGCTGACTTTATTTATAAGGTATATCTATTAATTAGTAATACCATTTTCTGTTGCCTCAGGCATCTGAAATTCTGAATCTTGAAATGGGGCACCAATGCTCTGAGATGGCCTCAATGGCGTATAACCAACCATGGCAAAATCCGATACACATATAACCATACTACGACAAGCCTCTGCGGCTAAATGGTCGTCCATTTCCCCAAGTTGTAATAGGTACTCTTGAAGGAACAGATAACCTTGGCATGAGCGGAAGTCGTCCATCAGCACAGGTGAAATTGCAGTGGAGTCTTGCAGAATTCTAAAGATGGTGATGAACATCTCGACAAGTTCCAAAGGCGTCTCAGTTTGAATTTGCCGCATACTTGAAACACATAGACTGACACATGATTTACCTAAAAATTCGATGTTTTTTAATTAAAAACACATCTCAGACAAACATGATAAATGAGTGAAATATGATATGGTGGCTTGTTTAAATATTGTTTCATGGAATTAACATGTCTCATTTTAGAGGAGTTCTCCCTTAACTTTTGACCTAAGGCCATTTACCAGGGAAATAGTTTGGGAGAGATATATTATCATTTACTAATAATCATGAACTTTGGTGAAAACATTTTGAGAAATTCTCTTGAATATTTTGGGCAAAAAAATCATCCAAAATCTGAACTAATACAAGTTGTAAAAAAGAATAATGTTGCAACACGTTAAGTATCTAAGTTGATACATTTAATAAAAAACTAATTAATTTGCAATTAAATATACGACAGAAATTTCCAGACATATGTCAGACAATGAATGAAATCAAAGTAAAAAAACGATCACAAAATAAACAATATTTTACCGTGAATGTAATTGCAGACATCATCTCTGAAGCCGTGGCGAGTTATGCTCGTTAGAACCTCACAAATTCCCGTCCGCCAACCAATGTTGTGAGGCTGGCACTTACAAGTCATTGCAGTGAACAGAATAAACAAGTCATCTGTCCTGACAAGTTCCTGTGCTGTGATGCCCTGATTGCATAAACGGACAAGCAACTGTATAAATAGTCTCTGCACTGTCGAATAGGAGATCTCTAAGGCGTCCGATTCCTCGTTTGACGATGCTGAAGGCCGAGGAAGTTCAAAAAACAAGTACAAACAATGCACCAAAGTTGATGGCAATTGAGTCGCTATCATGTCCGAAATTATCGCGCTTTCCCCGTTCGCCAAAATGCTTAAACTATTCAGGAGGTTCCAGCCAGATTGCGGGTTGTTATCTCGTCTTTCTATGAGGAAGTTCATGATTGCTGTGCTAGCGTTGTCGTTCGATCTGTTTACTGCATGTCTTCGTATTTCGTTGACCATCAGTCGCGAAGTGTGTGCTGCAAATTGAAGGACGTCTCCAAAGCGTTCGGTCATTTCCGTCCCTCCCGCTTTCGAGAACACTTTGTTAAACACAGGTAGCATAGCGTAGAGCTTCTCCTCTTGTTCTTTCAACGTTAGAGGCACCGATGAGTGGATAAACTCCATGAAAAGCTTACGAAGATGCATCAAACTTAGGCCGGCATCGCCAGTGAATGTCGAAGTGTCATCCACAGTTGGACGGCGGCCCATCAGCATTCGGACGATTCCCTTCGGATTCATTGCCGTTGATGTATTTTGGAAAGGGCTTCTATTTATTTCTTTTCATTTTAGACAAGAATTCGGCCTGTTTTTACAGCTCCTGTCAAGGAAAACAAATCTTGTTACCTCATTCAAATATAATACATGCCCTTGGCCAACTTTGATATTGATGTTTTGTGGTTTTCACCCCCCTGTCTCGGAATAGAAGAACTCCCCCCCCCAACCAACCATATGGCAAACATTTTATAGACATAATATACTAAGGTTTCCCACAAATAATGAGCGTAAAACCTTACAAATTGCTTATAGTCGGTGCGGGGCTGACGGCTGCTGTTACAAGTGCTTTGATAAAACAATGTCTTCCTGGTAGAAATATTGAAATTCACGTCTGGGAGAAATCTCGAGGAATTGGTGGTAGAATGAATAGTCATAGATCATCATCTGGTGGCAGGGTAGATCTTGGTGCTCAATACATTACTAGAAGCTCTCAGTATGCAGAAAAGCACAAGAGGTTGTATTTCATAAATAAATGCTTCCTTCAGCAGCTCATAGACAATCAGTTCCTTTGATTGTCTATGAACAGTTTCAAACGGTGATTTCCTAACAGACCGGTCCAGTAATTAATTGTGTTTTTAGTTCAGCGTTCGAGCATGCGCAGTCAACATACAAGTCTGTTCCGAACACTGATCTTAAAATTACTGGATCAATATTATTTCTTTTGAAGTTCTTTACAAACCGCATTGTTTGTTATCTAAATTAAACTTTAATATCAAGCAAATATCTGAAATTGCTAGCAGTTGAAATTGCCACTGTTTATTCTTCTGTTAGGACGCGTCAAAACCTTGCAGAATTCACGATCCCTGTTGTACATAATCTAGTTTTTTCTAAATAAGCGTTTTAAAAATAAAAAGGGAAAATAATGGGTTTAATCTCTGGTAGATTTTTTGATGATTTAATACGAAACGACGTTCTGAAACCTCTTCCTGGAATGATAGAAGGTGCAACGATTGAACAGAACAATGAAGACTTCATGGCTCCAAATGGAATAAACAGCGTTGTAAAATATTTCTTCAGTTCCTCGGGTACGAAATGATTGCAATGTCCGTTTTTTATTGGCCTATTTTCATCACGTGTTTTACTCTCATGCAAAACATGGCTCCCATATTTTTTCAAAGACATTGAGACACTGCTCCTTGATTATTCTTTACAAGTCCTAATAACAAGATCTCAAAACACTCGTGTCAAAGTTTAAAAACGTAGAGATGATGTTTTCGTTTGATATTTGTTTTCCAAGTGTCTAAACCATGCACTTACAGCACTTAGCATAAAGTAATATCCCATTTACAATACCTGTCTCATTGACATTGTTGACATCAAACTCACTTCACCTACAGATGCGAAAATAAAGCTAAACACATTTTGTCGAGAAATCAACCTGACATGTCAAAATAAAGAAACTTCAAAGCACGTCTGGACAGTCACAACAAAAGACGGGAACTCTGAAGAGTTTAATGGTGTCATATTAACCATTCCTGTTCCACAAATCTTACAACTCAATGGAACCTTCCAAGATGTTCTCAAAAATTACCAAAGCGAGCTTCAACAAGTCGAGTATTCCTCTCGCTACGCCTTGGCGCTGTTTTTCCCCGAGGATACGAAGTTGAATGTTTCCTGGATCGCGAAATATGTCAAAGATAATCCTTGCATTCGCTTCGTCTCTTTGGACTCTGTGAAGAGAGGATTTGGTTAGTTTTGCGAACTTTTATGGCATAAGTAATGATAGACCAAAAATTTAAATGAATGAGTTCATGAAAGTTGCTTTTGTCTGTTTGAAATCTTAAAAGTTAAAGCAGTAGTCTAAGACATTTTCTTGAAAAACTTCATGTGTTATCGAAAGGATATCACGTCCATTTTGAATGAGAATGCAACGATTTAAAACAAGATGCGGGTTGAAGTTTTAAATTTTTGAATTTGGTAGTCGTCTGACTCTTGCACATACTTTTTGATATGGTTTAACATGGTCTCAACCGAGCTGAGATTTTCAAATTCTTTCTATTTTTTTCAAATAGATAGTTCAACATCTGGTTTATCTATTTTGATTCACACAAGCGTCCCGTTTGGATTGGCAAATTTAGAATCGGACATTGGTGAAGTTGAGAATATCATTTATCAACATTTCCAAGAACTGTTTCCCAGTCTTCCTCCCCCAACATCCACCCGTTGCATCCGCTGGCGCTACTCACAGGTGTACAAGTCATATCCAGGGCAACCAGGAGCGCTTGACGTCAGCACGAAACCGTTGCTTGTGTTGGCAGGAGATTGCTTTGTCCATTCAAACTTCAGTGGATGTGTGGAGTCTGCAAATGCCGTCCTAAAAATTCTTCAAAAAGAGTTGAAAAGTAGTAATACTTGTCAGAGTAGTAATATTTGACAAAAAGGATAAGTTAAAAGAATGAATTTTCAAAGAAGATTCTTTAAAACATATACGATGTTTACCTGGTTTGAAAATACTTCCCCGAAAAGACAAGTTCTTGATGATTGAAAAAAGTCTTTAATAAAGACTGCTTAATCCGGCCGAAAAAGATATTGCAAAATAATGGTAAAACATGAAATAAAGGACTGTAAATGAAAACTGGACTACATTTATTTACTTAAATTACTACAATATGCTTATATATAATTATTTTTACACAAAATTCGGATGAAAAACATCGCTTATACATGCATGATTATGCGAATATAATTACACTACAAGCTAGAAAATATTTCAACATTGTCTCCTGTAGCTTTTTAGAAGTTCTAGGATATTATAACTTGAGAAATGAACCACTACAGCAAAACATTTTGCATTGACAAAAATCAACAGTGCCTAGCTAATCCCACCTTTCCCCTATAGGTTTCTATAGGTCCCTTAAATCCCCGTTAATATGGTCACGGGGTATTCCTTATAGAGAATCCAAAATGTGATTAAAAGTCAACGTGGATGACAAACACTGATCTTTAAAATACTGGATCGCGCATCCTTTTGAGGCGAAGGTAATTTTGAAGTCAGAATATTCCGAGGTAAAGTTTGAAACCTGCTCGATTATTTACAAAAAATGTATATTTTGTGATTTGAAAAATAAAGCTATCAACATCTCATTTTAAAATGTAAAATTGCTCATAGCAGATGCATAATCCAGTAGTTCTCGGGTCAGTGGTAATTAGCCAATTCCCAAAGTCCTGGGTCAAGTCCAGCCAGTGAACTCAAATAAGACTGGAACGCTCACTCTGTCGGAAGTTTGAAGCCAAGATGGCGGACAGCCATGAAGCCTTTCTTGTAGGTATGATCCAGGCCTCCACGCAGAAATTTCGCAGGTAAAATGGCAACAATTATGATTTTTCCTTTGAAATTTCCGCGCCAGAGGCCTGGATCATACCTACAAGAAAGGCTTCATGATCCGCCATCTTGGCTTCACTTATTAATGAGGGAAAGTCAGAGAGTGAGCGTTCCAGTCCTATTTGAGCAAATAACATATTTGGAGGTACAAGAAAATATGTCAAAACTCATTTGAATAAAATGTTTAGTGAAAATTGGATATTTCACTTTTCAGCCACCCCTGATCTTTCAAACATTTGACGCTGATATGTTTTTTTTTCTTCCAAACAAACCCACAAGGCACTCTGACCTGTTGTTTTTTTTGGAAAAGGCTTATATTTTAGTTCCTTCATTCCTATCAAAAGTGTCGACAATCCGCTATACTAAAGATGGCGGCATGTCGATTTGAAAATATTTTTTGCGAATTAAAATAAGTCAAGGAAACAATTTTAAAATGTTTCTGATGTCACATCAATTTAGCGAAGACTGACGTCTTTCTAACCAGGTTTATTACTTTTCTGTCATCGTATTTTTATCAATACAGGCGCAATTCTTTGCAAGCAGAAAGATGCAGAAAGTAAACGTCGTATTTTTAATACAAAACTACACCTCGAAGACACAAAGGTTCTTAAAAAGTAGCCAATCTTCACTTAATCGATGTGAAATATCAGAAATCTTACCATTACCATCGTACCCGACTTTAATTCGAAAGTAATTCTGATTAAAAAATCGCCATCTTTCAAATTATCGCGAACAGTCGACCACCATTTCTGCTATTGTTTGTCCACATGTTTTCCCATCCATCAAGAAAGTCTAGTCGGTTTCTTCCAAAGATATCATACCTTTCCGTATCTTCACAGCTATGTCGGCTAATTAGTTTCAAACGAATAACGTGTTTCGTATTTTGCTACCTCACCTTTCAACTTTTGCGCGCGTTTCTTTAAAGCATTTTCTTTGTGTGTTCTTTTCATATCTTGAGACTGTTCATTATAATAGTTTCACGTAATTTCCCGGGAATGTTCCGAACTCGCCGGTTCTTTCCGAAATCCCTACGAACCAACCGTCATCGCATTTCTCGACAACTTTTACGATATCCCCTTCTTGTAACTCCAGTTCGTCCTCGTTCTGAGGGGCATATGTGAACACGACTGTGAATCTGAAATACCCAGAGATGAGGGGGTCAGTGTGGTTCATGAGGGTAACCCAGTGAAGTAGGGGGTAATCTGATAGTATGTGTGAATTCTACTCAGGAAATGCAATATAAGAATTTCATGAATAAAATTTGTAATTAGAAGCTATATCTATGCACTTTGCTGTTGCCATACCGCACACAGCATACAGTAAAAACCAGTAAGGATCATCTCATATTGATCCAGTGTTACAACAGGAGGAAACCTAAACTAAACTAACTTTATTTATACTGGATAGCTCTATCAGTTCTAAACTGTTCTTCCTAGAGGTCCAGTAAGGATCATCTCTTATTGATCCAGTGTTACTACAGGAGGAAACCTAAACTAAACTAACTTTATTTATACTGGATAGCTCTATCAGTTCTAAACTGTTCTCTCTAGAGGTCTATTAAGCATCATCTCTTATTCATCCAGTGTTACTACGGGAGGAAATGTTAACTAAATTAACTCCATTTATACTGGATAGCGCTATCAGTAAGTGTCATCTCTTATTGATCCAATACTAGTGTCAAACTGGAAGCAATTTTCGTGACTGAGGAGAAATCAGACAACTGTCATATTTGCTCTTACTTTTCACCATCAAGGCTGTTAATATCAGGTTCCAGGGAGATTGGTTCTGGGAATCCGTCCACAGCGCTCTCAACTTCAGGAAGACCATTTTGTTTCGCTATAACCTCTTCTTGAACTCGTTTTGGAGAACCTGAAAATAAATTGCCGTATATTGGGATACATTGCCGCATATTGGGATACATTACCGTATATTGGGATACATTGCCGTATAATCACCCAATGCCTGTTACGGTAAAGGTCCATTCACATGATCTCATTTTGTCAGATCCAATTCACTTCTGATGGATCCTTTATAATCCGTTGACATGCAATGTATTTGGACTGCAAATCAACTAAAGGCCATGCGGGACTACTTTATCAATAACATGCAACATTCCATACGTCAGAAGTAAATTGGATCGTGTAACAAATCCTGACAGAGTCCACAAAAAACACACCTTCTTGACTATTTTCAGGTTCTTTGAGTACCTAAAATAAGACATAAAAATTAGAAACGGATTAGAAACAGTATGCCAAAAATTAGAAACAGTAGCTAGGCCAATCGTGAACTGATGAGAACAGTTGGCCAATCAGGAATGCAAACAGTTGGCTAATCAAGAATGAGAACAGTTGGTCAATAAGGAATGAGAACTGTTGGCCAATCAGGAATGCGAACAGTTGACTAATCAGGAATGAGTACAGTAGGCCAATAAGGAATGAGAACTGTTGGGCAATAAGGAATGCGAACAGTTAGCCAATCAGGAATGAGAACTGTAAGCTAATCAAGAATGCTGACGGTTGGCTAATTAGCATTGCGAGCAGTTGGCCAAAAAGGAACGCGATTTTTCTTCTACAACTTACGTCGCAGGGCAGTCCTTCTCACAAAGGTTTTATATATACCTCAATATATGAGACGGGGAATATTCCAATTTTCTCATCTTTCACCCCTTCGAACCAATTGTTGTCGATCTGTCTTATGATTCCAACAATATCACCCTTTAAAGAAGTCGTTTTAAAGTATGAAAGGCTGTCCTACATCTCGAGGTAAGGAACACATGTATTACGTGCGTTGTGCTCACTGGCATTTGATTCAACAAACCTTTTGCAGATTCAGTTCTCTTGGAGATTCTGCTTTGAAATTATATTTCACCTTTCCTTCGCCTTCTAATTGGTTGGCGCTTTCCTCTATGATCTAAAATATGGACATAGCTAGTCTGAGATTTCGAGTTATAATAGAACTACCCAGTGTAAATAAAGTTAGTTTAGTTCGGGTTTCCTCCTGTAGTAACACTGGATCAATAAGAGATGATCCTCACTGGACCTCTAGGAAGAACAGTTTAGAACTGATAGAGCTATCTAGTATAAATAAAGTTAGTTTAGTTTAGGTTTCCTTCTGTAGTAACACTGAATTTCGGAAGAGTGATTTAGAATGATCCAAAGACTTACCTCAACATAAGATATTGGGTAAAGTCCAATCTGTCCTTGAGCTTCTCCTTCGCACCAGTTGGTATCAATAGGTCGATAGAATAACACGATGTCACCTTTCCTGAAACCAATTTCTCTGTAAAGAGTCAAAAAGAGCTAATATCAGAGCACGGCACTTGAGTGTGGGAATAATAATGACGTCAGTGATGGCTGTGAGATTCGTCGGCAATTCCTTAAGTCGCTCACATGGGTGAACCAAAATTCTTACTTGGATGACTGAGGACTAAAGTTATACAATGCTCTGGCGTGTTTCGGATTCTTCTTCGCCTCCATTTCTTCTTTTTTCATTCGTTCAGCCTCGCGTCTTCTCTGTTCAGCTTCCTGGCAAAACAGAATTTTGGTGGACGTTGAAGCAATTGAACGACCGCACCTGGATTCCGGAAGATTGAAAGCGGAGCCTCCCAAATTGCAACGATATACAACGGGATGAGGGGGGTGGTGAAGAACAGAAAGGAGGGGGGAAATCGGTGTCCAATAAAAGTAAGTCAGGGGTGACAGACAAAGGAGAGAAAAATGGGTCAGTTTTTATGGGGAAGGGGTCACCTATAATTTTTTTTCCAACCGACAGAATTTCCATGGCGCTATTCTCACACACAAACATTCCACTCACCCACCAACATCTTCTAAAGATAACCAAAAATTCGTTTACCTCTTTAGCTTTCTCTTCCTCGCGTAATTTTCTTTCCAGATCTTCCTTCGCTCGTCTCTCATCTTCGCGTATCTTCTCCTCCTCTTCTTCAAACTGTTTGATATAATCCACGGGCTCGTACGATGCCCTTCTTTCCGGATGTGGACTCTGCAAGAGAATGTGATGCATTAAGACCAGCCAAATTGCGATTTCACACCGGAAAGCAATTATTTAAAGCTTCAGTTTGATACAGAGCCAACGTTGGGGTCAAGTACGCCAGACAAAAAATCAAAAAAATATTTTGGCTTCCGGCAAAAATGCAGGCATGTTTATCACCAGTGATTGTTCCAGTTGTATTAGAGGTCATCGGTACCTAACCATATTAAACCAGTGAACTCAAATAAGACTGGAACGCTCACTCTCTGACTTTCCCTCATTAATGAGTGAAGCCAAGATGGCGGATCATGAAGCCTTTCTTGTAGGTATGATCCAGGCCTCTGGCGCGGAAATTTCAAAGAAAAATCATAATTGCCACCATTATACCTACGAAATTTTCGCACCGGAGGCCTGTATCATACCTACAAGAAAGGCTTCAGTGTCCGCCATCTTGGCTTCAAACTCCCCACGGAATGAGCGTTTCGGTCTTATTTAAGATCACTGTATTAAACACTTACAAACTGTCTTTTCTTCATGTGATCCTCGTAAAAATTGCTCGCGGACGGCTTTTCCGGTTCCTTTTGTACCGGTGGCCCGGCTCTGCGCGTGGTCATTGTCTCGCGGTTCGTGGGGTTCGTCACGTTCGCTTTTTGCTGATAGTTATGTGTATGCATTCGCTTCGGAGGCTCGCGGTGCACGACGGGACCCGAGGCGGGTCTTGTACCCAGGGAATAACTTCGTACCACTGGATACTCCGGTCCGATATCGCCGGGAGGACGAGTCGAGCCTGGAGCTAAGAGAAAAAAATTGTAAGACAAAATTGTCGTCAAAAAATGGCCGACTGTAGGAAAGCAACACAGTAACGATATACAATCAATTGTGATTATTTAAGTTGCATTAAAGTTTCCTTTTGTATAAAAGATAACCGGATTAAGTGGTGTTGTTGAAGTATATTCTATTAATTGTTATCGATATCAGTGGTGCCATATTTTGACGCCGATTTTAGCTACGAATTTGGCGCGATTTTCTTCTTTCAATTGATGGAAACGAGCGGAAAGTTACGAATGTTCTGAATAAAAAGTGGCCCGATTTAAACATCCGTAACTTATCAACTTTTTCACATCTTTCAGAGAGAGAAAATCACATATAAACTCGCAAGTGAATAAACAGGGCTTTGTACGGTTGAGAAACTAAGTAATCAACGGCGGGATATAGCCGTAATCGAACTTTTGGCACATCAACAATTCACAAAAACGCTGATGCCACATTTAATATTACACCGAACTACACAATAGAGGTTATAAACGAAATCAGCATGTCTATTTTCCCGTATAGACCACGCAACAATGTTAAAGAATTATGTCTTAACAATGAAACGTATAATAATAATATATGATAAGCGCCTAATCACTTTGTGTGTCCTGAGTGTCGACATATTTGCAAAGCGAAAGGCGAAGTTCAAATTCTGTCACTTCCCCCAATCGTGTACACTACTTTACGGGGAAATCTTTGCTTATTTATACAAGTACACATTTACCGGTTTTAAAACCATACACTACTAAGGGATTTAGGTCTAAAATCCCGGTGCAATTCACAATTAATTCATGCGTTTTGAATGCCATCGACTGCACGTCTAAAACGCAACCGAATACCATATCAGATTATACTTGCAATGTATTTGACCCAAACATGACGCTAGCCTACCGACTACCGATGGAATTTCACAGCAAATTCAGCGATAGCACAGCACAAATTTGACAACAGATTGAGGATATTTAGCAGAACAATGCATTGTATATTGTTAAATAATGCTACACAATCGCTACATTGCAACAGGCAACGAACTCGTCCCAAATACTGCTACATACCGACTTTTACGTAAACATTGAAATCCATTTTCGTTACGATATAAGGTACTGCCAACCGCCCAACTTTTGAGATATTATTCGGAGTTAAACATGGTATGCCTTCGACGTTATAGGCAAGCCAGCACAGCAGAATAGCAGGAAAATATGTTAAACAGTCGAATGGCTGGCAAGATATCGGATAATGACCTTAGGACTCACGCTGTTACAAACTAATTAAAGGCGAGGTCTTGCAGTACGGAGGTATTTAAACCACGCACTCCTGGCGACAGACAAATGGTTTTCGTAAAGTCTCGTTTACACTTGCGATTTTTGCTGCGATTTAATGTGTGATTTTCTCCTTTCGATAGATGTGAACGAGTAATTAGTTACGAATGTTCTGAATATAAGAGCTCTTATTTGAACTTCAGTAACTAATTCACTCGTTCACATCTATCAAACGAAGAAAATCGCACATGAAATCGCAGCAAAAATTGCAAGTGTAAACGGGCCTTAAAACCGACGATATAGTAAGCTTGTACATTTCTGGGCACAAAATACCGCCGAAAAACTTTTTAAAACGTGATCTTTTTTAACTCAAAAACCGCAACGGCAATATTTTGTTGGATGACAGAGCTTTACAGAACACGCCTATATCAGGGTATTATAGATAATGGCGTCCATCAATGTATATACGCTTAAGTTTAGAACAGATATTTTAAAACTTTTACAGTTTATCCGTTTGCGAACTTTTCTCAATAAATAAGCAACTTCTCTGCGGTTTGGTTGCGAGGTATTGCGTTCCAACTCTGTAACTAAAATAGTTCCAACATAGTTCTAACTTCTAACATGGTTCCAACTCTGTACCTAAGATTAAATTTTAGCTGTCACTACAGCAAGCTAATCATCTACGTTCAAGTCAAAAGCTTGATAGGTCTGATTAAAATCATCATATCGGGCAAGAAGACTTGCGTACAGGAATTGATGGCAGCCATTATTTATCGCATGCACGCGCTGTGAAATTTGATAAATATAGCCCCATATTGACATTACGACGTCACGCCGCGCCGAAACACGAAACTTGTGCGCGGGGTCAATACCCCTATAGGAACGTTTACCCGGTAGACAATATATCCGGGGGTAATCCCACATCCTCGACCTTTAACGTAGCAACGCGAATTTCGTTTGTATATTTACATATTTTGGTACGAACTACTTCAAAATTTCGATTATCTAACGAGATAAAAACAGGTATTTCAAATTACACTCTTAGCGACTTCATCGACTCGAATTATACCCTTAAACACAGCATTTATGATGTTAAATTAGCCCAGAAAGCATCAAGTGAGCTCTTATCAAATCTCAAGCGAATATCATTAAAATTTACAAATGAAACATACCTCAATGATACGATTAATATCTTGCAACTTTTTGTGGCAATGAACACACAAATTCGTCAAACTAATCGGCCGTTCAAGAGCGACTCGTAATCGCAAAGCCGGATTCAAAAGAATTACATACACTCTTTCTAACTTCCCTTCGTCTCGACGACTTTACTATAAAAGTACATCACTTTATGCATGCAAATTTTCCGCGGTCAAAAAAGGTTTTGTTTGTTAAAGGCAGAGTCGGAAACGACTCGTCAATAAAGGAGAAAGGGTGCTCAATATTATGACATTATACATAATACAGTCCTCGAGGATATGTTAGTGAATATATATGCACGAATTCGGGGGATTAATTATACTTAGACCTCGGTGCGAAATAACGCTTTGACGCAGGGAGTCTCTGGGTGATAACAGCATGCGTTAGTGAATGAGGTTTTTAGGTCGTGAAGTTGTCAGCACGGGCATTAAAGCACCAAAGGCCCAAAGCCTAGCTGTCTTCTTGGAAGATTAATGCAAAATTGTGTTGAGAATTATATATTGTGTAGACCTATTGCGTAAAGTGTAAAAATAGGAGCCTATCGCTTTCAATCTGTAATTCTAAAAGGAAAAACTACAATACGAAAAGAAATAGAAAAGGGATAGACTATCATCTGCTCTACAGCTATGTTGTTTTTTTAATGTTGTTTGCAACGAGCTCATTTGCAAAGAGACATGATATGATAATTCGACTGCGTTGGTCTGTAAAATAAATAAATTAAAATCCATTTTTAAGCGACTTAGATCGAAAACTGCAACAGTTGCACAGAATAGATTGGTCGTTTTAAAGCGAATGAAATTATTTTGCAAGCGAATGGTATCACAATAGCTTGATTTTACTTGCGAAATGAACTCCAATAACCTACAAACTATGTCGTGGTGTAAGGTTCCTCCTGGCTGATCAAAGAATTACTAAATAAACAGACAAAATATCGTATCGCATTGACTTACGCTTGTAGATAATCTTCAGTTAATTCCTTGATTGTATAAACTAGCCGCCAAAGTTTATAGTGGTGCTTTGGTGTTGTATGGAGAAAAAGTTGTATGCATGTTGCTGTAATTTGATATTATATAACTCGGGCTGACACTCTACCTAGAACTCTGTTTACGGCACTCTGGTATGCGCTTACATCATGATAAATTATCTGAATTAAACTTTTATTCATACCAACTTACATTGTCGTGGGTATCGTGTCGTGGAAAGTGGAAATTGTACTTTTAGCGTCGACGTATATATGACACGTTGGTGAATGTGCACTATATTTATATGCTGACAAATGCGACCAATATATGCTGGTAGATATGACCAATATATTATAAGAGAATATAGACTTGACCTACAATATATGCTGGTAGATATGACTAATATATTATAAGAGATTATAGACTTAACCTACAATATATGCTGGTGGATATGACCAATATACTATATGAGATTATAGACTTGACCTACAATATATGCTGGTAGATATGACTAATATATTATAAAAGATTATAGACTTGACCTACAATATATGCTGGTAGATATGACTAATATATTATAAGAGATTATAGACTTGACTTACAATATATGCTGGTAGATATGACTAATATATTATATGAGATTATAGACTTGACCTACAATATATGCTGGTAGATATGACTAATATATTATAAGAGATTATAGACTTGACCTACAATATATGCTGGTAGATATGACTAATATATTATAAGAGATTATAGACTTGACTTACAATATATGCTGGTAAATATGAAACCACTGATTCTGATGGAGGTGACCACTGTATTATGGTAAATATATATATACCAGCGTATGCCGGTCACATTGACCATCGTATATAAATATGACCAAGAAGGTATATGACCAGAAAGACCAATCGGTTATAAACTCTGGTTAACGTTACCATGCATAAATGCTGATAAATATGAACTATATATAATACTGGTACGTGATCAATATTTGCTGGTATAAGTGCATGTGTAACTATATCGCTGCATGGAAATATAAACTATATGCTGATACAGTATATGCTAGTAAAGTGAACTATATATGCCGATTAATGTGACCAATATGCTGGTAAATATCAATTAGATATATTTTTTCTGCTATAAATGTGAGCGGGTATATGCTGGTAGGTATGAGCAATATGGCTCATTAGCTGGTATACACGCAACCTATATACTCTGCATGGTATAAGGTATAGCTACACTGCATGGTGATGACTTTGTGCAGGTAATCTGAACTAAGGCCCAGTTTACATGGAGCGCGTTATCCCCGCTAGGCGAGGTAAAAAGCCTATCACATGCATCAAAGGCTTAACCTGATTAGTCTTTCATTATATATACAGTTTTCACCTTGCCTATAGCCGGGATCACTTGCTTCAATTTTTACATGTACAGACAAGTCATCCGTCTAACTGAAGATCCAGATTGCTAGGAACATGCAGTATGTTTTATACTGAGAATGGTTCTGTGAACATGATTAGAAAAATCCTGTCAACACAACTCACCATTTTAAATTTCAACCCCTAGCTGACAGCCTGACAGACAGACTCGCGAACCTCGATTTGGACTGCATGCAAAGCCTTTGCGGAAATGAGATATAGACATGAGTCACATCTGTGTGACAACAAACTCTGGCATGAGGAAAAACAAATTCTTTGTTGTGATAAGCTTGCTTTTAAAATGCCTGGAATTTGGCTTTCTTTAATACGATGATGACAGTTGAAAGCGATGCTCGGGGTCATGTTTGAATCAAAGATTTTAAAATATGATGGATCATGTTGTTATTACAGACTATCAGTTAATCCTGGGAACCACGTTTTTAAAATCAGAACGCCGTTGAAGAGTGTATTCAGTGGCGTAGCCAGCCTGACAATTTTGTCGCTATGTAAATTTCGAGTTATGATAATTGTTCATGTCTTTAGAAACTTATTGTAAACTTATTGTTTTCACAGTCAATGAACACCGAAATATTAAATATTAGCATAGCGGAACAAATCGTCGGGCTGGCTGCGCTACTGAGATATTAGCTTGCTGAGTTTAGCGGGCCACTTAATAAGTTTCAAACTCGCCATATTATAAACATAGTTGAAACTTGAAAAGTCGACAAAATGGTTATTTTTGCGAATTTATATCTGTTATGATAGCAATGTTAAAATGTTTGATATATATATACGTCACATCAATTAAGCGAGGCTTGGCTATGACGAACTTTTGACGAAGGTTTACCGTTAAAAATTTTTGATTTGCATGCTTTCTGCAAAAGAGGATGTTGATGTTGAAATGTCAATATCTTTCTGCTTGCAAAGATATATGACTTTGAATTTGTTGAAAGACTGATTAGGCTAATGTGAAGTCGGTGAAGAGCAAAATGATTTAAAAGGGAAGACCTCGTTAAATTAATAGGATCATGTAACATAACAAACATTATAAAACTGTTTTTCCAACGGATTTAAATTCGACAAATACGAATATTCTTAGAGTTTTTTAAAGTTGTCCGGTCTCAATTTCTCACGAAAAGAGTGCTTGAAATTGTTAATCCTGCCGAAATATCACACTTTTCCCAGGGCAGCAATGTAGTAAAGACCAGCGAATATATAGATGCAGGTGTCCCTCAAGGGGGAACTGTTATAAAAATGACTTATATAGCTAAAATACACATTGTTTATGTGACATTTAACAACACTGACAGAAGCTATATACGAATGATTCAACTAACCTTGTCCTTGGTAATTTCTTGGTTGTTTTTGATCATCAGTGATCTCTTTTTCAGACACTTCTTTGCCTTTTTGAAATTCTTTATACCAAGATGGCACGTTGTTTCGGGTGGTGGGCTTCTCCCTATAACAACGAAACAAATATCAACACGTTTGAAACTGAGGCTACTTGAAACTGAGACGGCAATGTTCATTTCATAAACCAAATGGCCAAATCACTTCGAGCTGTTGATTAATCTCTGTTTTTCCTTCGTCGACCGGCGCTCCGGGCAAACAAAGATACAAAATTCGAACTTGAAGTTGTTGAAAAGTAATTTGAATGAATAGTCAAATTCCTTATTTGACTTTCCCTTATCTCATGAATAAGGCATGAAATATACTTGTACACTACAAGCATTTTATACACACTTAGTCTATTAGCACTTTAAAAAAAACACACAGAAAATAACGTCAGTCTAGCCTATATAGCTATTGTATACTGTTCCTGAATGCCGAGACAAAAACTTACGCACAGCCGGTTTGAAATGTACATTCGAATTTGGTATACATCATGAATTTCGTGTGTTTAAAATGATTTAGGGGCTTCAACAGTGGACAGGAACGATAAAAGCGGATAAAACTGACAAAATCCTAACAATTTGAACACTTATGCATCAATACGAGCTCTTAAGCATTATAAACATTTAGTGTTATCTTGAATACACAATGTACCACTTAACACAGTTTAAACTTACGAGAAATACAATGTAGATAACATCACAAAATGTAAACAGCTTTTCCTTCCTTAAGCACCCAAAATAAACGTAAAATTGAGATCAATTCTGGGCTGTTTCACTTCCAGTCCTTTCGGGATATCGAGCGAGGAGTATTACCGTCTTGTGAAAACTAACAAGCGGTTTTTCAAACGTATATTTCAACACCATAACAGGTTGGGTTAATCCTTTCTAGACAATTTGTGGGCGTTATTGGTTAATGCGGAAAATATCATAGATGCCGTGCCGTTAGCCCGTGTGAACCAGGAAATAAGGGCTTTTTAGCTAAACTTTGAGCCAAAATACTTTATATATTCATTATGTCACCGACTGCTTTAAGTGCAAGAGAACGGGGCATTTTGATTAGTTCCCGAGAGGTCAGTAACCTCAGCCCGGACCGCTCAGTTTTGGCGGGAAAAACTGTAATGAAAATATTTGTGAATTTTCATATACTTTGTTGAAATTGTTATACAGAAAAAGATGTTTTGAGTGATCGCAACTTTACTACGTTTATTTTGGGTACTTAAGGAAAGGAAAGCGGTTTACATTTTGTGTTATAATATTTAAGAAATAGAAAACATTTTCCGCGTTTCTATACAATTATAGAAACACGCGTGGGAGTTTGGGAGAACGAGAAATAATCAGTGGGAAAACGAGAACTATAAGTCTATAAATGTTATATTATACAACGATTTATTCAATCGAATTATAATATTTGTATAAAATCTTTTTATTGAGTTATATTATAAAAGAAATAGAAAACATTTTTTCCTGTGTTTCTATATATACAGATACAGAAACAGTTTGAGAGAACGAGAAATAGGTAATCAATAAATTGTATTTCACGAAAGTTTAATTGTGCTAAGTGCATTGTCTTTTCAAGATAACACGAAATGTTTATATTATAATCAAGTAAGAACTGCTCGAATTGTTATGATTTTGCCAAAAAATCAATATAACTCGAATTTAAATTTCAAAAGGAACGTTGAAGGAATGTTCAAGGTAATATTCCATTTTAGAAGCGATTTGAAGGTCTGTTTTGTCTTGTAATAAAGAGATTACAATGATGAAGATTGTGGAAATTGTAGGATAAGGCATGTCACGTTCTGTTTTTATGCTGGAAATCTATGACAAAGATTCGTTACCTCATTTTGACACCTTCGGTTGATGACGGAAACGAAGACATTGAATGTCTGTACGAATTATTGGTTTCAATGCTCGCCTCAGGACGAGAGAATCGGCCGGAGTTTGTTGGATCCGCTTGGGTTTCCTGCACCTTGGTCGCGCGGAGTCCAGCTTCCTGGGCCGGGGTAGCACGCTCACGATAGCTTTTGAAGAGACCGCGGGCGTCATTTTTGGGAGGCGGGGAAACATCGCCCGCGAGCAACGAGGACAGGCCAGTGGAATCTATATGACAAAATATTGAGCATTCGTTATATAACATCTTCTAATGTAGTTATTTACTTGTGACTGGGATGAGTTGTTTATCTCTACAAAACACAGTACAGTGGTAGGAGTCTTCCAGTTTCCGCAATTTACTTCCCGAAATATTCGCCTTGTATAGTCGTATGCAAGTTCGTCACTAGCGTTAGTCAATACTCACTTCCGGCCCCAGTGTGCATTTCTTTAAACAGTTCTTTATACCAACCACTTCCGGCTTGAATACGCTGTTAAAAACATGCAAAAGTCCCAGTCATTTATGAGAAAACTATTTCCCCCCGCTTAAAATGTGATGCATCCGTAGCGGGCCTTTCAGAAAAATTTTGTGGTTAAGGGCGAAGATAAAAAGAAGTAAGGGCCTTCTCCCGTTCAACCCTCCCCCCCCCCTCACTTCTTTTGCACTTTCACAATTCGGAGGTCTCCCTATTTAAAGGCTGGAATACGGGACATAATATATATTATACGGGGAATAATTCCCCTCTCCTTCCCTCTGAGGGGCCCTACTCTGGTAGAGTACTTACCGGACGTTCTGTTGTATCCGCTAATTTGGATTCGTCGTCTCGTAAAACCGAGCCGTGATATGAATATCTCCTGTATGGTTGCTCGGCCGCTAGATGAGGTAAACGATCGTTAGCAACTTCCATATGGCATATGGCTTTTACCATTATGGCTACAGTGACGTGTGGCAGATGTGAAATAATCTATAGAGGTCTATCTTGTACGCCAGTGCGGTATGCAAATCACTCTTCGCTGATCGCAGAGATATAGTGACACTCTTTCACATCCGTCAACTGTCGCGATAGAGACAAGCACTGACCAAATGGAAACTGGACAATATTAGTTCAGCGAACAGTAGGAATGAGTGTCAGAATGATTGAAATTTAGAAAGATACATCAACCTTTGAGTTAACACCCCCAGAGGTGGCGCTAGACACCCAACTGAGGAGGGGGCAAGTATTCTTCTTGTGCTTAATTCATTTCATGTAAAACCAATTGTTGTTACGGTGTAACAAAACTTTCCAGACAAACACGCTCATATTTGCATTGGAAACGCGAATAACACGATGTGTCTGCACGAGAACTGCTCCATCATCATGAATTTTACGCAACACGATAACGAAGACTGACAGCACGAAAACGAACATCAGCAGCACGAATGTTAATCAACACGAAAACGAACATCGACAGCACGTTTTAAGGCAACACGAAAACGAACATCAACAGCACGAATTTTAGGCCACACGAAAACGAATACCTACAGCACGAATATCAGCGACACGGATACGGAATACGGACAAAACAAGATCACCTTTTTTCTTCCTTTCATCATCAACATAATGATATTTGTGCCAATTATCCGCGCTAGCATCAGGTAGCGGCATAGGCACACCTTCGCGCCGTTTCACCATGTGCGTGATCGCCGGCCGCGAGTGGGAGTCTGGGCTATAGTTAGCAGAGTTGTTATGGTTACCTGATTCGTCATCATCCGGGATATTTTCGTTGGCCGTAGAACCAGACGTCAACCTGGCAACGAATCACAAAAGACGTTGAATTGTGGATCTTGTTTGGAGATAAAGACTTCTTATTGACCGCGAAACTATCATTACTATTAATACTTTCCCCGACTTCGAAACATTCAGACTCTTGGGAAAACAAAACTCACTATTTCCTTATTATATATGGTTTAAAAATTCATTCAGACAATAAATTAAAAAAATAAAGCCCATTTCCTTTAAAATCATAAAAATAAAAATGTCCTAGTACTAACAAGTCATTATCTGTGGAATCTGCATTTTCTTCATCATTATTTCTGTAAAATATCATTTGAAGAAATCAATTCCATGTGTTTTGATAAATAAGCTACGAACAAGCGGTTAGTATAAGCATGTTAGTAAACGAATGTTAATAAATAAAAGCCACGGTGACGCTCTAGGTAGTCCAGATACATTTGCGTCCAGTTTTATACTCTGTGATGGTATATTAAAATTAGTATGCGTGTGTTACAGACCGCAATATGAAACTGGACGTACAGACTCCTGGGTTTCCAGTGTAAGAGTCGATAGGAATATACGACAAAATGAATCAACTTAATATTGGAGAATAAATCGGGTAACTACATGAATGTATTGACTTGTCAGTAAAAAAATAAAAATGGTCAAGGAATAAAAAAGAAATCGAAGATAATATGAACTCAGTGTAACTACTGATCTATATATACTACGACTGGATAACGAACGCATCTAATTATCAACTACTGATCTATATAAACTACGACTGGATAACGAACGCATCCAATTATGTTTGAGAAATCTTAATTTTAACAGTTTTCGTCCCAAAATAGTATTGAAGGAAGAATGTTACAGTGTTGGCAGAATAAAAATGTCGACGATTTTTTTTGTGCTGGTTTGATTGTCACTCCCCTTACCTTCTGGCTCCACGACCCACGGGCGAGGGTTTGTCTGTGAAACCGTGAATGGTCGTGGGTGACTTGACGCGTGGTGTTTCTATGTGAAATAAATCAAGTATTAAAATCTTGTAACGACTATAATTGTGTTTTGATATTGGTTGTTATACAAGGTGTTTCAAAAAAAAACGCAACCACTTAAATATGCAAGAACATTAATACAGCTCTAAAACGCAATAGATAAGCACCTCTGGGAATTGAAAATGGTTCTTAATCCTTTATTTAAAATGCCAAAAGTCATTTTAGCTGAACTATGTTGCAAACCCGAACAATATTAATATTCTTGCATATTTAAGTGGTTGCGTTTTTTTTGAGACACACTGTATATTGATGTTGTGTATTGGTTGTTATATATTTGAATGTATATAAGCTTGCTTCAGATAATATCAACAGTTTATGAACAAACGTGATGAATGTAATTCCATTCTGTACCTGTGTTTGAATATTGCATTGAAACAGGCTCGTTCATAGAGATCAGTCTGATTGGTTGAGGTGTCCGAACCGCATCTGATATCAAATCTGGCGACCAATCCTCATTTGATGGCGACATCACTCCATAACCTACAATAGAAATTAATTGAGGACAATTGAATCAAAAGGTCGGTTGAATCCAGAGTTTATAAGAGGAAACCTAAACTAAACTAACTTTATTTATACTGGATAGCTCTATCAGTTCTAAGCTGTTCTTCCTAGAGGTCCAGTAAGCATCATCTCTTATTGATCCAGTGTTACTACAGGAGGAAACCTAAACTAAACTAACTTTATTCATACTGGATAGCTCTATCAGTTCTGAACTGTTCTTCCTAGAGGTCCAGTAAGCATCATCTCTTATTGATCCAGTGTTACTACAGGAGGAAACCTAAACTAAACTAACTTTATTTATACTGGATAGCTCTATCAGTTCTAAATTGTTCTTCCTAGAGGTTCAGTAAGGATAATCTCTTTATATATACTGCATAGCTGTATCAGTAAACTGTCCTTCCTAGAGAGGCATGGATAATCTGAGGACTATGAAGAAACGCATGGTATTCAAGTGCGGTTAATGAAGTGAAGAAACACGTCAGTTCTCACCTCTTGTCAGTAAATCATCATCTTCTTCAGTATATTTCGATGAGACTCCTGACGAAGACCTGGTATCCAGGGAGTCAGGCCTCTCGTTTCTCTGTTTCAACTCAGCCTCGACACCAGGGTTGTTCTTACTTTGCTTGGATCTTGGAAGGGTTGCATAGCCCTCGACACTCTTGTATTCGTTGACGTTGTTATTATTCGAGACATCTCCATTGGTTATTTTAGTGCCACGCGGTAACGATTTGTACGAGTAAGCCTCGTTGGCATCGAATGGCCGCCTGTAAATTTAAGAAGTAATGATATAAGTTGATATTGACAAACACTGAATAAAACATTGCAAAGCAGTAAGTATTAGACTAGTCAGGCTAGTATTAGTAGCAACAGTCAACTGTCAACACTCAGTCAGACTAGCAGAACTGCAATAATCAATTGACATTGAGGAAGGTTGAAAGTAAAACACTGAATAAAACATTGCAAAGCAGTAAGTACTAGACTAGTCAGGCTAGTATTAGTAGCAACAGTCAACACTCAGTCAGACTAGCAGAACTGCAATGATCAACTGACATTGAGGAAGTTTGAAAGAGAGACACTCCATGCATGAATAAAACATTGCAAAGCAGTAAGTACTAGACTAGTCAGGCTGGTATTAATGGCAACAGTTAGCACTCCGGCGATCAGGCTAGCAGTGCTTTCCAATCTAACCCAGACAAAAATATGCACGTTGCCATCATGTTTTGGAAAATGTCCAGTTGATTTCCGAGGGAAAACTCAAGATCCTGCCCGGAAATTAAAGTCAAATAAAAAGAGTTAAAACATTAAGCAGAATTTCTTGCGGTTATAAGATTCTACATCAACTTTCAAAGATAACCTTTAGCGAGTTTAGGGCAACTGCATTAGATGAACCTAATTTAATTAAGGGAGCGTCTGGCAGCGTCTTCAAAACAACTTTTCATGAAATGTGGTATAACAACTGCTTAAAATAAACAAGAAGACGTCTCTACGTTTCTGCCTATGACGAGCCTTCGTCAGGATCAGAGAGTTTGAGTTTTTTAGTCACGGCCCACAGGTCGAAACTTCTAAACGTTTTTGTCTATTTCAAGGCCGTTTTTATGCCAATTCGACGAGAATTAAATGAGGCAATTTCGAAGAATCAGAACAAGATAAAAAACCACAAACTCCACAAATCATATCGATACCCGGATGATATATTGTTTACCTTCCTGTTTGAATTAGGTGTAAACGATATTTAAGTGTCGACAGGGATTCACAACGGCAGATGGCCAGGAATACACGTTCGAGAGCGCTCGGCTCACGAAGGTCGCTTTTCATGTTTAGCCTATTAGTCAAAGTATACTAAATTTTGATCGAGGCAAATATAACTAGAATAATAATAGTCAAATCCAACATCACATTAAAAAGGGCATCTTAGAATAACTTAAAATGCAATGTTTCCTCGTAAAAGGTTGTGAAATGTTTAAGGCATTGTCCTGAAAAGTTCGTAAACTTTGATGCATTCATATATGTATTACCTGCGCAAAAATAACTATTTTTGAGCTGATATTTATCTTTTCCGTGCACAATACAAATATATACGAAAGTTGCCAACTTTGCATGACTATATTATTCGCGTTTAACAACATTTCGAAACCGAATTTTGCAGTTTTACTCATTTCGATGATGCTCTTTTGGTGTTAGATCTCAATCTTCGTGCGTATATAGAAATCAAAGTTCATTCCACTGTTGGAATAATTCATTTCTTGAAACCGTTTTCAACAAAAGCATCACTACGCGAGCAAAATATGATGGTAGATTATAATCTATTCACAGTTCTAGATTAAGTTTAAAAGGTATTTTACGCTTCCCAGTGATTAGCCAAACAACAGATGACCACGGCATTGAACTAAAACACCAGTTTAATTAAATTGCGCTCACAGACACAATTTCTCGTAAACCTTTTATCAAAAGCGCCACACACACACCCCAGCGATATACGAGAGTCGTGCATTGACCAGGAAGGAAGCTTGCATTGTAAACAAAATTTTAGCCGAGAAAATCGTGATTAAACACAGGTTTGGTAAACAAAAAGGTTATATTTCGTGACCCAAATATATTTCTCTATAAAAACGTGTAAATTTATCGAACCTGTTAACGCTGACGACAACTTGTGATGTGAAAACTTGTTGTTTAGACATCCCACGGTATAGATATTTGTACAATCAATTTGTTATGACTGTCTGTACTGCGCACAGGGTAGAAGTTTCGAGTTATGCCATGCACTCGAACGCCCGACATAAACACGCCAATTGGTGATATACGATATTCGAGTGTTATGTTACAATCAGATAAATAACAGTAGCTGTCAAAACCATGCAGACTCTATCTGCGACTTTCTATATTTGCGTGGTCTGATTTGGAAGAAAAAGACCTAATATACTTAAGGATATGTTAAAATACACGCTGGAAATGCAATTCTGGAAGAAAAGGCCTACAGTTTGAAGAAAACAGAGTGCCCGAGTTGTAACACAGTATTTAAACGTAAATTTTTTAAACGTTTTACTCAGCAAATATGGGATAATATGCATAGCCCTAAGGTCACACAGATATCATATTCCCTTTTAAATGTTTTGTAATTCAATTGAAATGACTTGACTAGCTTAATCCGCTAAAAGATGTCATGGTGTGTTCACATTTTACCAAAATGCATGCAGTCAAAAATTGTTGAAAAAGGGATTGGTATTTTGTATAACCATCCGCCATCTTTGTTCTTAAGCGTGGAGTGTAATATATTCCAAGGATAGGAGTATGGAAAAGTCTGATATAGTTTGATATTGAGTAGGTATAAACAATATTTCACTCAAACTCTCGTTAATCTGTCAAGCTAAGAATTTTTCACAAGTTTATAAGGAAAATTTCCAATGAAATTCAGAAACTTCGTTTTGTCACATTTTGTCACAGACTCAAATTTGAGTTGCATGAAATTATATCAGTTTGCCTTGCTTGCCTACTCCTCTTGGTGGATGTGATTGTTTCGGTTTGCTCAATAGAGTATCCCTATTGGCTTATACCTCATGAGAAGTGCAATCGACGTTGACCTTGTGTAAAATCACATACGTCGTAAGGACGATAAGATCTACGTCAAAATTCAATACTATACAGTGACATTTAATCTCTCCCACAATTTATCAACAGCGAAGTAGCCAAAACACTTGACGCACATTAAGCTCAGAAAATTCACCACGAGGGATAAAGAATGTTGTGTATGTATAAATAGGAGCCGCACAGCACTGCTGACAAGTATTCAGTTTCAGAATGGTGGAACATACAATATATTTCAGAGTTTCAGCGTAAAACCTACCACTACAGAACTTAATAGTCTGGAAATTTTTCAACCTTTAACTGAGTTTTAATTTCTTTTTTAAAGTGCGTAAAAAGAGTGTAAAAGACGAATAATTTTATTACGTCTTTTCCAAATTGGGCAATATAGTCATAGAATCGGTGATATATTTTGATAAAGCTCATGCTGTCAATAAAATGATATTATGCATACGTCAGTCACTTCAGTCGCTTTTATGCTATGCCTATGAACTAGTTGTGCGTACATGTTTATCTTTTTAGTTTTTAAGCTTCAATTCAAATTTTCTAGTTTTCTGTATAAAAATTGCTATTGTAAACCGAAACTTATAACTTTTAAACAATTTTTAATATATATTTTTTCAATATATATGACAATATGTTCACAACCGATTAATGCCGCATAGATTTTAACTGATAAAGGCGGGAAAAAAGGCGGGAACTAATATACTATGTTTGCCATTTGCAAAATGGCTTCCCCGCGGTTAGTTTTTAAAGTGAAGTTTAGACGATATAGAAACCAAATGTACCGAAGAAAAACAGATAGAAAACCCAACAGAAAGTGATTTACGATAACAGACCTTCAAAAGGTTTTTTCACGACAATTTAAAGTAAGAATTCAAACAGTATTTCTTTGTTTTGTTTGAACGTTTTTCACTGAGATATTGAATTCGATGTATTGTTTTCTTGTCACTATGACAAGTCCTTACAATAAACTTAACCATTACAGCACGATTTCCGAATCAAACAAACACATCTTGAGCATAACAAGAGTACAATATACGAACTGTTATTCAAAACAAGAAAACATCATTTTGCCTACAGATTTAAATTCTTAATAAGCCCATTAATCCTATTAAAGTCCTATTAAACCTACATCTTGTCTTAACCATCGGAATATTTATCAAATTGGAAGCCTTTTGATTTTCTGATATGGGTGCTTACGGATTTCGTTTAAGTCTCAAGTAACAACTCTTCATTATAAAATATGTACAAGCTAGTATACTAGTAGTCCCATGGTATTAGAAAAATGCTGAATATCTATCAATCATTGTAGGCCAGCTTATGAGATAATGTTTCACACCTTGTATACGAGGTGTGAAAAGATCTCAAAAAAGGATGTTAATTGGAATGGAAGTACCTAAATCCTTGGTCATAAACAGATACCATAAACCGCTGGGCAATTCGGTCTTCTGTAACCGGAAGACACCAAAAGGCAACCATGTACCCAGGGCTATCATGCAAATGACTGCAGAAACTTTATGATGACAGAAACTTTCAGCAAGTGTTGGAGAAGCTGGGAGATGGTATGTAAGAGATTAAATGTCACTTTGCAGGTAAATCCTTTAATCATTTCTTGAGCTCTCTGGACTTGCATGCCTATTTGGTCCAGTTAGAAGTCATAGAAAATATGTTTCACATGGTTCAGCCAAAAAATTCTCAAGAAATTTGATTAATTGGTCTTGCTCACAATGATTCTTGAATGGAAGAATGTCCAATTTTTTTGAGTAATTTTAATTTTCGCAAAAGCTAGTGCATGCATCAGCAATTTCTCCACATGAGAGGAAAATTTATATGCACTTGCTCAGATATTAACAATTTATACACAATTAGAAAAATGAAGTTTGGGTGTTACCTTTCCAAGGTCAGGATAAGATCTTTACCAGATTTCTTTACACAGTTCAATGCATTGCTGTGCGTCATATCCTCGCAGGGTTCATTGTTAATACGGATCAGTATATCTCCAACAATTATCCCATTTTTTGCAGCCTTACTGCCTGCTGTTACCTACATGAAGTATAAGACATTTCCACAATTAAAAACAGTTATGAACGGGATAAATTATAAGTACCATATGTTTATCACTGTGAATAAATTTCAATGTCATTGTTGCAACATCCAACTGTTTTTCATACACCAGCTGGCCCAATGCTTTCAGATACTGGCCCAATGCTTTCAGATATATGAGATTATGTCAATATATTCACAGGAAGGCCCTTAGTGAACAATTTGCCATATGTTTCTCAAAGTTGATAAGAACATATTTGCATTATTTGACATCAAATTACACATGTATACCACACTAGCACACAGGCATCTTTGACCCCTGTGAAAAAATTCAATTGAAAAGTCCTCTGTTTTTTTCATGTTTGACATATACTTGATAAATGTGACACTCTAGCTTAAACTTCAGGAAGATCATGTCAAACTGCCAAAACCATCCATCATAAATTGAGATCCATCCATGCAGTCACAAGACTATTCAACAAATGTGGAACAATCCAGATGGTTTTCCCATATTCTATAAAAGTTGACTGCAGACAAGCATCTGATTGCATGTTGAATTCAAATCAACCAATCAAATGTCAACAGCTTATTTTCACAATAAGTGGAGCTTTTTTACATAAACTGCACCAATATGCGATTCTATGTAGTATGTTACATCCTTCAAAAAGCACCATATTGTTTAATTCATATTGGCAACAATTGAATCAAAAAATTTTTGCTTACAAAATGTTCACATCTCGGAGATCCATACATTAATCCATGTTTACTACACTTAGAAATTTTGTGCCCTATAAACAATGGGTCAAGAGGTTTAACTGTGGGGTAAAGAATGACATATGCTGACATATTAAGCGAAAATATTCCCAGGGGAACCTCGAAACAATTTTCCAGTAAATAGTTACATGTAGTTTCTTCTCGGCCAATTAAATTTACGAACAATGTAGCAATTCAACATCATTGCTACTTTTTTGAATTTTAGAATAATTCGATTTCACGTCGACTTTCAATACTTCCATATTATTATTTCGAAAAATCTCAAAAATCTGCCTTTTTATCGGCTAAATAATACCCCCTATTTGTGAATTCAACATTACACTACCCCGCAAACAACGATTTCCCCCCCAAAGACCACAACAAGCGCAAATATTTGACGGTAATCCAGTGTTTATAAAGGAATATTTTCGCAATAAGTAGTTTGCTTCAAACAAACTTTTGATTGGCGAATGCGCTTGTAAGACGCGATATTTTTATAGAATTAGACACAAAAATATCGTGAAATGACAGGAAATTATCTTTATTAATCTTGTTGACATCGTATGCCATTGACGAATTGCAAATACGAATACTTTAAACTATCTCAAATGTTTACTAATGTCATTTTGCGGTTAGTTTATAAATGGCCATAAAGAATTTAACAGGAACTCTAGTTTCGAGCGATTGCCAAGTTTTTACAGGATATTTATATCGCTAAACATTTCTGTCGATCAGGAAATTTGTTATGAATCGCATTGGCCTATATTGATAGTTTCATACTCGTAAATTCCAAGCAATTATGTGTAAGTGTGTTACTCGACATTAATATTCAAGCTATTTAGGCAAGCGCTGTATAATTATTGTCAAATTTGATCGAATAAACCGCAAGACCTTAAATTCGTTCAACTTTAAACACTCTGAGTAGAACTTACCCTAAAACGTATCGATTCACCGCAATTTTATTGAAGGAAATAGATGTTTGTTTGGTTTAAAACCACATTCCAAATCGCTTTGGTATTTACAAATTTATGTGAATATAGGGGCTTATCAAATCTTTAAACCTTGGTTTCGGACCCTTTAAATCAGAGAAAAGTAGGCAATAGTTTAAAAAGTTCTACATAAAATGGCCCAAGGTTCAAGTCTCTCTTGAAAAAATTGCCGGTGTGACGAAGACGTGAAATGCATATACAAAAATAGTTAGTAAAGTACATATATATAAATTGTCGTCTAGACGGCGTTTAAAAATGCCTTTCAAAAGGTCTCATATTACAAGATAGCAGTTAGATCACGCGAGCAGCATCGTAAAAGAACAGGGAAGATTTGAAATGAATCAGCGTGTGTTCTTTGGAACGTTTAGGCAAAGTAAATTCACACCAAACATGGCGCTTGGTGGTGACAAGCACTTTACCCCGAACTATAAACATACTCACTTTCGCGATTAAAAGAGGAGCCCTGAATTCCTTTCCCCCTTGCAAACGAAATCCCCAAGGAGAGCCACCGTGTAGCGAAACCTCGAAGGTCTCTGAAGCCATGTTCTCTTGTAATTTGAGCTTTTTCCAGGTAAAAAATTTCACAACTTTTTGTATACAATGCTTCGGTTAGTTACGTTGGCGGAATGCTTCAACAGCGTCCTCAGATGCATTCTCAAAATTCTACGGCGCGAACCCGAAAGCTCCTTAATTTTCCGAAGATTTCCTAAGAGCAAGGTACGTATTAAAGATGACCGCATTTTCCAAGTAATTTAGAATTCCTTATTACAAGGATAAGTACTTAATTGCTTCACCTCTCAAATAACACGGAATTCCAGGCGAGAAGGATTAGCCAATCAGAAAGCCCGGAAATTCGCCCGCGTCATTGAAAAATGCCGAAAAGGAATCCATAAACCAATATTTTAGCAATATTTTGAATTCATTCAGGAAGCAATTCAGTCCATTTAAGGAAAGGGGTTGGTTTTAAATATAGCGTTTGCGCCCTCTTGGAGACAATTTTCTCGTAATCAAATATGAAGTACATGACATGACCATTATCCTTCTTTAATACGTCAATTGAAATACGCATGCGTAAACGTGCGTCCTTCCGGCCCTTGAAAATAAACAAATAAAGTGCATCGCAACTTCCTAGCACGTCGGAAATGAACTAAAGTGTCTGGTATGAAAAAGATGCATTATTTGACGACGAATGGAGGGGTGTTTTCAGAAATCACATCAACTTTTACATGATTTATATATGCAAAAAATCTTGAACTTTGTATTTCGGAAATAAACAAAAGCGCTTGGCGCGAAAAAATGGTCACATTATTAGGGTGAATTGACTGAATTCGATGGTGTTTTTCGATTTTCTATAGTCCAGAAATCTCTGTAATTGTTTCATACTGTCATGGGACGTGATTTACAAAACACTTGGCTTAACAAGTGAGATAAATCTTTTCTTTTTTGAGGAGATACTCTATTTTAAGGGCCACAAGTTTACAACCTGAAATGAGTTCTACCCTCCGGAAAAACATTCGTTTTATATTCATCGGTACGAAGACACACCATTTCATCATGGTGTTGAATTCGATTTTGCTTTCAATTTTTTATGCACCGTTTTAAAAAACCTCAGTACATGCTTCATTCTGTCCTGTTGGGACGAAGTGTATTCCGTAGCCAGCGCAACACTCGATCACTTCTCTGCATTTCGGAAACGTTTCAAGTGCAGAGAAAATGTGAGGATTCTTTTTTCAGGGCTGAGACAAAGGCTCCATTTTCAGTTTCTTCAGCCAGTGTGTGGGAGAAAACATTTTGTTGTTGAAGTCCTTCGTTCCTCAAAAACAAACTTCCAAAAACTTTCGTCGATTGCCACGACCATAAAGGCACTGCTACATACACCGTATCTGATAAACTGTTTAACTTGTAGCCCTCAAAATGCAGGTCTAAATCAAATCACAGTTTGGTCAAATTCACTCCATTGAGTGCATTACCAAACAAAAACCATAATAATATTGAGCTGTCACCAGTACTTTCCATTGATAAACATTTATTCTTTAAAGGTCAGCATCCATGTTGCTTTTGTCAAAATAGCCTCTTTTCTTTTTTAATTTTTAATGAAAATCATTGCCAGAATCAATTTTCACATTAACCAGGCACATTTTCACATTAGCTGTGCCAAAATTTTAGGATAAAAGCCTTGTTTGCAGACAGAGCAAGTTCCATATTCACTCATTAATCATTGGGAAAACTTATTGCTAGTTTTTCATTCATTTAATCATTTTTCTTTCGTGTGAAAAAGTGTCAGCCATAGCTTTGTCCCAATGTGGTCATTCGGTGCATCAAACATGCTGTATTATTACAAGAGTTTCAGGTGTCCTACGATGTTGCCCAAAACTGATTTTTCTCCAAATAATCCAAGAACAGTCACCGAGCCTGGTGCAACCTTAAAATGGTGAATAAAATATTGTAGAACAGAAAAGTGAGAAAACATCAGTAAAGTGAATTATGTAATATTTTAAGCCACTGATCTGAAATTACAGTGGACATGGGAATTATACCAATCAAAACTGAATCTAGAGACCCAATTGAAAAAGCAATCAAATAATCCTATTATAGAAAGAAGTATTCCTATAGAAGTATTCACTTTTTGTCGGGACATCAGTCTGTTCTATCTAATATATGTATGGTTGCTATATCCAGTATAATACTAGATCAGTGAATCCTAAAGTGTGAGTATAATGATTCTGGAAAAAACCCTGTGTCCCAATACACAATAAAAACATGATAGGACTTACGACAGTAGGTAGATTCCAAATGGAAGGTACTAAAGTTTAGCTAGCACTGACCTGCGTCATGCCTGCATCGGTCACCAAAAATGTTGGCAGCCCTTTGCTCATAGCTTGGTTTTCAATATCCATTACAGCCTGTGTACTTTCTGCTTTTACCACAACTTTTGTTTCTCTTCAGAACGAAAAGTCAAAGTTTGTAAGATCATCATCCTAGTGTACAAATATTATACTATCCTCACTCATCTCACACCTACCCATCTTCACCCCATTGGGCCAACATTGGGGCAATCTGCCCCCTTAATTCCAAAAGTTCTCTATACAATCCAATGGCAGCATGACCAACTTGTGCGCCAACTTTACCCACACCCATTTTCAGGCTGCTGTTCACGACAAACACCATTCTATGCGAGGATTGAATGTCTGGCCTTACTGTTGTGAAACCACTCAGGCTATGATCAACCTGGTCACAGAACACAAAATTAGTTAAAAAGCTGAAGATGACTGCTAAAAATTTTAATAAATTACTTTAATAGCCAAATGCAATTCCTTAAACTCATAAATACAAGTCCATCCTAATTTTGCAAGCTATGTCATACCCAAATCTCCCATAAAAAGTATGACTTTTTCTCTTTTGACAAGTTGTACCCCCGATGTAATGTATGGTTGCTAACCTGAAATGGATCGTTTAATTCTGGATGATCTATATTTTCAAACACCCATTCCGCTGCAATTTCGGCCGAGACATTACCAGTGTAATACAGACCCTTTGAAAGTTAAAGCAAAATACAAGCCTCAGCATTCATTAACATATACCACAAGATTGCAATGCCAACACAAATTCAGAGTTTAAGTATACTAAAGGAAGATCATAAACCAGGTTTCAGAGAATAGGATTTTTTGAAGAGATAACATGTGTTGAACAGAAAACTGATGAAATACAAGTGTAGTTAACATATAAAGTGTTAAATATAGGTTCAAAGAAGACAGTCTGATGATCCAGAGGTACAAAATATTTGCCACTATCCACAGGGGTTCTGGCTAATTACAATGTATCTTTCTCATAATCATGTCAAACATAGAATGCCTGATGTTACACAAAGTTTAATTGTTCCCGCAAAATTAACAAGCAAATCAACCTTCCTGTAACAACAGGTTTTCCTGTGTTTGATGTCATTATGAGAAAGGTCTGTTGACTGTGTGACATGCATCGTTAAACATTTCCTCACAGCTTAAAACTTGACATTCCTAAGTGGAAATTTTATCATCGCTAAATTTAACTGTGAACTATGTTGTGCCTTCAATGGACAATAAGATTTCCAAAATTCCACTAATTAATTAATTATGATTCATGAAAAAAATGTCAAATTGGAAGCCCTAAACAAATGTTAGCATAAATGTGAAATTAGTTTTTAATTTTTTCCCCACTGTGGAATGACATCAGGCGACCTTGCAGTACCCTGGATATAAGTCACACCTCTCTCTGCCTCTGGGAAGTGGGAGAAAAACCCTGCAGAGGGCGGTGGTGTTCATGGAGACATAAAACACGCCTATGACTGAATTGAATTTACCTTTTCTGCAGCATTCCGAGACACTCCCATTTCTATTAAAGCTTTGACATACTCTTCGTTCGGAGACCAACTCGTTCCTGAAGCGCCAAGAGCAGCATTAGCTTGGTCAGGACTCTTATCGCCTTCAATGCCTTCTGCTGGAGTTCGCTCGCCAATGTCCATGATTCAAAACCGTTTAAAAACGCTTTTTAACCCTTTTATAAATTCTCAAAAGACTCTCCAACATTAAGCTAGCTTTACAACGGAACGCCGCGCTGCTCTCGCCGGTAATTTATGAAAAATACCGGTTTAAAAACGCATTTATTTTTGCTTTTGGTTTCAAACTTTTGCATTTCAATTTTTGCCACGTTCTTTGATTGTTCGGATAACAAAGTTCAAAATTGGATTCGAGAATTCCTTAACGCTTGTACTAAAATTCCGTGGTTGTCTGAAAACTTCTTTTATGATTTATATTAATTGTGAATTGTGAATTCCCGTAATCAAGGATCACTTTCTAAAGTTCCTGTCAATGTTTCTCCGTGGGGAGGTGGGGCGACTTACGAAGTCCCCCCCACCTAAACTTTTTGCAATGTGTGGTGGGGGGATCGCGGTGGGATACCAAGAGGTGTGGGCATTGTGGGATAAATTTCGTATAATCTCACCGGGGGGCATTTATTCAATTTTAAATTCCAATTTACAATTGTGAAAGTGAAATTTGATTTAAGCAGCTTTGGTTATAAATAATTCATATTTTACAAATAATTCATCATAATTCGTAAAACGTTTGTGTTTACTTCTCGTTGAAATGGGGCAAAACGGAGGGGGATTGCCCTCTGTCTTATTCTATCACAATTCAATGGAAAAATTGGCAAAATCTATTGCAGAACATTGCCAGGTTGGTAGTCCCATTCCTTATATAAATACTGGCCTCATGACCATTTACAAATGAAGCCAGATGGCATGTTTTAACTGAGCCTACTTTTTAAAGATACTGTTTTCTCCATTACACTTCTATCAACTACATGTAAGTTAAATAATGTTTTGAAGTTAAAAAGCAAAGTCCGATTGCAGTTACCTAATTGCACCCCTAATTATGTGCATATTGGTTTGATCCAATGCCCAGTACACTTGATTTGTGACAATTGTGTGGTTCTACTCTAGTATTCGAGAGTGAGGGTGCAATGGCCTTCTATTGACCAAACCTCCATTCGTACTCTTTCTTATACCCTTCCGTTATAAGTTCAAGTATTGTTATCAATCAAAATTATCATAACACATATATGTTTGCAACCATTTTATCCAAATTGCATGACAATGATGACATCTATGATGGCAACCTACAGCTTTTATTTTGCAATTAATTTCATGTGCAATCAAATTTGCCATTTTTCATGCATAATCCATTCAAAACTATAGTGCAAATCAGGAGGTGAAACAGTGAGTCTCAAGCACAACATTCAATGGAAATCATTTGAAGATGGCTGGCCAAACTTGTTCATTGAGAATGTCAAAGAAAACTGTGCTGGAAGAGATGGTATAACACTTATCCAATAGGATCATATATTTCAGGACCTGGTCGTTTTTAAAGGCAGCCTAGCTTAAACCACTAGTCAATAGGGCCAATTTGGGAATAACAGAACTTTAGTATCTCTTTCACTATTTGTGTATTCTATCAATGTTCTGACAATCTGCCATATAGCCTAATAAGTAATAAGGAGAATCAACTGGAATAACTCCTGATCTCTTGTTAGAAAGTAAAACATCTGAAATATTGTAAAATTGCCATATTTTAAAATAATTTCTCTTCTAGTTATCTTCCTTGGAAGTTTCCATTCACCAGAAGTTGTTTTTGAGCAACTTTCCATAGTGTATAACATCCCAAGGTAAAGTGGATACTCTATCCTCCCCCACCCCCATATACTATGCTCTCCTAGATGGATTATATTAGGATTAGGTTTTAGATTAGGTTTATGGCTGATTAGGGTTAATCCTAAATCTAATCCAGACCTAATCTCATAAATTAAGTTTGTATTCAGGATTTACAGAACATGCCATTTAAAATTAGATTAGAGACTTACTGGAGAGACTTTTCTGGAATTTTGAATTGCGGAACTAGTGTCATCATTCGTGTAGTCTACACCTGGATAGGTAAAGAAACATGATGGTATGATTACTGAAAAACAGCCCCCCCCCACGATAACTAATATAACTAAAGGCCCCACCTCCGTCCGTTACCCCAATGTCATAGCCTATTTGCAATGCGTCCTTCCCCAGGATAGCTTTGTTTGACAAGTTAGAGTGTTCTTCCGTAGGTATCTCGCAAGATCATTTACATTCATCCTTCCGTATTTTCCAACTGGAACGATGGAAAGAGTGGATAAAGAGGGTCAAATTGCAACAGCAAAGGTTAAAATTCTTATCCCTACACAACTTAGAAAGCGAGAAATCAATACTAGCCAACAACTTCAAAACAAAATGTAAAACACAGTTCGAAGATTGTTTGTTTTTCATTCGTTGTTTTCGTTTTGTAAGGCTCACAAACACTTCAATTTAACCCTATCGGCGATAAAACTAAGGAATAAGGAAAGATGCTTATGAGTTAATTCTGCATTTAGACATTGTCAAGAATGATTTCCTCAATCCCGCTAACAGCTAGAGGTCCTGCACAAGTCGTTATCTACGATATACACTGTTTACAAGAAAGATTTTATTTTTCAGATGAAGTTATACCAAGGTATGAAATGACAGCAGATATATTTTGAGCTCGTGTGATGATTCTCACAACTATAAAACAAGTTTTTAGCAACGAAGCTGCTTTTCTGCTTTTTTGACTTGTCAATCAAAGGGTCTTTGAGTTTGAAATCAAAATATCAAATGTCAAAACTCAAAAAATCTCTCCGGGGTGCTGTTTCCCGCGCGCTTGCTTTTTCCCAACTGACCTCTATAAGAACTGAATCAAGGTATACGTTTTGCTAAGAAACATTGAATGATACTTGATTCGTTTGTATCATCAGTTACCAAGGCTTTCCTAAGGTCAAGGACCAGTATTTTTAACCCCCATTTTAGCGCACTTTGATTCAAGCATCTGTTAATAGATATTTTCTAATTACGGGCAATGATTTATTACGTAAAAGTAATTCTTCTCAAAACAGGTTGGAAACTGCCATTCCGCTTTTACTTGCCAAACTTAAAACGCTTCCAGATAAAGAGAAGATAAGTATCGCGTTTCCAGACGAAGGAGCGTTCAAACGTTTTCACACACAGTTTGAGGAATATCCAACTATTATTTGCATCAAACAGAGAGAAGAAAACAAAAGAATTGTCAAAATTAAAGATGGTGGGTGTGGCCTTGAATTCAGACCTCTTTTTAAAGCAGCCCTATTTTCTAATGCAAGGCGTATGAAATGGACCCTTCTGTTGCGCAATAAAGAACTTTTCAAAACTTGCTTGTTTCAGAATACCTGAAGAGTGCCCGGCGACGGAGTTTGGTCTGAAAAGTTTTGTGTTCGCAAAATTTCGCTGCGTAAATTTGAAATGTGCAAAATAGTTTACATGGAGTAAAATATGCGAATAAGTTAGCAAATCTTGTATCGTTTGATATTAAAGTCTAATAATGTCTAATATGAGCTATACCGCTATAAAAATATACACATCAAGGCGTGGTTTCTATGCATTTCAGGCGAACCAGATTGCCGACATGTTGTCATTGTAGATGATCTTATCAAAACAGGAGGCACCATCCTTGAATGCGCAAAGGTATCTTATTATTACGAAAAAATCGTTGACAATATCTGCTAGTTTTGAAGAATTATAGAAAAAAAAAGGAAATTCATAGCTGACGAAGTTTGCAAAATTATACTTTCTTTTGCAATTTTAGGCTCTTAAAAAAGCCGGAGCGGCGAAAATCAGCGCTTACGTCACGCACGGCGTGTTTCCACAAGAATCCTGGAAACGATTCACAACATCCGACGTTCCCTTCGAGAATTTTTTCATCACAGACTCTCTACCTTATGCTGAGGAAATAGTTCAACACAAGCCTTTCCAATTGTTATCTCTGACGAGTTGCATTGCAGAGGCATTGCTTGGCTTTGATCTCAAACAAAGCTAATCCTAACAGGTCATAAGTGTAGCTAATCTGCAATCAGGGGCCGGGTGGGTGTATGAAGGTCGCATAGCGGTATCCACCGGATCGCTCTAAAATCTGAAATTACCCGTGTTTTGGTACAATGTAAATTGAACCTTCCTGCTCTTGAAGTAATGTTTGTCTTACATTGTTAATCAATATCTACAATTTTATTACTTTTCAAGTATTTTTGAAAAAAATTACTATCTGGCGGAAAGCGCCACCCAGCCTTCGTACTACTTACTGGTCCTAGAAATGCATGTCGATCAATTTACACAGTAATTACTAATTTTTAAACAATACCACACAATACACAAGGACTTGCAGTTGATTTTTATTAATTACCCATATACGGGAAATATTACATTTCATTGAAAACTGATAAACTATCTATCTTCATTCGCTACACACTACCTTAAACCTACAGGCACCAAAAAACTCGAGATCTACCCCCCGAGAACGCGATGCCTGAACTACACAACTGTAACAAATTACTGACGGTCCTTGGATGAAGAAACAATTCCAAGTCCTTAATTAGAATACTTTAATTAGTCACCAGTGTCAATTACGTCCATCTGAAGTATGCTAAATTATTGTATTAGAATCATAGAATAGAATCAATATTAATTATATCGCACGGAAAATGATTTGGAACCGAAAAATTGGTCAATACTAGTCAACCAGGAAGTTTAGGGGTATTGTACAAAAACACTTGGAATTAAAATAAATTAATTCTCCAGAAAAATCAAATCAAATTATTTAATTATTAACAGTTTTGTTGAAGATGGCAAAACTTTGCTGAGATTAACAAAGTATTTTAGGCTATTCAACCGAGGTTCACAGAAGAATAACGGCATAATTTCACCTGTGTGAGGTGAACAGTTCGTTCCAAATAATTTCCAATGCGACAAGGAACTATTTATGAAAGTTTTACAAAAAATAGCATTTGATTCGGCTAAAATATTCCCAATAATGTGTTTACAAAGTTTAGACAAGCATACTATTCACATTCTTTTACAGTATATTTATCAACTATTCAAATTAACATATGCACAGATTATATACGATATTATAGTCAAAAAATTATTGCTACATGCAAAGTTTTTAAACCATCCAGCTCACAGGACTCAATTACCCTAAGTTACCCCGTACTGTTTCCAAAATGAATTTTTTCCGCTGTTCTTCAAATGTCAGAAAAAATTCTTATCCCAAAATAACCCGTGAGTTGGACGACTTAAATATTCTGCAGCAGTTGAGTTAGATTGTTGTCTACACAATTGAATACATATTGTACAGCGAGGTCCATAGATTACCTTACATATCCTCAAAAATCCTAAATTATGCACAAATGTACATCGTTTGTACAAATTGAAATTTTCATATCACACTTCATTGGTTGCTAAATAATTGTTACACACTTTTACAAATTATACCATGGGGGGAGGGGAAATAATTACGAAAGGTTTAAAAATCTTTGGCGTTATTACTCTTTTTCACACAGTTATTAAACAAGGAAAGTTATAATTAAAACCAATTTATAATAGCATTTTCATTTACAAAAATATAATACAGTGCAAATTTTGTGCAGGCTTTTTTTAATTGAAGAAGTCGCTTTTTATAACTTATAAACATCTAATTTCGACAGTTTGTAATATACAATTTTCATTTGTGATGGTTTTAAGTAAACGATATTTGTAAATCTTTCCACGCCTGTCCAATCTATGACGAACATGATAAAGAAATAGTGTTTATAATTCCCAAGAAATTCACATTATTGTGGAATTCTTGGAATTTTTAAAGTCGGGTCTTTATGCACCCTGTGGCTTGTTTCTAAAAATATTGCTGTTTTGATGTTTAGAATCTCTGAATTTTGCCACGAAAGGAGAAAACCTAGCTAATTTAACTGATAATTTTGGGGTATAAAATCTTCATAGATAACTTTAGGCCAAAGATTTCTGCACCTTTACTTTGTCTACACACTATCTATATAACGGCTATACAACGATGGTAGTGCCATATTAACATTCTTACACTAAATACAAATTATTAAGGCCGGGGCGAGATTGAATCAAGGTTTAAAAATCGTCGACCCACAAATAATACACACTGTTGCCTAGTTACAAACATACAACCGCATTATACATCATTTGGCACCACGAGCATTATCATTACACGAGAGATAAAAACTGTGCTATGTCGTAAAAATTCGTCAGGTTAGCGTTGTACACAGTGAAGGCCAGTAGCTTTGCACTGGCCGACATGGGGGCACCTCTTTGAATGGGTCCCCACTCTCCCTATATAGGTTGGGAGGGATGGGGGGTGCCCCCGGGCGATTACGTTGTCATAGCAACGTGTTTCCAAACGGCGAATACTCCAAGCCGGGTTTGATCATATATTTCTCCAGCTTGGCCAAAATGTGTTTTCCATACGTGTATTTCTTTAGGGTCGCGACATATGGTCGTATTTTCACAATGAGGAGCTTCCTCTGGGGCGCTTCGGCAACGTCGATCATTTTTTGAACGACATAATTTGCAAATTGATCCTTCATCATGCTAAATAAACCACTTTGTGGTCTGCAAAGGAAATAGAAGCTGCTTTACGCTACGAACAATTGCCATGCGTTCGTTAGGCGAAAAAATATTCTGAACTTCAAAATTCGCGCCAAAGCTCTAGCAAAAGCCGCCATTGTGTTTCCGTTCTTTCCAAAAATTGCACGTTTGAAAAAATTGAGCATCGGTTTCAAAGACATTTACCTACCACTAACAGATGATGATCCACAGTGCAAAGCAGTGAATTATTCTCGAAGGAAACTACTAGTTCTCTTTCGCAACTTAATTCAATACTATATTAATATTTTAATCAAATATAACTCGTGCTTCTTCGAAACCTTTTCGTTTTTCAACGGATACACAGGGAGTTTGGGAATCCAACAAAATACTGAAATTGGAATTTCCTGAATTCTCAACATATAATTTGTTACATACCCATCGGTGCTGTTACAAACTTCTTCAATAAGAATTGCACGATCTGGCCGCGACGCATGCGTGATGCACTTCTCCACAACATTGCTGCAAAGAGATTGAGTTGAGTACAATTCTGTTTTGTTTGCAAGATCATTTGAAAGAATTCAGATTCAAATGCACACTGATCTATATAGAGTCCAGTATAAGCATTTAAAACATTTCTAGCCGCCATGTTGCGACCAGAGTGTAAGTGCTGTGATTGGATGATGTGTCACTGATCTATATAGAGGCCAGTGAAAGTATCCCTGCGATCCAGGATTACTATACGAAGATTTTCAACTGAGAATTTGCCAAATTGATTTGCGAGGTCATCGCCGGACATTCTTACCTTGCAAATTTATGCTGACTAAGCAGTACAATATTCCCCTTGAGTTGCATGACTATTTTGCTTTTGTCTTCGTAAGTGCCATGTTCAAGGACGTGTTGAATGACGTAATTGCCATACTGGTCCTGCACCAGTCTCTCGATGTTATCGTGGAGTTCTTCGAGGATCGGGGAGGTTTGTTCCTGGTTGCAATGTTCAAGGATACGTTGAATCACGCGGCAACCATAAGGATGGGTTGATAGCGTTACAACCTGGGAAAATAAATGAAAATTATAATTATGAAAAGTTTTTTTGGTCGAAATGAAATATAGCAAGATCGCCGAAGTAATGTTTAGTGAATTATAAAACAACTGGAATGATAATTAATGTTAATGACAAGACTGTAATAATGAATTCAGTTCGGCTCGATTCCTGCCGGAGGACCGATATTGGACACATTTTCCTTAACTGTCCTTGCCTTAAATTTCACACGTGTATGATTTACACTCGAAATTAAGGCCTTAAATCCTTTAGAAATGATCCTACATCGGGTGCCAAAAATCCTAACTGAATTCAAAATAGTTTTTTTGTATCTGCGAGTTGAAACATGACAAAAAGATACATACGTAATGGAGACGTTAGCCTTGCGTCGACAGAGCGCAATATTAAACTGGACACGATACGATATGAGTTACAGACCGCAAATGCGAAACTGGACACCTACCTGTCCCTTGAAAGCAATGATGACGAAATGCAGGTAGACTGGGTCGACACATTCAATGCATTTCTGGACAACGTGATTTCCATTCTGATCCTTTACGCATTTCAACACATAACCATCCAGTTCTCTAACAAGTTCCTTCTGCAGAAACAAAGAAAGAGTCTCATTTACAAAGACCAATCAATCAAAGAAGAAATTCTTGCTGAGATACGAAGAAAAATCTGAACGAGCCTTGTACCTGTTGGTCAGCGGGAATACACTCCAAGGCTTTCTGGATGACACGACAGCCGTACATCTGCAACGCCAGGGGCAGCACGTGACCTTGAATGCAGTTCGCGAGATGTTGCTTCTGTTCTCTGTTGCCAAACTCGAAGAACTTCTGTATGACGTAATTCCCAAACACATCCGTCATGAGGTTGTAGGCGGCGGGGAGAATCTCGTTAAAGACCATCTGCTTCTCGTTCGGCGAGGCGCGCTCCAGTTTCTGCTGTATAAAACGAGATCCGTGTTGATCCTGCGAGAATTCGACGATGTGGTTGGCGAGATCTCGAAGCTGGATATTTGGAAAGCGGTTATTTCTGAAGTCTTCCAACAGCCTGCTACGGCTGGACTCTTTCAGGCGACTTCCACGAAACGCGCTCGAGGATAGTGGACTACCGCTGTACAACCCTGCACTCGAGAGGCCGTTCAAAGCGCTGGTGTATTTTCGATCACTGCCAGGTGCAGGGGACGGCATGTACTGTGACATACCACTACCAATAGGGCTACCAACGTGAAATCCACTGCTCAAGGGTGGTGTTTGTAGTTCTGGAATACCAATGGGTTGCGGCTGTGAACTGACCGATATACTACCAAGAGGGCTGGATGCACCATACATTGGCACAGGCTGACGTCGGCCGAGGTCGCTCATCAGTCCCTCGGGTTGACCAGCACCACCTCCAATGCTCCCCAAGTTCCCGGACGTCCCTCCGACGTTGTTGATCACGCCCCCGTTGCTAAGCTGCAAGCCCGACATGGCGTTGCCCGGGGAGCTTTGCGTGAGGTACCCCAACGATCCTTGGTTACCAATCGCCGTCAACTGCTGCTGACCCTGGGGTTGGCTGAACAACCGCAGACCATTGGGAGCGTTGGCAACGCGGCCACTCGCTTGTCCTACGTCGTTGATCATCAACGGCTGGATCATACGGACGGACTGGTTGGCGATCTGCGCAGTCGCGAGGCCCTGGGCTGTTCCGACGACGACGTTCCCCGACTGATCGTAGTACGCATTACCGATGTTCAACGAGGCTCCTGGGGCTGCAAGCAGCTGATAATTGCCGAGCGACAGCGTGTTTTGCTACAGACAAAAAGATAATCGATCTAATTCAACGAGGGTTGCCTGTTCCTAATCATAAACTTCAGTTTAGATTCATATAGAAACGTAGTGAACCCAAAAAGTGATAGTTATTCAGTCAGCACATCACATTGTATAGAAGTTCAAAATATGAACAAACCGTTTATTTACATACGGACTTTAATTCCATTTTAAAAAGCAGTAAAACAAAAGCTTAGAGGGCTTAATTACCAAAGAGAATTCCCAATTTATGGATGCTAAGGTTAAATCCAGCCAATGAGCTAAATTTTAGAGCGATTAAAAAACTACTATCCGGTGGATAGCACTATCCAGCTTTCGTACAATCCACCCCAGGAGAAAACTGGATTCTCCTTAACGTAAGCTTACCTGTTGTGGTATTACTTCACTCCCGGCTGGTCGACCTGAACTGGGCGTGGCTCTGAGGAGCTGCGCTTGTTGCTGCTGCACAGCAAACTGCCCTGTGCTCGATGGCTGGTACACGCCCCAGGGCACAGCGTTGTAGGTTGCCTGGTACTGTGGGTGAACCACCTGTTGCGCCTGACCGGGGCTGGGGACGGTAGCCATGGGGACGCCCCCGTACGGATCTTGGGTGGGGGAAGCCGCGATGAAATACGAATTCCCGGGGTATGCCGTCGACTGCATACCGAGTTGTTGTTGCTGTTGTTGTTGCTGCTGTTGTGCCGCCATGGCTATCTGCTGTTGTGATCGTTGCGAGGCAACCATTTGCACCGGCTGACCGTTGAAATATGACGAAGCGCTGACGACCATGTCGTTCTGGAGTGCGTTCCCATAGTTCATTGGAAAATTATCGAAATTATTGCTCTCCAAAGGGTCCATCAGGATTTGATCGTTGGCATCTGGCTTGGCGAGTGGTTTGACGGGCGTCGACGGTTTTGTTGTTGGGACCTGGTTTGGTTGAGCGTCGGCAAAGGCTTGTTGCTCTGCCGGAGAGGACTGCCGGCTTCCAGGTGTGCGGCTGAAAAAAACAACATTGAAATGTTTCAGAACATTGCTAATCGCTTTCCAGTAGAAGCCCAGCAGTATTGTACCGGCACAAACAATAGAAGTTACTATAGACTGCCATTGAGCCTTTGATAGATATGTCTTAATGTTCTCCGTATCACCAGTTTTCGCTCCAGTTATTACAGAGTTAAGTGTGTTAATAACATGCTTCTATTTCGCTAAATGTCCCCTGTGCCGTCGGCTGGGTGTAACAAAAGTTAAGCCATCGATGAGATGAACCATCTCAAAAATGTTCAACAATACATCAGCCAGAAAGACGAGCACAAAGGGGGTATGTTGCTGTCACACACCAATGACTCATGCACTTTCAATGAGGCAGCGTAAGGCTGTTGAATGACGTCATGGAAAATGACGTGAAATCAGGTGATCATACGAGCACGTCATATGCCATGACAACACATTCTGAAAGTGGATCTAAGGAAGCGTGTGGAGGGGTATAGGATTGTTTTCGGTTGAGATCGGTGAACTCTATGTAAACTGGAATGATAACTCGGCAGCATCGAGGCGAAAAGAAATACCAGTGCCAGTCTATTTCTAATGTTTTTGCCTTCACGGTTGCTGATCGCGCCAACAAAAACAATAGGTAGCAACAAGAAATAATCCTAAATTCTTCTTAAAATTTAACGTTCTAGTCAAAATAAACAGAATTCACAGGTTGACATTAAAGAAGTTTACCTAAAATTGAGAGGTTTTTCATCAGGCGGCGGTCTCTGTACCGGCTGAGGTGACTTGTTCTTTTGTTCACGTTTCAAAAGACTTCTCACTTCATCAGCGGTCTCATCTTCAAACGGTAACCTCGAATGTTCGGCCTGGTTTGCAATGGAGACCTCTGGTTTCAATTCCTTCTCGTCTTTCTCCGGTAGATTCTAATGGTGGGGTAAGAATGAATGAAATTGCTTGAGAATTGCTAACTCTTACCACCCACCTACCCATGGCATCCTAAATCGAACTCCATAACCACCTCCTCCAACTCTCACCCCCCCAAACAGCACATTCTAACTCCAACTGCCGTATAACCCCACCCAAACAAACCCTCATTCTAACCACCCCCTAACTCTAAACCCTACCAAAAGCCCTATCATAACTCCAAACACACAAAACTCCCCAGCCAAGCAATCCCCCTCCCAACCCTCGTCCTAACTTTAACCACCGAGATCCCACAACCCTGACTTACCATCCTAGCTTTCATTTTTGTTAACTGTGCTTCAATATCGACAACGCCTGGCGACGACCCAAGAACAAACTCAGCTACACTCATACCCACGCCGTCCGTCGAACGCGGCGACAAGACGCCGTGCTGGTCCACCCCGTTATAGTTTCGGCCGTTCACAGGTCTAGCCATGTTGATTGGCTGCGATATCGCATGTTCTGACGTCACCCGAGGTACGGACGGCAACAAATTGTTGGAATCCCATGGTTCATTGAACATGCCATTCCCGTCAGCCTCTTCGTCACCCTCAGGCCAAAGATTTTTTGCCGTTGACGCAATCTAGTGAATCCAGTGAATCACATGAATCACATAAGATCAGTGACCTAACCACTGAGCTCAATTATGTCTGGAGTACGAACTTTGTTGTCAAAGGTCTAAGATGGCGGAATTTGGGCGCATTATTGGAGCTAATTTTCAGTCCTCTTATAGAGAGCTTACTGGACACGTGATCTCACGCACGACAGTGACCTCTATATACAACTGGAGGACTAACTAGTAATAACTAATAATCAATTTCTTTCAGTGTTTAATATGATGAGCTGATACACTTCAGAAGAGCTCAAAACAGAGGCTTTATTTGATTAAATATTTGGGTCATGAAGAATAAACAATATTTTATTTGCTGCATAGAAATACTATCCTCAGTTTAATATTTTATAAACATTCACCTTTGTCAAATAACACAAAAAATAGCTTTCTAAAAATGCTCATTTTTTTTTGGAATGATTACACTAGACTTAGGGAGCCTGCATGTGCACAAGCCACGTTCACCGATCAAGTTTCAATATTATGTATGTTGATAGGAATATGATGACTAAATTCATCACTAATGAGGCTTGTTCAAAGGCTATTATGCTATGTGAGGTCATAAGAGGCTATTTTTATAACAAACAAAGTTACGTATCCCATTAGTCTAAGAACATGAACAGGTTACATGATCGAACAACTTGAAATGCGAATAAAAAGGTTTTGTGCACTTCTACATTTGTTATATACTAAACTAAAAGTTAGTTTTATAATCTGCTTACAAAAGACCTCATTGGATAGAAGGAAATTTCTAATATTGAAAAAGATATTTCATGAAATTGAATGCAGTCCTTAGCAGAGACCAACCATATTCATGCACCTGGCAGTTGCCAAAATCTACAAATACAACTTTCTTCATTGATATACATTTTCTGTATTCTATAAAATATTCACTCATGTTCAATCATGCCACATTGATCACCCATCTTAAGCTCTGGATGAACATTGCCAAGCTTGTTGTTTTTGAAGAGAAAAGAGATTTTTCAAAGTAAAACTCCCTTACCTCTTGCATATTGGCTTTTGGCTCCTTCTCATCATTCATACTCATTCCTTGAAAGTTTTCTTCCAGATCAGAAACATTATTGTTTGTCTAGTGGATAATGTAAATAAAATCAATGTGAAACAAGAGCCATTTCAAATATACACAACTTTATGTCTCACACAGCACTCACAACTTTATATATGTTTGTCGGCACAAGAATAGCGCAGCAATGCACAGCTTGCAGTAAACAATGAAGCATATTCGAACGGTTTGACGTAATCAATCATGATTACAAGCATGCCAGCAATAACAGCTAAAAGATATGTTTACAAACTCATTTCCTTCCTTTGGGAATTCAAAGCCAATTCCTCTATAAGAACTTCCTACGTAATGCCTCCAACAAGATGAACCAACACTTTATTACTTTCTAAAATCATGCCATTTGTCTGAAAGTTTGTTTTTAATTTATTGCAGCCTTATTAATACTTGAATATTGTGCTTTTCATGTTGTATGATACATGTTTATAACTAGATCTATACATTTAAATAGTTTCCTCAGCATGACACATGGAAATTTCTTCTTACACATCCAGGTAAGTACAGGATTGGTATAAAAAACATATCAAAATTGACAATAAGACTAGAAGTTCATAAAATGACTAAATATACTTTCAAAGCAGGATTCGTAAACTCATTTCTACCTTTTGTAACAACACTTCAAACACGATAATGGTTTAAAATGTTGCTAAAAATAATAACGAAAACAACTTGGAAAATCCTGTGTGAAAACAAGTCAATTAGTTGATTAACGATGGAACGATTGATTGGAGACAATACCCTTGGGATAATCTTTTTGCTTCAGCATATTCATTGAGCAGTTCTAGTTATGTAATGTAAACAATATGACATAAACATCCAAGAAACTTCCTCAAGTACTTTTTTAAGGTAATTTAGCCAAAAGGCTGTGGCAACATTAAAAGAATTTAAATCTGCTGAAAATAACACTGTATTTGTTACGAATCAACAACTTTATGTTGATATACGTAATAACCTTGTGGCAGTAGAAACCCTCAAAATAAACTGCCATAAATTGATTCATCGCCTTTTTTTGTAACTAATGAAACAAGTTTACAGAGTTTAAAATTGAAAAGGTATATGATAGGGGGGCAATACTTTGGGACGCTTACCATTTTAATTGTATTATACTCAATCGAATGTTAGATAATTTTACCCCAGTGAAACTAGTAAAATGTCTGTTAAATGGTCAAGCACATCAATTGGCTGGTCTATAATGTAGGATGAAATGATGGCCCAATCTCATGCAACCCCTAAAGTCCTGGTTTGACACAGATAAAATTGGTGCAAATTTTCTTGGAGCTTAACTTGGTATCAATTTCAGCCATGCTTAACTCTAATTTTATATATGCAGGTTGTCCATGCATTGCCTGGATAAATTTACGAGTGCTATGTCAATAGATCTGTAGTGATATAATATGTTGGCCAGATTATGCATGAGAATTCAATTCAGTCATGTTTTGACTAGTTAAGCGGAACTACGGAACCAAACGAAGATTACACCCAAACACCGCTCACGAGCTCTGTTCGACAAGAAATCTGATCTAATTTTCGGCCATTAGCTCATATGGGGGATGCCATTAGCTGCCTCACAAAGACTCACGTTGCCTTTGTTGGAGAACTTCAAACATTGATAGCAATCGCTGAACCGTTTTAGACGACTGTTTTTAAGCATAAAGCAGTCGTGTAGGAATACCGAAGCAATTCTAAACTTATACAAAAGAATCCCACGGCCGCAAACTGGGCAAATAATTGCTAAACGATGTTATTTCCACAACAATTTAAATACACGGCTAATTCGAGCACTCGTGCATATTTTCGACGATTTCATTTTGAAACGAAAACAAAAGTTCGAGTCACACCAAAAATATGCTAGAATAATTTCTTTTTAACGCTTAAGATCCTACCCCAACACGCTGTCCGTTTGCTATTGTAAACGGCAGGAATATTCGTTTCAAATTTGGTAACAGTTGAGGACGGTTTAAAACCTATTTGAAAGACGCTTCGTGTATTTATCTTATGGAACAGCACATGCAGACGCAGTCGAATAAACCAATATCGTTGTGCCTACTTTGATAAAGCTCTCCCGTTCCGCTTTAAGCAAACATAAGATTTTGTTATTTCCCTTGTAATCCGAGTGAAATGTAGCGTGTTTACAAGACAATAGTTTTATTTTGATACATATTTTGAAACGATCAAAGATCTCAACGTCTAACACAAATACGCTTGTGTGTACAAAGAAGGGGCATGTATTACGACAAGAAAAATCGACTCACGTTTTCCGATTTCTCGTTGACGGCCCAGTGTTTGCCAGCAAATGTATTCTCGTCCATCGTGACCGATTTCGTGAAGCTCGTTGCGACGCCTTGCCGTTCAAAGAGGTAGCTAGCCACGTCCCCGTTCACGCCATTACCGTTGGATAGGTCATAGCCGTTCGTAGTCACCGGAGATGCTGTTCCCTTTGTTGTTTTGGCCAAAGTTGCATTCTTTTCGACAGGAGTGTATCTATCACCTTCCCAGCCAACTTCATGCATACCCAGCACACATACAAAACTCATCGAAAGAAGCTAAAACAAAAACAACAACACTGAGTTACGAACGTGTTCTTTTGATCATATCCCGAGGGTGTGACAAAACAGCTCGTATACTCCTTCGCTTTTCACACGCCTGTCCGTCGATTCGGCATGAAATACAGCCGGCATTCCCGAGTTTAAATCCCGCAGAAATAAAAAGTACACATAGATTTTTTGTAAGACAAACGATTGGAAACTTACACGATGGATTGTTCTTTGATCAAGGGGCCACAAAGCATGACTTCCTCTTGATAAAATTACTCAGAGACACACCATAATGCTTTGGGGGTTGGGGCAAAGTGTTCGATATTTCTCGTAAACAACGCACGTGCTTTGCGTCGAGATTCGAAGATCAAATGACATTTAATTTAGCACTTTAATTTAATAGTGAACAGTTTGTGGAACTGTTTTAGACACTGGAAGTTAAATTCAAAGAATTTGTAACAGGGACTTCAGTTGGAACAATGACATGCATATTATGTAACAATTTTGCCACAATAAAACCCCCATGGGACCTCTCATGCCGTTCTGGGGTTTCCCTCAAGAAGCCGTCATCTGCCATATATTATTTTATACCTTTTACTGATCCGTCATCATTATACTGCAGAAAGAAGTAATGACGAAACTAGTGAAGCAGGTCAAGTCCACTTTGACATACAAAAACCTAAAAAAACCTGTGCGCTATTCACGGACACGGACATTTGATAGCAGTTTTGTAAATCGTCTCAAAATTGCCATAGACATAGTTCTTTCGGCACAGCCCACACGAAACCCTGGTATTTCTAAATTAGAGTTTTTCATTCTTAATTTCTGGCTAACTGACCCTCAAATGTTTTTGAAAACTAAGCCTTCAAAAGTTTCTTTTTTGGCATTTTCAAGGCAAAAGCATTGCTTTATTTAGCGAAGTTCAGTGAGTTCACATTATGCCAAAAATCTCCCATATCTCTCCCAGATTCATCTCGACAAGTTTGAAAGTTTAATTGGTTAGGCCTTGGCCCTTAAGCCTTGCCCGGGTGAAACAATAGGCAATAGGCTGTTTACACAACATGCCTCGCAAAGCAGTGCATTCCACTTGAATTCATATGGCCATAAACGGCACGAGGTTTGAAACGAATCGCATCTATTACGCCCCTAAAGTTGACGTAGAAACTATGGCCAATATCGCTTTAATGCATAACTGATGAAAACATTTTGCCACTATCTTATATGTCAAGAGTGGTACATGTCGGAACACGCTTCATATTCGATACGATATTGGATCGAAATCCCCAGCCAAAAAGTACATAAAGAGTAATTTTCCAGATGATCACAAAAAGTTGTATCTGCGGACTTTTGAAAGTGTATATAAAACAAATATTTTCATACATTTTTAGAAAAATTTGAAGTAGTACTTTAACGCGACCGCTCATTGGAGACACATTGAAAATTTCAGTTATTTCACATCAATTATCAGGAGTTATCTTTTGCAGCCAACTGCCAACGGTTACTGAAATTTAATTTTACTGCCGAATTTTAATCATGGTCTCGCCCAAGGCCAAGATTGCTATCGGTCATGATCAGTTTTGAACCATTTTTACGACAAAGAATTGTCGAAGTTCTTATTTAATTGTGTAGTAATCGCATAATAAAAATGGCGGGTTTTGCCGGCTAAACGTAGCTCATTATGCAAGAGAAAGATGGCTCTTTCTGCACAAGACAAAAACCGCAAGGAATTTGTAGTATGAAATTTCCAAATTCCCGAGACAACATTACACCGAGCTTCACACAAATTTGGAAGGCGTTGATATTAACGAATATCGTGCAATTATCCAACAATATCGCTTAAAACACGCAACGTGTGAAATCAGCAACGAAAATCGCATTATTTACGTGTTAGCAGAACAAGCATCCATTTGAATGGCACCAAATGTTTGTTTATATATAAACTCAACACATTTAATAATTCGACCACCCGCAAGAATTGCAATGCCAACGAATAAATAATGGCTTTCAATCAATATTTCACGGGACTTCGCACCGTCAAAATATATTTTATTTCGAAATCACACGCACAAAGTTCGAACATTTGTCAGAAATTGCAAAATTTTACAAAATGTTTCTAATTGCTTATTTTGTTACATTAGCCAGTCCTTAATTGCTCAACTGGAATGTTGACGACATTCTCGAGTTGCATTTGCCATGAGATCATAGTTCAGAAATGTTGAAATTTTACGGCCAGTGAGTCAAATAACTAAAGAATTGTGTAATCGATGCGATGTTGCGATAGAAATAGGAATATGCTGAAAATACGTACATACTTCAAGCGAAATTGGAAATATATTCAAAAATTTGACCAAAGGTCGTTCATCATACCTGTTATTTACAGAGACAAAGAATTTGTATTCAAACTACCAACACAAAAGAATGTTCGAGCTTTGAAATTGATCCAAGCGAAATCGATCTTTCTGCTCCGCTACTGTGTCATTCTTTAGTATAGCCAAGGGGACCAGATTTACCAGCAATTTCTGTGGAAGCAGCTTTCAAATAAAAATCTTGCTAGACTTTCAATATCCTCCAAGAGTTTGCCAAGTACGGGGAAAGTTGTCAGTTCAGTCACAAGCTCCGAGGTCAGACTATCACACGTGCTGACGTTGCAGTTCAGACCGGAAACGCGTCGACGTGACGTCAATATTCTTCTTTGAGTTCAATAATAAACATTAAACAATTATTTAGAGGTCTTTGTTTAAATTTCAATCTTAATGGCTACGAGACAATGCGGAGAATAGTGTGAGACATTCATGCTAGAACTTTCGAGTTTGTGTGCTTCATACCAGAGCATGAAATATAATTTCTAAAATAGTTCAAAAAGGTCGGTTATGAGTTTGAAAATACTATTAAAACAAAGTTTTTTGGCCTAATATTTCGAAGCGAAGTTGTTATGGTCACGAGGCAGGCGGAAAAAAACAATTATATATCCCATCATATGATGTCTACAATTTTGGCCAATACAATCTACATAAACATAAGTACGTCGGAAGGAGTCGTAAGTGGCCGGATATAATTGGACTTGCACGGAAACTAGTACGCGACCACTTTTAGGATGTAATGCATAAAACTCCCATCTGTAATTGTTCACACGGTCTAATTTTGTCGCATTTATTTCACTTCTTGATGGATGTTTTATAGTCTTTTGACCTGCAATATACACATAGTGTGCTGAATTGCAATGGGGTACTGCCATTGAACTGTAAACAAACAGTTGTATAGAGTTCACTGGGTACTGCTCATAGCTCTTTCAATACCAGACTACATTTCATATGTCAGAAGTCAATTGGATACGACGAAACTCGATCGTGTTAACAGACCTTTACAAATGGCGCTTTTCTAGGAGTGTTACTATGGCGACTGTGGCTCTTAGTTTGGAACGTTAAGAAGATTTCTGGTGTATTTTGGGCTATTGTTGACATGACCCTCTTCGACACTTTAGGCTCTGCCCACGAATTCACGAATCATGCTGCGAATCACGTTTAAGTACAAGAAAATAAACACATAATAAAACCGTTCCCGGTTAGAATTCCTCTGTAAATTCACGGAGCAACAAGGGGGGTTGGAGGTGTTACATCGCTTCGTGAATGTTATTTTCCAGCAAACGAGTTAAAATATATTTGACCAAAAAAACGCAACGTGCTTTTTTGTAAATTTTGATTGAAAAAAACGTCGTTAAACGTCGCATACTGTCGCATAACAACAAGATTCTTCACATCGCCTGTCATCCAGATTAATCCTTATCAAAGGGTTTAATTCACTTTAAAAAAGGCAGTGTGTTTACTAAACATTCTTCTGAGTAAAAACGGGAGTAACCACGTCAATGATAATCGACATTCCACGAAGATTAGCGTTTGTAGATTTCCAGACAGCCATCAGCGCATCTTACATCTCGGTCAGCGTATTTTACTAGTAGTGTGAATATGAATGAAATGCACGCCTCTTTTAAATGTACCGCAATATGTTCCCGCAACACTTGAAGTGATGTTGTTATGAGTGTACTCATTAAAATATCACGAATAACGCATCGGCTCTGCTCATATAACATTGGGGCACTCCATGACGTTGAAATTACCCAAATTTCGTATGTTTTGAATTTCTCCGAACATGAATTCAATCTCTTATTCATTTAGGAATATAGTGAACTGAAATGGTAATAAATATTCCGACAGGACAGGTCGACAGGATACTCATATTTTAAGAGATAAAGCGATGCAATATGTAAACAAAGTGTTTGTTTACATTACCGACTGTAACCCGCCTTTAAGGCTAAATTTTGTGCTTTTTGAAAGAAATATATTTTCCTTTTTATCAAATGCGCTGAAGGCAATGCAGCACTGCTGCATCAATAACCGACTATATTCCATACGTCAGAAGTGAATTGGATCCAACAAAATTGGATCATGTCAACAGACTTAACAATATGCCATAATATTAGTTTTAAACGCGGCAAAATAAGTTCATCTATTAAAGTATCTGGTTTTGAATCGCATATTGCATTCTCGGCATATTGCATTCTTTGATAGATACGAACGTGTGAATTAGTTACTGATGTTCAAATTGGAGCTCCTACACACCAGAGCATTTGCAACTAATTACTCGTTCACATCTATCAAAAGAAGAAATTCGCAGCAAAAATCACAAGTATAAACAGGCCTTAACAAGTCGTCAGTCCCACTGGCATATGACACCGCGGAAACTGGTAAGACTTCTCAATATACTTAGGCTTGCATTGAAACTTGATGAGAAAAAGAGTTATAAATACCCAACAAAATCTGTCTTGCACAAAGAATGAATGTCTATAGCGCGTTCACAAGTAATAAAAGCGTTACGAGAAGTAGTCATACTTGATTTTTGGGGCAGGAAGCATTCAAAGGTTTCACTGAATAAAAATGGCAGCATTTTGAGGCCTTCGTGTTGTAATAAAAATACCCACAACATTGAAAATGATCTCTCTTCATGTATCTCTTACCACAACAGCATAACTCAGTCACAGGATCGTAGATTTCATTTCCGCAATCTATAAATGAAGAACATTTGAGTTAAATTGTGCGTTTTTTAATTTATATACAGGTAGCTATCTCAGCTTTCATAGTTAAAGACGAGAGAATTGAGCGACCATGCATGCAGCAGTAAAGTTCGTATGAGTGTTTCTTATTGATTATCTCTTTCGACTATCATTAATTTTAGTGTTTTTTCAAACGAGAATGAGAGTTGGGAGTAAGTAAGCGACGGTTTCATCCTAGTCACACGAGGATGAATTATAAAGAGTTAGCAAGCGAGAGTTTACAACTTACAAAAGCATTTTCTCAACTATCATGTTATGATCAAGAGAGTTACATGAGTGTTTTCGGTCAAAGGATGCTAAGATTTGACTGCAGTTAGCAAGCGAGAGTTTACATGAGTGCATGTTCTTAACTATTATATCATGCATGTCGTGGACAAATTCGAAAACTTGGAATATCACCTGTGTTTGCAAAGCCAAAGTGATAAAGTAAATAACATTAAAATACTTACAGAATTCGAAGTGAGGACAAAAGTCGAAGAAGAATGAACAGTTCCAGGTCCCTCCGTGAACACAGATACTGGTTTAAAAACAAAGCGGAGACCATTAAACAAATATGATAATATTTCTAGGGAAAAACATCTCCATTTTGTGAAACTCACCATTTCATACAATTGCATCTCTTATAAGATCCTGTTTCGTACCACTCCTTGATGCCCCACTGACAAACTATAGGCTAATAGGAACAAATTCATAGCATTGAAATCTCTTATCCAAGGATCTAAGATCGTGTCTTATTGATCTAGTGTTACTACAGAAGGAAACCTAAACTAAACTAACTTTATTTATACTGGATAGCTCTATCAGTTCTAAACTGTTCTTCCTAGAGGTCCAGTAAGGATAATCTCTTATTGATCCAGTGTTACTACAGGAGGAAACCTAAACAAAACTAAGTTTATTTATACTGGATATCTCTATCAGTTCTAAACTGTTCTTCCTAGAGGTCCAGTAAGGATCATCTCTTATTGATCCAATGCACTCCAAAATATAATTTCACTAAACTGATTAACAGAACAAACTTACATCCATTTTCAGAATACTGTTTCACTCGCCGTCTCTCATCTTTGAGTTTTGAAGCTGGTTCAGTTGAGTCCGTTATTCCTATTACTCTTGCCTCCACTTCATTTTGATGTGAGGACTCGGAACTGCCCTCTAAAATGACGATAAGCAAAATTAACATTATATTAACTTTGGCGGGCATTGCGGTGTATTTTGCGGGCTAAAATGATAAATTTGCCGTGTTGAAGTATATTTCACGTTTCACGTTTTCACCTAAGGACCTTCACCAATTACCAGAAGAGTTGACAATACCATGTCAGATAATACATTTGTTGAACAATGATAAAATACCAGATTGGCCTTCCACACGCTGATAGTTATCACAGCTAGATTGTAGTTGCTAACACCATTTAGTACAATACACTAGTACAATATACTGTTTTTATAGTAGACTTGGACATCAATATCTTATACTTATAGGCATGGCGCGTCTTTCCCGTAACAAAGCTTCTGTGATCACACTAAGAATATGCCAAATTTAAAAGTTCCCTTTGAAAGGTTCACGTGGAAGCAGGAATTGGAACAATGATTAGCTCAAATTGGATAAATGACTATATAACTGTGTTATTTCATATGATATTCAGTGTTGGAAATTCTGTAGAAAAACCGGTGGAATTTATACCAATTGAAACTTCCGGCAACTTTGATCAAAAAAGTTTTAAAGGAGTGAATCGGTCGCTTGTCGTTTATCCAATGGCTTCAACAAAAGATTTTGGCAAAGAAAGTCTTGGGGTAAAGAGCAAGAAAAACAGGCTGGACCATCTTAAAAGCAACCTACCTTCGCCATTAGCTACACGGCTCACAGATAAGATGCATAATAGGCAGGTAATAGCGGAAAACTTCATTCTTTTATTGCGAATGTACTGTCAAAATTTGTCGCTCGCTAGTTATATGACGACTTTCGATTGCAAGATTTGAATGAATTCAGTTTTCGGCCAATATTGCCGGCATGGTAAACAAGAACATATATTATGACATAACTATGAATGCCAGTTTATCACAAAGACTATTAGCGGTATAATCGCCTGGCGCGAAACTCGTTCTACTGATGACGCAACCATGTTTGTGTAGCAAGCTTTCTCCTTGTTTCAAAGAGCAAATTTACTTCTGATTATAGCAGTTCGGAAATAATGACGCGCCTAAAACCTATATCGATAAGGTGTCTTCACTGCCTTGAAAGGCGAAGACGCCGGTACGATCGAGGGACACTGCGGAAATGGGCTTCAATTCTCAATACTTAGGTTTCAAACAACTTCAAACTTGGTGAGAAAAAAGATTTATAAATACTCAACAGAATATGTCTCGCACAAAACACTTGAAGTCCTTGAAGCTTGCACATGGCAAAAACGAATCTTCTGAATTAATAACCTTGTGTCAGTATATTTGCCTCAAAATGGACATTTCACAGCTGTCAGATGTGTATGAGCTGTCAAAAGATTGCAGAATGCGTATTTAGAATAAAAACGGACTTTCTAAGGCTATTCAATAGTTTTCTCTTTGATAGCGATGCAGAAATTTGCAATTTGAAAATGTCCTTTCCCGCTGTGGCGGTCTATGACCAATAGCGTGACATTTAGATTGTGACAGATATTTGCGACATTTTGTTCTAAGGGGATCCCCCTGCCTGTGACTTTGTTCCAACAAAATGACGTGTTCTTATTTGGTCATGTCAACATTGGAAGCAAAGTGTCTCTGGGTGCTTCTGTTTCTCTATTTTGGCCCAGTTTGCTTTGGAAAGAAAAGCGAGGAGTCTGGTAATTACTTAGACAGAAATGTTATTGTTTTGAGCGTCCATGTTTGACAAAACTGAAAACCTATCAATATAATTTTATCGCATGCGCTGTCTTAAATCGTGATCACTGATCACACAAAACAGACAATTAAATTTTTGTAATACTGCGTTCTTTTATCCCCGTGAATATCTCCTTTTGAGGAAAGGTTGACACTTAAACGAGTAATATAATTCATCTGCCCAACTGCCTGGGAAAAATTCACATAGCCTGTGATGGTATTCTACAAAGATGGTAATTTTTGCCATTTCTGTATTATCTCAGGACTAATAGCATTGTAGAGTATGGGATCTACTGAGAGTACTGACCATTAGCCAGGGTGGCTTGAGAATTTATTAGCAAATTATTGCTGTCTAAATTGGTCAAGCATTGTACTCATATTGTGCAAGAATAAGTTGAATAATATAATATTTTACCTCAATCCCAATTCTGCAGTTTACCAGATAACAAGTGTGGATCTTCCATACCTCTGATAGCACTGGGTAGTAAGTTAAGCAACCATTGTTAGACTTACAAAAGTATGTAATCTGGCAGTAAATGAAGTTGTATACTGAAGCCAGGCCCATTTTGGCCGAATAAATGCATGACAAGACTAGTACTTAAAAAGTTTTTTCTCCCATTACTAGCAGTGCCCAGCTGCTTACAATTAACATAATTGTCCAGCATTAGGAATATTGAAATTCTATAGTAGAACCAATTGGACCCAGCTATACATTGCCTCTATCTCAGCAATCGAATACAAGAAGGCTACAATATTTTTCAGAGGTCTTGTTATGCCGACAATGTGGTCATAATATAGTCGACAGCCGTGAAGTGGTTGACATAAAAAGCATCCTGGCCCTTAAATACAAAAATGCTTCAGTTCTTGGTCCAAAAGGAACATTGGTTCAGACTTTTAAAAACCCTGAAGGTTTGTGAAACAAATACAGTACATGTAAGCTCTCAAATTGTGTAGTTAGGTCAAGAAATCAAAAAACCACAGGACCTGTGATGAATCATCCTTACCTCACAATTAACTGGCCAGAGTAATGACAGACAATGTATGGTAATGTAACATGGGGATAACCTTGAGTGGGTCTTGCTGTATATTCTATTCCTAAAACTCAGGAAAACATTGAGTATAATAATGCAATAAGGGTACAACCTAAAGTGGGTCTTACTGTATATTCCTTATACTGAGGAAAACATTGAAATAAAATAATTTTGATAAAATGAAATAAAAATTTTGATTATTATTACACAGAACTTTATATATTCAGTGTAAAGGCCCATTCACAAGATCCAACTTTGTCGGATTCAATTCACTTCTGACGTATGGAATGTAGTTTGTTATTGATAATGCAGTACTGCATTGGCTTTAGCAGTTTAGTTAATTTGCTGTTGCTGTGCATATACCTTGCAAGTTAACAGACTATAAAATAAAACAATGCAGTACCAATGTAGTACTGTAGTGTTATTGATCAATCAGTACATTTCGCATAGTTAAATTCCAGTTGACTCAGAAATATACGACTCCGATTGGCCAATTCTGTCCTCAATAACTACAGTTAAAAGTTACCTAGCCTTTTATACAACTGGCTCTAGCATTCTAGTAATAGCTACAGAGGTGAATTAAAAACCATTTTTTCGAGTGAAAATATGGAATCAAGGAGAGCTGAAACGTTTCAAATTGATCATTTTCAATTTGATTGATTACGCATTAACTTTTTCTTCACCTTATCAAGAGCAATGGCAATGCTAATAACGTAATAACGTAATCTCAATGAATGATAAATCATGATTTACCAGTTGAATTAAAAAAATTCCAATCATTGGGAGCACTAGAGACTTTCGTTTTTTTTGGAACCCATATTCTGTAATTCGAGCGAAAAGCCGGAAAAAGTTTGCTGTTTAAATGACCGTGTATTAGAAAAAAGCCTGAAACTAGCAATATAATCCAATTTTTAATTTGATTTTAACAAATTCTTTAGGAATAAATTTTGACGTGATCACAGTTTCTAAAGCAAGCATACAGGAGCATGGGGATGTAAGTTTTGGATATAAAGTTTCATAGCGTTTCGGATTGACATTAATTTTTTTATACATAATTTTATACATAATTTCTCTAAATTGCGACTGAAAATTTTCAGGCCCATGAGAAATTTTCCTGGTTCCCAGGCTACGCGTGGAAGTTGGCGGGTTGCCCAAGATGTCGTGCACATTTAGGATGGTAGGGTCACTGATCTTATTATACACTGGATATAGCAACTATACTGGTCACGTGGTTCGGTGCAATAATGATATTTCGTATCCTAGGACATTCACGTCGACAGACGAAGACGATGACGAGGAAGATTACGATGATGATGACGATCACGATATTGAGAGGCCAATTGATAAGTACCAAAAACCAAAAAGATATTCTTTTGCTGGATTAATCTTATCCAGGCTGATTCGAGAGAGTTGTAAGTATATGAACCACCTTAATCAATCAGTGAAGCTCAGATTGTATCAGAAGGTATGAGGAGGTGTAACCCTCCATAGAATTGTTTTGCAACCCCCCGGAAATATTTAAACCTAACTTTGGGAGTTGACTAAAATTTAAGTATTGGAAATGTATTAAAGAGTTTCATCCCGAATTCCTAACCGAAAATTACATTCAGTTGCAGATTCGTTGATAGTCCCACCGAAAGTATACCAAAGGTAGCTAAACTGGATTGACGTATTTGAAAACAGGCTATTGGATTAGAAAAGATCGCAGCACTGGATCCATGGTTAACAGCATAATTAAAATATTATAGATTAAATTACATCACTTGTAAATAATACGATTAATTGAAATCACACATTGGGAACTGATAAATTGTTTTGTACAAAGTTAATAAAATCGCACAGAGGTGTTAAATTTTAATTGCTCGCCATATTTAAGTTTGATGATTGTGGAATGTATGCAAAGAACAGCCTCGTACCCAGGCGCTTTAATAGTGAAATATAAAACGTTGCATTCAGTTATTGTATAGAGGTCAGCTAAAAAAAAGCGAGCACGTGGGTAAACAAAACCACCACAAGCACCCCCGCGCGCTGGGTACGAGGCTGTGAAAAGTATGTATATGAGTAGTCTGTAAATGTGTATTTTGTATTAACTGCCCGGGAAAAATCTTACCCAATTATTGGGTGCGGCCAAAAAACGTGTAATTTTAACTGTTGTCATTCATGGCGGCCATTAATTAATTTGCTTCAAAGATGGCGGGCTGGCGGCCTTTCCAGTCCTTTCGGTTCATTGGGTAATATATGTGATAATTGTCATAATTCTACCTGCATTATTCATTACTTGGTATTAAAAGCCAGAGGTTCCAGCAATTTTACGAATTTGTTCGTGAACTAACCAGAATGTCATAGACCATGGGGCCTGGTAACGATAAAGATTGTATCTCAAGTGAGTAAAATATCATCCCCGTTCCCAGGTTTACGCAAACTGCGCGAGTAAGAAAACAACTGGGTATGAGAAAAATATAACAATTTTAAAATTTCACTTTAAAATCGAAAAATTTAGGGCGAAAAAATTTGCAGGAATTCAGAGATTTTTTGAACTCGAATGTAAAAAAAAAGTTTCTAAACTCCAGTTTAAAATCCTGATATGGCAGCCTGTTTACGTTTAGCATAAATGAGAATGCAAGCTTTAAATTTGATTGTGAAAAAACGTACCATTCGTGTCCAGGTGGGTATGAATCCTTTATAGAGAGCGAAAAATCCTTCCTCTCTTACCTGCAAAAAAGAAAATCGTATAGCACATGGAGGAAATATTTTGTGTGTTTACGACGTGTTTACGAAGTTAGATGGCGGCATGTAAAAATTGTGAACATGAATCGTTTACATGCACCAGATAATAAAAATATTTTTGTGTCTCATTGATTTGGGACTGACCGCTTTCTGCTGGATCATAGTTAACCGTGAAACCAAGTATTTAATGGCTCAAAAAAAAAATTCGCAAACGCTACAGTTATACTGACCGCAGTTATAAAACAATCATGACTCCTCTATAAGCCATGGGATTGTTCATGATTCGAGTTTTGATGACGTCAGCTGGAGTGCCCATGGTAGCAGCTACTAGTCCAGCGGTGATGCTAAAAAATAATAAATTAAATTCTTGAGGCCCACACAAGAACTTGCGACTGTAACATTGGGCTGGGCATACGTAATGATCCTCATAACATCGATTATTATAGTTGTATTATTTTCTCGTATTCCTATTGGTCGAAAGGTCACGGACAAGTTTATCGTGAAATAAATCCTGTTTATGAATGTGCGCATGACAAATATCGTATATGTAAGTGGCCGCGTACTCTTAGGCGCTAAAACAGCCCCATGATGCAACTCCCTACTGCAACTTGGCGCCAATCTCCAAACCGCCATCTTCAGTACATACCTTGAAAGCATATGCGTAGCAGAGGTATCTCCCAAATTCGTGTTTCTCAGGAGAAATTGTTTTGCTGTGTCGTACGTCGTAAGATCTGGACAAAAGTCGAAACAAAATATTCACCAAAGCAAATAACATCAATTCTCTTGTTATTCTGTTCAGTTTTTAAATTTTCAGTTTATTCAGTTTTTAAACTAATAATTTTTAGGTTACTTTAGCTGAGTGCCCGTGTTAGAGATCACATTTCTGAATATCAGTGAACACAAACGAAAACATAAATTTAAGACAAAATTCAAGAGTTTGCATAAGGTGTTTAGATTTTATTGTAAGAAATGCATATAACATCTCTCGATAATCTGACTACAACATGAATCATTGTTTACACAGTTTACTTCAATACATATCAGCTATGAGAAAAGCATTTTAAAACTGATATCTAAGGCATTGTAAAATGATTACGGGTTGCATTTACTATGTGTGTTATTGTGTTTACTATTACTTAAACGTACCAATTTTGGCATTTTGTATGAAAAAAATGTCAAGAAGAGTTACATTTATGATGGTTATTTTGTAAAAGGGGGTTCTATGAAGTACACACTTAAAAATTGAATTTCTTAATTATTTTCTTTGCGAGGAAAAACTCATAAATCTCCCGTCTATAGACTGTACTTGTTGCAAGCACGGTGTTTACATAAAACCACGCATATTTTATTTCGAAGTGATTTCGCAACACTTCCGCTCAGCAGTCGGTATAAAATTGTGTTTATACGTACTTAAAATAACACTTCTGAACGACGATATTCATGCAGTTGTTTGAACCAACGACAGACGTTTCATGGTAAGAAACACTTCAATTTTCAGATATGTATTTCCGTGTACGGTACAGCATGTGATAAAATATATTATTCGGTCGAGTTTCAAACGCTCAGCCTCAGCTGACAGTTGAATTTGACACCTACTGTTCAGCATTTCGCTAATATTTACGTCCCGTAAGCTGTGGTTTTTATTGATAGTGGTTTTATATTGTTGAAATAAGTTATTGAATCTTTCAATCATGTAGAAACTGGATTCCTGAGATGTTTATGAAAGTGTCAACTGAAATATTATTTATAATATCGAAATTTTGATGTATTTATAGAATAAAATTTGGTGAATTTATGTATGGTGATACTGCCAAATACAATTTGTGAATTTGTGAATGTCTGCCTGAAAGAGTACTTTTGTCACTCTTTCGAGCAAGAATCTGTTAATCTTTCACTGTGAGACTAGCATAAGTATTAATTTCTTGTTTGTGATACTGTAGTTTATATGTTTCTATGTGTGTGCAGTCAACAGTAACTGATTTCAATACAGAAAATTGTTTGTCCCGATAGTCACGACTCAATGGAAACCAGGCCTGAAGTCAAAACACAAAGGAAATGAACAGTCGAACATTGAAGTTTTGAAACGTTGAATTACGTTAAGTTTATACGAGACTATTTTCGAGCATTTTCAAACCAGCCTTTTGAACTAACCTAGGCAATTTTGATAATTCATTTATAGCGGGTTGTTTAGGCCTTTAGGGTCGGAAAGCATTTCCAAATTTCAATATGTGTAAAATTGATTGACCAATCACGAGCGCCATAGATCAGCGAAAGGTAGAGAGATGTGGATTTGAATCCCGACCTTGCTACAATTCTTCTCTTTTGGTAATTTTAGATTATAGAAGCCGCGAAATGGCGAATCTTCCCGTGATTCATGAGCTAGGAACCAGTTTCCTCTCGTTGGGTGACGTCATCACAGGTGATCCAGAAAAAGCGCGGGAAAGATGGAAAACGTATGCCGAGGAGAGCGTGATTGGCTCGTGTGTGGCCGCGACGGTTGAAGCGGCAAAGGGGAATGAGGAGAAATCGAAAGAGTACTTGAAAGGCATGGGGCGAGCAACTGGTAAGGCGGTCCTAGGAGGTGGACTTTTAAAAGATGTTCCGGGCTTCCACGAGTTGGCCGTTTGTGGTGAATCTCTTGGGGACATGATCGGCGGAGGTGATGACGAATCAGCCCGAGAGCGATGGAAAACATACAGCGAGAGCAGCGTAATCGGTAGCGGACTTGGCGCGCTTGCCGCCAAAATCGACGGCGACGACGAAAAAGCCGAACGTTTGACGGAAGCCTGCGGAAAGGCGGGAAAAAGATTTGGCGTGACGGCTGCTACGGTCACTGCAGTTGTAGCATCTGGGGGACTTGCTGCTGCACACGGGGTGGCGGCCGCTGCCGGTGGGGTTATCGTAGGTGGGGCTGCAGGGGTGGGCTCGACCGCGGCAATGCAGATGATAGATAATGATAAAATTGACGACCCAGGGGCGGTGGTGGGAATGGGTCTGATGGTAGCGGTCAGTGGACACATGCCCGAGGTTGAAAAACCCGGGACTCCACAAAAAGTTACCCCAAATAGCTCCGAAGAGGCTTCCAAAAGCTCCGAGGAGAATCGAAATAGTTCCGAAGAGGTTATAAAAACCATGAAAAGCCCCGAAGATACTCCGAATATCCACGAGGACACTTCGACAAGCTCCGATGAAAAAAATCCCAAAAAACCTTTTGAAATCTCAGAGGAAAGGGGCTTTGAAGGGGTTCAAAAAACCACGAAAAGCGCCGAAGAACTCAGAAAACTTATCAAAAAGTTTCTGGAAGCGCTGACGGGACAATAAAAAGCTCTGAAGAGAAGCCAAAGAACTCCACAAGTTCTGAAGGCACTTCGAAATTCTCCGAAGAAGTTTCAGAAAATGCTCAAAAGACTCCCGAAAGCCATGACTGTACTACAAAAAGCATCGAAGACGAGGCTACAAAAAACTCGACCAGCACCAAAGATACTTCGAAATTGCCCGAAGATTCAGAAAGCCATGAAAAGTCTGCAAATAATTCTGAATAGGCTTCGAAAAGCTCTGGAAGGAACGCAGAAATATGAAGGTGCCTTTAAGTTATATTTTTTAATGACCGGATTAATTGATATGTTTTTAACAAATGTAAAATTATTGTTGGAGTCGTCTCCCGACACACACCTCAAAAGTATTTTATACCCTCCCTGCTGTTGCCTATATTCCAGAACATATTAGGTTATGTAAGGATATATTGGGATGTATCAGGATATGTTAGGATATGTTAAGACATATAAGGATACATTAGTATATATATGAGGATATATACCTCAACTACAACATATTCAACAAAACGTACCTCCCAAATTTACAAGCGCCGCCCTCTGGACGTTTGGTAGCCACCCTTTCCATAATCCGGTCACTCCAGTGTTTTTAACAATACTGGAGAAGGCGTGAGCCGTGCCGCGATATCTAGAAATATAATGGCCTTACTCTTTACTTTTGCATATGAATCAAAGACTGAAACTCAACCGAAAGGAAATTATTTTTAGTTTTGTGACCTTTCAAGCGTTCGAGAACAAATTATATTTGTTGCTATTATGCGTTCTTTCTGAAATGAAAACCCAAGATATACACGACAAGTTACGTTGTATTTTGCAAGGGTGCAATAGGGCGAAGGGGCCATTTTACCATGCTCCACCAGTTGTGATCTATTCAGAGGCAAGGACAGCGTGACGATTTAGGGGCTGGTTACATGAGCCCGGTTACCCGAGATTCAACGACGTGTAAGATGATTTTGAGATATTGAAATGAGCAGATAACATAATCGCGGCAGTCGTATAATCACCACAACAATAGCATGTGCTTGTTTGGTGTCATAAAGACTTTTTTCAATACATCAAAGTCCTCTCACGCCTCGTTGAATCTCGGGTAACTGGGCTCATGTAAACAGCCCCTTAGTCCTGCTGTGCAAGTAGTTTAGAGTTCAACGACTGAAAATACAATCGATTTTTAAAGAAATGAATGATTATAGCCCAAAACGTTTCTAAGTCAACAGGCAGGCTTAGCAACCGATCTATTTGCAAGGCTTTAACTAGGTCGAAAATTTAGTCCATAATCAAAATAATGAATGAAAACGACATCTTACCTTGGTGGTTTTCCCTCCAGGATTCTCCGGCCTTCCATCTGCATTTGAACTTTGACCAAGTCAGTTGGACTGGCCAAAAACTGTCCAATAGCACCAGAACTCATACCGCCAACAACCGCTTTCCTGTTGTCAAAAACATTGCAAATTGCACAAGAAAATTTATAACATATTTATCTAGACTCTTGCGAGTCAAGATGATCCTAAATATTTTGAAAATGTATCAAAATATATGTTATTATGAATAGCAGTTTCAGATGTAAACAAAGCATTTTTCTACATTGGGTACTGCACATCAAAGTAAATAATCACGCTATTATTTTTTTCTTGCGGTCCGAATTCATATTTTAGCGTTTCCGGCAATCTGATTGGCTACGCGAGCGGTCCGTGTGAGGCCGTACGGACCGCGCGAGATTTAAAAGCAAAGAGCCAACGCTAAGATATGAATTCAGGCAGCAAGAAAAAATAAATCTATTATTTACCAGTTTAGTCGGTCCGTATAGAGAAATATTTCCCTCGGTCTCAAAACGTCCGTCGGCCTTCGGCCTCGGGCTGTTTTTGAGACCTTGGGAAATATTTCCCTATTCGGACCTCCAATCTGGTAAATAACTTATATTTATTATATGGCACGCGGTCTCGTGACTAAAATGACGTGCGCTGATTGGTTCTTTGCCGGTCTGGAATCCCGCAGTATTAGACCGTTGCCGTAGTAACGTAATAACATATATTTATATAACGTGGTTTACCAGAGGGGAAAAGATCCATCTTTGTTTCTCAGCAAAACTTTTTCCCGGATTACTTCATATGCTCCCATACGTGAACCGGAATACACTACACGAGTGTTAAATAATTGATCAGTAAATATCATAATTTCTCTACTACCATTTTCTGTCAACATTTAAGCCACCATTGACAGCAAATCATTTACAATTCAATACCTAAATGTCGAAGAAGGGCTGGAGTGATGCCTCGCCATAATGACAGAAATCCTTCTTCCTTTACTACAAAGAAAAGATGAAGTCAGGGCAGTTAGAATATGGGGGTCTATGGTACTGGACAACTTCTGTTGTAAAACATTGTTCCCACAACAATGATCAAAAGTTTTAATTGGTTTCGGCACACCATGCCAACTTATCGAAACCCATGCCACACCTAATTTATCGGCATGTTTTAAACTCTGGCTCCCCCAAACATTAATGGCTGTTAATACCTGTTATGTCCCAACTTACTCTAATAGAGATATTTATCATTATATTGCGACTAAATGATATCCATGTGACAGATGAGGTACTGGGACTAAGCAATTGATTATTAAGGAAATCCTACCACCCACTCTAATATATAATTTAAATGGCCACCTTGCCAAAATAGCCATCCCAGCAAAATTATATGTTTTCACATAATTTCACATACCTGGTGATGTGTATCAGGGTGCCCCCCTTCCCCCTCCTATCAATTAAAACTTTACTAGCACACCCTAGATGTCAAGTCAACCCATACCAATGCCAATGGCAGTCTTTATCATTCCTCTGTAAGGCTGACGTTTAGCTCCAGAAACCAACGAGGCAGTCTCTCCCTGAATTTGAAGACGGGTTTTGGTAATGTCCAATGGAAATGTAACTTATAAAGAAAACAGTAAAAAATCACAATTATTACTGCAAAATCTAATCAATTTGAAAGATCTAAGCTCAAGACAGCTAGAATTCTTCTTAATCTATGAAGTTACATTATCTAAGCACGAATATCAGAGTACGTTGGTCTACGTACATATTGCACAGATTTTATTAAAAACTTGTCTGCAAAACCTACCAGATTCGGCAACCGACGCTGAAATACTGCTTAAACAATACTTGAATACAAAGCCGTCGCGATGCCCACTACCCTGTCGAGATTTCGACGTCATTGCAAAGAAAATAGGTAAAGAAATTCTACTAAAACTAAATTAATATTTTTTCACTCCTTTTGACCGCCATCTTTGTTTCAAAAGATCGGATTTCCTTCGTACATTTTGTGAAATCCGCTTTTTGCTCAGCAATTTTCCTGACCTTGACCTTGAAACGCCATTCGTGCAAAATGTGGCTGTTTTTCGAAAATACAAGATGATAAATTAATACTATTTGAAACTTTTTATTACAGTTATGCTGTAAACAGTTTCCAATCCCATAAGGGTTCACAAAGTGAATGGTTATTTGCGTGGATGATATTCAATTCTAACAATTTCCGATTTCCTAATTCATATAATCTGACAAATAAATAATATTTATTGCCCCACAGTCAGCAAGCAAATTAGCAAAGCATTTTTGTACATTCTCCCCCAACTACATTCAAGAAGCTTTACGAATGAAATTTGTAAGGAAATCTGGGAAAACGAATCTCTATAGGAAGGATTTTTTAAAACCGTTTGCAAAATATGGCGACTGATCTCAATGAGAATCTGAATACCAAATTTCTTACACCAAAACAAATTATGGCGAGCGAAGGAGAGACGCATTTTTGTACGAGGGAAGGATGCGAAAATCAATCTAAACTCCAGTGTCCAACATGTTTAAAACAAGGCATACAAGGGAGCTATTTCTGCTCACAAGTAAGGGTTCTTCCATTGGACTTTATAATGTACGAGATCACTACTTTTTGCTGACTTTGTAGATATAAAATGATGTAATCTAACGCTGGGATATTTCACGTGCATTTATATAGGATTGTTTTAAGAATGTGTGGAACGATCACAAAAAGAAGCACAAAAAATCTGGTAGGATCCGAATAGGCCTTTGAGGGACTGTTATAGGATAGATTGTATCATCTTAGTATGCATATGACTGATGTTGAAGCCCTGCTCCTCACTGCAATTAGTCCAATATAAACTGGCTGCCATGCCACTAACCATATATTTATCCCACTCATCTCTCAAGGAGCTTTGTAATTTTCAACTCTATTTTTGACATTTCAAGGAAATAAAGTGTCAGCTGATAGATATGATCCGTGGCCTGGTTATCGATTTACTGGTCAGCTACGTCCAGCTAAACTGGTACCTAAAAATCATTGCTATATATAACTGTCCCCTAGGAATTGTTTCCTGTGAATCCAGTAAAAGAGAATCTCTTTAGATACTCAAGGAAACAAAATTTCTATATCTTCAAGATTTCATTTTTCAACCCAATAAGCGAATAAGGGTCTGTTTATATCAATAAAACCCATTGCAGTACTACTTTATTAACAACAAGCCACATTCCATACATCAAAAGTGAATTTGATTCAACAAAATTGTATTGTGTGAACAGACCTAAACTATATATTTCACAACCTTTAAGCCAACTTGATTTTTCTGTTTCCAAAAAGAGTGCAAAAAGGGAAGTTCCTGCTCATATAGAACGTCCAGATTACGCTGAAACAGGTTTGTACTATGCCCCAGTCTGTCATGTTGGGGGTGGGATCTTGGAATGTGGGGTAGGGGTGTGTGATTCAAAAGTATCACCAATGGGATGGGGGTGGTTGGATGGGTAAAGGGAGTTATAGGTAATACAGAGTATGTAACCTATCAAGCACCATCAAATTCAAATGCATACCTTTGTCTTGAGCTACATCTGTATACTGTACTTATAATTTCTATTCAATGCTTCAAACCTTGCATGTCTAGGAACTCGTGGGAAGGGAGATTGCCTCACAGCTACCTTTAAATGCAGAAACTGCCCCCACCAAAAATTGAGTTTCCTTAAATTTCTGCAATTTGCCAAGAGTCTGTCAGCACCACTGGGCTTCAAACAATAACAAGTTTTATTGTTGACATGCTAGGAAATCCAATCAGTGAATTGGAACTTCGAGGAAATACCATGATCAAAATTTTAAATGAAGAGGAGATTAAAGGAATGCGTGTTGCATGCCAGGTATACTTCTCTGACTATAGCTGAATAATTTTCTCCGTTCAAGAGTTTTATGTATATTCCCATTCCCATTCTTCATGTTTAAATGGGAGGTGGGGGGTGCCATTTTCACACTCCCCCAGTTCAGCAGTTGATGAATAATTTTCTGCTGAACTAACTTATAGTTGGGACGTGAGGTTCTCGACGAAGCAGCCAAAATGGTCAAAGTTGGGATAACAACAGATGAAATTGACAAAGTTGTTCACGAGGTGTGGTTGGAATGTGGTTCGCTTTTTAATCATAATTATACCCTCTAAAATCTAAGTATAGTAATAATGCGATAGTAGTGGCTAATTTACGAGCAATATCGCATGATTACTTGTTTATTGTTAGCATGATAACATCATTTAAAACATTTTGAAACGCTTCTAACAACGAGATTTCAAAAGCATAATTCAAAACGCAAACGACATAGTTTCTTGTTAAGGAATAGTTCTGCCAGACTGTGATTCAACATGATGTACCTTTGCCAGTATTTTCGTTTAAATTTCCGGTTTTTAGTCCTCCCTGAGTCTTCTTGTTTGCATTTCATTTCAAACAACTTTCCGCCATTTTGTTTTTTTTTGGGGGGGAAATAATGAATTGTACAAGAAACATTACCTTCGAAAAATGCGATTCCCAAAAGCCCCTCTCAAACAGCTTATTGATAGAGTTAATATTGTTAACAATTCAGTTAAGTATAGTTTAAATCATATAGTTTGAATGAATTATTTTACAAAAACGATTCACCCAAACAAGCGTTGCTGGTTTTTTCGTTAAAATAAATATCAATTTACTGATAGGCTTGTATCAAAAGAAATTGTTATCCATCGCCATTAAACTATCACGGCTTTCCTAAATCATGTTGTACGTAAGTATCTCAAAGGTTCCTTCTTTGCTAATTGAGCTTTGTTGCTCTTTTTCACATATGCTCTCGCATATGCTAGACCAGTTTTTGTTAAAATATGACTGGTAAACAAGAACTCTCGCCAAAATAAAGTTAAAAGGCGTTGTACAACGTAGTTTTTTACCTTGAAATAATTTTAGGCCTAATTTGTTCGCTTCTTGTACTTTCAAGTATAAGTATTTGCGTTAGAATAACCTATTTCCATAGGCAGCCCAGACATGTTTTCGTTCTCGTGGCGCTCGCGCGAAGCGCCCTGCTCGCGCGTGTACACGAGTCTACTTGGTCTATTAGCCCTGCTCGCGCGTGTACACGAGTCTACTTGGTCTATTAATAGACCAAGTAGACTCGTGTACACACGCGAGCAGGGCGCTTCGCGCGAGCACCACGAGAACGAAAACATGTCTGGGCTGCCTATGCTATTTCTTCATCTGTCATTTTGACATAAACAATTTGCCGCCATTTTGAAAAATCCGCATAAGTTATCACGTAATAATCCGAGGTCGTTCGACCAATCAGAGGCCAGAATCAGTTTCAATATTGTATTCTATATAAATATACGTGCATGCTGAGTGAAAGTAGATGGAAACTGGCGAGTTTTTATCAGTCATATTCCATGAAAAATTTTAATAGCATTCACGGCTAGACTTGAAATAAACTTTTAGGTCAATCAACGAAGTTATATGTCATGGTATTCCAGATAAGCGAGCATTGGTCGATGGCGATATTCTAAACAGTATGAAGTTATTCACTATATCACAGTTCGAAGCCATGTTTCTTATCAACTTTAGCTCATGACTTATGATATAATTTCTGTATATAGTCGACATCACGGTGTACCACAATGGTTTCCATGGCGACCTGAATGAGACGTTTTTTGTGGGGGATGTTGACGAGGAGAGTAAAAAGCTTGTCAAGATTACCCACGAGTGTCTCTACGAGGCTATTAAACTAGGTGAGGCCGAAAAGCGGCATTTCAATGTATATATTTGATAACAAATATCAAGTTTTAATTCTCTCTGCCCATTGAACAGAATTACTCCTACAAATCGTATTTTAAAAGCACAGAAAAATTCAAAATATAAACAGACCGTTTCTTTACGTACTTGACTTCCACTTTAAAATTTTATTGCACATTTCTAGTGAAACCTGGTGTCCGCTATCGAGAAGTTGGTAACATTATTCAAAAACACGCTAATAACAATGGTCTATCTGTCGTGAGAACTTACTGTGGCCATGGCATTCATAGGTACAGCCGTTAAACTTAAAACTATTGTTTAAAATCATTTTTAGTCCACGTAATCGTTGATTTGTTGAAAATCACGTTCGAATCACTTCATAATTAAGACACAGTTTTTAATTGAAATCAGTTTTTGTCTACGCCTTCTCAAGTCAGGTTCAACCATGGAAATCTATTTGGTATTCCTTAAGTACACAATCTAAATTGCATTTTCCTAGCCACTCGTATTTACCACAGGTATTAAATTTCTTTAAAAAATTTCCAGGTTATTCCACACAGCACCCAATGTTCCCCATTATTCGAGTGAGTACATACGTTTTACATATGAAGGATTGCATGGTTATCGGGTGAAATAGTTTTTACTCTTGAAATCGTTTTATGCATTTGTAAAAACAATATTTGATCTATTCTAGAAAACAAAGCGGTCGGGGTTATGAAAAAAGGTCACGTGTTCACGATTGAGCCAATGATAAACATGGGTAAAATTTTATCACGTTTACGAGTGTGGTAGTGTTTGAAATGCGGTTTTAACTTTTATGTACCCTGATTTAGTGAAATTGTAGTCTCATATGTTACATACTTAATTTTCAAAGGCACGTGGCGGGAGGATGTATGGCCCGACAACTGGACTGCTGTAACCCAGGTAATGCGTTTCCCAATAATATTATACTAGCCCAACCAAGTACACCATTGCGCAAAATGTAACATTTGGTTTCTGAGCGGTCAGTTTTGGCAGGAAAATATAAATTACAAATGTTTGCTAACTTTGTGATCAAATTTTACAACGTCTGAGAGCAAAGGGAGCCCGTAAAAGTTAATTCTTTAGGACAGCATAACTCGAACTTATACAAAAACACATCACTTAGTTTCTAACTACCATTTGTATGAGCTTTGACCATGTTTTTTTCTACTGTATTTTTCCAGGATGGTAAAAGATCTGCTCAGTTTGAACAAACATTGCTGGTTACGGACACTGGATGTGATATACTCACTAAGAGATTGGATGCTGATGGGGCGCCTTATTTCGAAACTCAAAGTTCAAGGACTACATGAGTGATATTGATACATTTTTATCCGATAAAAAAGTTCCCGCAAAAATTGTCAATTGAGTGAGGAAAATTAAAACGCGACTGTCTATAGTGTTCTTATACGGTGGTTCACGCATCTGATGATATGATATGGAAATAAATTTGAATAAATTTTTCTTACTTGAGGTTGGAATTTTTTTGTCATTTTGCAAAACGCAAAAATATGTTTCAAATACGGATATTGCGGTAAAAACTTGCATGGGCAAGATTGAGCCCACAAATAAGCCTGTCCGCGGTTCCTCAAACGAGTGCTAAGTTCATGTTACACTCACGAAACATCGCAGGCGCAGAGTTAGGTTCAGCGGTTAAACACCGTAAATAATCCTCGTTACGTGTGCTCATGTCCTAAAGATGGCGAAATCGCTTCAAGAATTGTGCCAGACTTATGGAGCGTTTTCAAATTTCAGAAAATATGTAATTGACAAGCTTAACTGTAAATCAACAAAGTATTGTAAACTAGACACCAATATACGAGGTGTTTTTTTTTTATCTTTAACCTTTACGCAGACAACACACAGGAGCTATAGCGAATGGAAAATTAAATTGTAATTCACTGTAAAAAGCATATGCCAGGAAATGACAACAAAAAAGATGGTGGCATTTCGATCAAAAATACCAGTGATCTTTTTAAATTGGTTATAATAGCAATGTTGAAATGCTTAATATGTCACATCGCAGAGGTGAGCATTGGTTTCCTATTAGGCCTAGGTTATATGTCGCATTTTGGTCGCGTCGAATGCAATTCAAACAATAGATAATGAGATGATAAACCTCATTAGACTTCATTATCATCTTATTATCTATTGTTTGAATTGCATTCGACGCGACCAAAATGCGACGTATAACCTAGGCCTTAGAAACATACTATTCACTTCCTGTTTGCAGACAAAAATAGGCCGGTATAGGAAAAGGAAAAGCTCGTTAAAGAAAGCTGGCTAGTTCTTACTAAATTGATGTGAGCAACATTTTAATTTTTAAACTGATTTAATTTTGCAAAAAGCTGTTTTTAAGATCAGCTTGCGACCATCTCTTCTGTTTTTGGCGAATTAATGGACAAATCCAGACTTCACTTTCTAAGGTCTCCAATAAAAATATATAAACCCACTTACCAGTGTTCAGAAACTCAATATTTGATAACAGTTCGCAAGCTAGATATTCAGAAACAAACAAGGAATATAAAAATATTGCTCCAATACAGATGCTATTACTTTTAGTTAAAGTATTATTATGGCAGTCGAGATTTGTTTCATAGAAAGCTAGATCAGTATTTTTGCAACTTTGCTGCAACTTGCAAGGTCGAGTATAAGAATCAGCAAGTCAACTTACTTTCTTCCAACTGGATGATGCATCAGTTCAAAGGCATCGTTGATCTGATCCAGTGTCATGTTTGATGTAACGAACTCATCAACTTTCACCTTCCCAGCCATATAGTCATCCACTATCTTAGGGACGCCATCACGACTTTTCCATCCTATAGACACGAGTTTTTAAAGAACTTATAAAAGATTCATCGAGTTATGCATGGCTGGCAATATAGATCTATTTTAAAGTTGTTCCCCATCTTAATGATGTAATCTTCTCTCGAAGTATTTCTAATTTATGTTAAACAGGATTTTAATTTCTAAAAAGTTTAGCCTTCTAGCATTCATAACGATAGATCGCTTTTGAGTCGACAAAACCATTGAATACAATACAATTTTTTGTATAATCTCTTGCATGAGAATACGATAGCTTTAATGTTGGTAAAAGACTCGAATTTCAACAATCTACTACAGCTGAAATTTTCAAGAATTGAGCAATTCGTCGACACTTTTTCTCCAAGGCAACAAAATGAATCAACGACACATAATCGTGAACACTTTATTGCACTTGTCACATATCAATATAACAGAAATATTGATTTATCGATAAAGCGTTGAAAATTGCTGAAGAAAACGTCCGTATACTGAGTACTCACCTAAGACGGTTTGTCATTTCATGCGAATTCACAAGAAAGGTCTATACAAACCTCCAAAGGCAGTTCCTTTCCAAACTCTTCCAGTGACCAACTGGAATGGTCTTGTAGAAATCTCAGCGCCAGAAGCGGCTACTCCAATGATTACAGATGTACCCCAACCACGATGAGCGGACTCCAGAGCGGCACGCTATATGAAGTAAATTACAATTATATAGTTAATATGTATATTATTTACCAACCCAGTACTCATAAGACAAAATCTAAAGTTTAGAATATATAGCTGTGGAAATGAAAGTGGATTTCAAGTCTGCATGTAAAAAAACGGTTTGTTTACATTTTGAACTTCAATACTCTTTGAAATACGATGAGCTCTCTGAATATCTAACCTTATCTATAGGTTTTACAGTTGATTTCAGATAATTTTTGAAGCCCCAGTTGCCAACTATGTTTGGAATCTGTTAAGTTGTTACATCCGTTTTGTAATTCGCAACGAAGTTCCGAAGTTCAAATCGAACTTTGCGGGGAATTTGAATAAATCGCTATAAAATGGCCACTATAAAATACCAGGGTAAATCAATTACAATAATATTTCTTTGCAGCAATGAAATTGCTTTGCCCTCGTATTTTACAGTGGCCATTTTATAGCGATTTAGTCAAATTGCCCGCAAAGTTCGATTTGAACTTCAGAAATTCGTTGCAAATTACAAAACGAAACCGATAACTTCCCCGCCCACTTGACAGCTTCCAAACAAAGTTTTCGATTAATACAAACACAAATCAGCAGGAATTAAAAATACTAATTGTCGGTAGAGCTGACTAAGAAAGCTTTTTTCTTCTTAAAATTCGGCTTTTCAATTTTATTGTAAAAGAGAACAATCCAAACTTGAAAGATTCAAATAATAGGTTATTTAAAATTTTACGGCACGAAGCAAAAAACAAACTAACTGCAACGAGCTATATTGCCATTATGAATTTTATGATGATTCGAGAAACGCCATTTGTATTTATATACTTCTCAAGCTCATAAAAATCAAGGCAATACAATTTAAAAACGATGATATCGACATAGCCTGCATATAATTATGCTGCATTACTGTTTATTGATGCGAGCAGTTAGGAATTCAGAAAGATTAAAACTTTACGGGGAAGAACTTAACTACTTAAGAAGTTAGCGAAATTAGATACTTTCTATGAATTTACGATAACATTATTTGATGTATTATAATCACAAGCGAGCATCGTGTTTCATGTAGGTTTTACTTCAAGGGTTTTTGACGTGCTAAAGGAAGTAGATATGCATGTCTTATATGTGAGGAATACTTTCATTAATAAAACTCTTGTAAGTTTGCATGGTGAAATCAATAAGTAAATTAGCCATGCAGCAGGTACACCACATAAGTATTGCATTTAATACTTATACGTGATGTGCCTACAAACCAAATTACTTAATCTTTTCATTGTTATATAACACATCATCAGTGTTTTCAAGTGCAAATTATACGCTGTTGAAATGTTTTTAACAAACTTTACTAAAAATTTATAAGTATATATATTTAATTTAATGTTTTTAGAGCATTGTGCATAGCGTGTTTTGTATCTTCTTAGTTTATATAGGGTCCACAGTAATCGGTGCCCCGCTGTTGTGGTGACTCTGCCATGAATGCATGTTACTGGCGAAGTCAAATAAATAAATATTATCATAACATTGTGTAAAGAAGCTTAAAATATTCTTCAACAACCTTCAGAAGGTTCCGAATAAGTAAATCCCGCTTTAACTTTAAACGCTGGTAAACGACGTCGAAACGAATTGTGACAGGAATGAAATGGAAAAAGAAAGAAAGAAAGAATGAAGGAATAGAATACAATTCTTAAGAAGTTAGCAAAATTAAATACTTTCTATGAATTTTAGATAAAAGTATTTGATGTATTATAATCACAAGCGAGCATCGTACTTCATGTAGGTTTTACTTCAAGGGTTTTTGACGTGCTTAAGGAAGTAGATATGCATATTTTATATGTGAGGGATATTTTCATTAATAAAACTCTTGTAAGTTTGCATGGTGAAATCAATAAGTAAATTAGCCATGCAGCAGGCAAAGTAGCTAGCATGTACGCCACATAAATATTTAATACTTATACGTGATGTGCCTACAAACTGATTTACTTAATCTTTTCATTGTTATATAACACATCATCAGTGTTTTCAAGTGCAAATTACATAACAAACTTTACCAAAAAATTATAATAGCCTTTCTAAAATTTTATAGCGTGTGCATATCTACATAGTATACTTATCAGTCTAATTATGACTGTGTTCGATGCTGGCAGATCAAATATCCCGAACAAAAACAAACCAACTAGCTTTAAAGAAACGTGCATCAGTGAAAGGAAATGAACAGAAGGAAAGTTAGGAATGAAATGGATAAAGAAAGAATGAAAGACGCTTGATGAAGAAATATGGATGTAAAGATATAATTCTATAAGTTGTTCTAAAAGTTGTTCTTCATGATCTTGGTAGCTATATAGAGACATCCATAATTTCAAAACGGCGAAAGACATAAAGTAGGAAGCACTTGACGTCAGTTGAAACTTGAAAGAGCTCAATATACACAAAACAGTATCCCCCTCGAGAATTAAGTGGTCCTCCTACAACAACTCACTCGGAAACTGATTGGCATTGCTGATGTACGCAGCTAGTATTTTGATTTAAAGACGGGAAATAAGCTCCATATCTTAAACGGATCTTAGCAGGCAACCTGTGCAGTACTTTACATCCATCGTTTGCAACGGGACCAAACAATTCCTTGGCTGAAGAGTTAATCGATATTAAGTGAAAAATGTTTCATAAAGTGTTTCTCCTGCTATGTTTCTTTCAACTTAGTAATGCGTGCGGTAGGTTTTTGATTGGTTTCAAAATTAAATATTTATATCCATACGGAGGTATAAGAATGAATGCAACTACCTGTTACACGACATCTTATTGGTGTTAAATACAAATTATTTTGCTAGGTACTCCTTTTAATAACCAATTAAACGTGAACCTTCGAATACATATGATACCGATAATTAGAATCCATCCAGTTAAACGATATACCGGATCGTCACGAAAACAAACTGAAACTTCGACCACTTCGCAATGATGTGGGCTTTTACCATTTTGTACCATTTGTCAAAATATTTAAGTGCGAAACAAAACTTAAACTTTGTTTACAATACACTGAGTTTATTGACACGGCACGGCTAAAATGGGTACCAGTGGTGTAAGCCCTGTTTACACTACACTCGATTTATTGGCAAGGCACAGCTAAGTGGGTACCCGCGCCCAACTTTATTACTGTTAGGGCTGCCAAAACAAAGGCCGAGCACAAATGTCGTGTCGTGCCAATAAATTGAGTGTAGTGTAAACGGGGCTTATAGCTCTATCCGGTTAAGTTTCATACAACCGCCGTCAGGCTACAAAAACAAAGGTCAGGCACGGATGATATTGGCACGGATGATATTGGCACGGATTGGCACGGATGATATTGGCACGGATTGGCACGGATACGTGCCGTCCTTGACCGTGCCAATAAATCGAGTGTATAGTGTAAAAGGGGCTTTCTGCACGAAAAAAATTGAATTATGACTGCTAAAGCTCCCGAAAAATAAAAAATGAGTCGATAATAGCAAAATATCCAATATATGATATCTATAATTATGTAAGGTATACGAGAATAACTGATTATTGACCGAGTGTGTGGTCTGTACTGTGAAATATCAGAGCGAGGCTTTTTAGTATATGGACCGAGCGAAGGAGCGAGGTTCATGCAAAAACCTGGGTCTGATATTTCACAGTACAGATCGAACAAGCGAGGTCAACAATTGTTTATTATATGGTTGAACTGCATGAGTTATCAGGGATACTGATTCAGATACGCTTGATGAAGGAATATGTAAAGATGTAATTCTATAAGTTGTTCTATAAGTTGTTCTTCATGATCTTGCTAGCTATATAGATGCCGTGAAAGGCATAAAGGCAATTCTCTATTACGTCCGCTCCGTCCGCGCGGGCGAAGCGCGCTTTGTTTTTCAGCCCCGTCATGGTCCCATGGGCAAATTTTTAAAAGACACTTCGCCGCGCGGGTGAAGCGAACGGTAATGGAGAAATGCCTTAAAGTAGGAAGCATTCGGTGAAACTCCGTGAAAGGCATAAAGTAGGAAGCATATAATATTATGATGTCAGTTGAAAGAGTTCAATATTGACAAAAAAGTTAGTCCCTCCCTTTCCCCCTCGGGCATTGAATGCTCCTCCTACAACTCGGAAACTGATTGTCATTGTTCAAGCATGTAGCAACTGTTTTGATTTAATGATGGGAAATAACTCCCATATCCTATATAAACTCGTCTTAGCAGGCAACCTGTGCAGTACTTTACATCTATCGTTCGAAACGGGACCAAACAATTCGCTAAAGAATTAATTGGCTGAAGAGTTGATCAACTGAAAAATGTTCCATAAAGTGTTTCTCCTGCTGTGTTTTCTTCAACTTAGTAGTGCGTGCGGTAGGTTTTTAGTTGGCTTCAAAATTAAATATTTATAAAGACATATTATTTGTGTTAAGTAACGAACACTCTAAGTACAAAATATTTTGCAAAGTATTTCTTTTTGTAACCAGTTAAACGTGAAAACTTTCGAATAATATATTATTGTTTCAATATTTTAGGTGTATGGTTTGATGTTGGACACGCTTGCGTTGGCACGAGGGATAATAGCTTCCACGAATTAACCTACAACGGACCAAGTTCATTTGTTGGTGCAGTTAAATTGGTTCACACTTCAGGTTATGTTTCAAACAGCGCGGCAAAGAAAGGCTCATACTGGGGAGGAAACACTGTCACAGCTCTTGCAATGCTCATCACAGACGACTTGAACCGCATCGTCTACCCATCAACCCGCGTGACCACCGTAAGCAGCAATGGTTGGTACAAATTGCCAAGATACACCGGGGTATCGCCTAACCTGGTGTTCAGCGATACCGGAGCACCCCAGTATTTCGAGAAAGGCAACAAAATCAGAATTTGGTATGGGGAAGACTGGAGCGGATTTACAGAAAGCGACAATCATGGCAAAGCCTGCATGCGAGTGTATTTTCACTTGACCGGATGTTAACGTTTATATTAGCATCATTAAAATGATTTTGAAATGAAAAATTGTACGCATTATTATATTCTTTAGTTCAATCAAAGTTGAACTCTTTCTAGAGGCATAGAACTTATATATAACATTGTAATGTTGAAGTTTTCTTTATTCTGATCTATTAAAAACCTGTTAATAAAACTTATATCGTAGTTTGTCTGCAGGCAACAAAAAAATCACCTTTTAAAGCCAAATTTTTAACCCAGCCAAGTCGACAGAAAAAGTAAATATTTTGGCTTCACTTTTTGCGGTTCCTTCTCACTCCAGTTAGATACGAAGCTCAATGGCTATCACAGAAAATTAACGCGACGTTATGAGATCAGTTTTGTATTAATCATGCATGCAGTTGACCTTAACTAGTCAAATATATATATTGGCCCATTTTAATTACTTCATCCGGAGACTAGGATAATGCATTTGAAGAGGGGAGTTGAAAATTGTTGATAGCAATAAACTTGACCTGTCGGAAGTCAAATTGGTTCATTTCATGCAGAAAAACTCTTGAATCTTAGCTTTTGAAATTTGGCTCACGCAAGCATGTCAAAATACGAATGATGACTGCAATCTTACTGACTCAGAATATCGTTTCTGGACAAAGATGCTTCATGAACACACAGTAAAGTCTATTTACGTACAAGATACACCTTTAACTTTGTGAAGTAACATTGGATGTTAAATTGTTTGTTGTGATTGAAGCTATGAGATTATTATTTATTAATTATTATAACCGGAACTATAATGATGTGCATGTTGTAGTACATCATAGATTTTCCATATAGTAAGTTATGCCAAGTCACCAGCTTGTTCTTTGAAAATTAAGGTCATACAAACTCATAGAGTTACTAAGTCAAATATTGGCTAACTTCAATTACTTCATCCAAAAATGGATTGAAGTTGTTGGGGGAAGTTAAACTCCACTGAACTTACAGGGGAACTTAAATAAGCGTCGATAATACACTTTACGCTTTGGAAGTTGAACGAATAGGCTCACTTCGTTCAGAAGCACCTCTCGAATTGCAGGCTTTGATAGTTATCTTTACGCAGGTCGCATAACGAATATTAAACGCAATTTTTCTGGGCCAGAGGATTTCTCATGCAAGAAAACTTTAAAAAGATATAAAAACTAGTCAATCTATACATGCAACGAGATTTCACATTAAATATGGTTGAGAATGTTCCATAAAGAAAAAAGGATCGAGATTGTATGTAAACGCTTAATTCACTTACATTTTGAGGTACCATATTTCTCAAAATGTAATGCGCTAAATACAGTAATGTCCAAAAATAACCTGCATCGATAATTGGGAGGGCAATATTCAAATATTCATGTTCTGCATTATCAATTTCTTTTGAAATCTATTGTCTTTGCAGTCTATTACCATGAATATATGAATATTTGGCCCCCTAATTATCAATGCTAGCTACGCCACTGCCTGACGCCGCCGTTGCGGTTCGGTTGCAGTCGACCGATAGAAACCGCAAACGACCGCAAGGGAAAAAATACGATCGCGGTTGATGTTCGCTTCCGAACGAAATGTTATGTTTGAACAGCGCAGAACGACAACACAATATCAAGTAACCTCTGTCTCACCGCAGTTCGCGGATATAGCTAGCACGTTTCTCGACCAATCAGCACGTGTGTACTATAAATGTTATATTATAAAAATAGATAAGAATCTCTATTTATGTCTATCTATGTATCTATTGTAGCCCCCTTTATCAATTAGTGCTTAGGATGAAATGCACAGCCGCAGGTACCCATCTTAGCTGTGACGTGCATGTCGATAAATTGAGTGTGATGTAAAAGAGACCTATTTTATTACACGCGCGCACTTGCGATTCTTTCAAAGCGGAAACCCTTCACCAACTGATTATCGGGGGGACAGTTCTATTTACAGAAATACCTAAAGCCTCTTAAGCTGAGGCCACTCGACTGCTTCATTAATCTATTTGTGAAACTAAACGAATTCTCACGTGTACCTAAATTGGAAACTCTTTGAGCGTATTTAAACGCTATAGCAACGCCAACGGCACTCTTGATACTGCATGATATCATGTAACATTTAACACTTATTTACCGCGACCGAAGAACATTATGTTTTGTGGAGCCGAGTGGAGCCGAGTCAACATTTAAATTAAAATCAAATTAACATTCAAATTAAGTTTTAATGTAAATCGTTTGTAAATGTAATGTGAGTCGTTTGTGTAAATAGTGTCGATCTTTCTCATGTGTTTTTTTAATTCGAGAATTTAGTGGTTGTATATTTAAACCCAGAGGCCGGTTGTATAAAACTCTGAACTACATTAAGTACTGAGTTAAATCGTAGTTAACTAGAGAATACATAACTCTGATTGGCCAATTCTGCCACAAACTATATAGGTAAAAGTTAACTACCTTTTTATACAACCGGCTCCTGAAACTGCTTAAGAAAAGTTCAGATTATGACCACTTCCTATTTTTCCTCTCTAGAGTTCCGCTTAAAACTCGTGCACGCTCGTAACAAAGAGGAATAAGCATCACTTTCTATGTAAAAATGACTAACAAAGACAAAGGATTACTTTTTGGTTGCTCAGCAACAAGAAGAGGGAGCGCTGTAGCGCCTGACCTATTACATGTTGCTTTCTTGTATACAGCAGCATTTCAAGTACCTGAAATCCTTTAATAATATTTTTTCGTTTTCTAACTTTGACTATTTCTTAACATTTGCTTATTGCTTTAATAAATCTAATAATGGATGGTATCCATATCATGAACACAACCCTTTTAACCCCACCATTTTGTAAACGCCATGGCAAGTATGCAGGTTTTAGCCTATGTTTACAAACGAGCGTCGTTTTCGAGCGTTTTCAGAATCGTTTTCGTCTGTTTTATTGTTTTGATGCCCTGTCCACACGGTCCAAGGAAAAATATGCCTAATATGTTAAATTAGCTTCAACTTCTATTGTAAATTGACGGTATTTGAAACCGTTTGGGGATGAAAACGAGGGTGAAAACGCTCGAAAACGTTACAGTGTGCACGTAGCCTTAGTCGCATCAAATGCGCCTCTGCTTTGGATATTTTTATCGCTTCATTACTTCATATATCGGAATCTGCTAATCACGCAGATATAATCAAACGGCGCGATAAATTGTGCGAAACAATTTGGTCGAACAAGTGACTTCACTAAGACCAAAGAGCAAAGGTAATTTAAACATGATTAAGTGTAAGAGCTTCGCCACGCATGATATAACCACACTTGAAAAGTGCTTGTTAGGCAATATTAGGACTAACGAAAAATTGGTCTTATAGTTAACATGAGAAAAATGCTAAAATGCTTGTTTTAAAAAAACATTAAAGAACTGAAGGTAACGTTCACACGATTAAATATTAAAAAACATTTTGACAACTTGATGAAATAAAGGTAGAAACATGCATGCTTTCAAAAACAACATTCCACTTTATTACAGAGTCATCCTTATTACTTTTAAGACTCATTACGATCGATTAATCATTGAAAAGTCCTATTTGATATAAAATTACGTAAAATCTTCGACATGTGTGGTAAAATATAACGTCAAAAACAAAACCAAAACAATAGGATACAAGTTACGATACGTTAAAGATTGTCACAATATACAGTGTAATAAATAGTATTCAGTATTGTGCAGGATAAATAAATCAATATATTCCACTTTTCAACACCCAGAGATCCCTTACTACACGTTTTCACAACGTATATATAGTTAACACGAGCCTTAGCTGCATATTTTGGATTTTAAAAACCGCTTTGTATGTCAAAAATTGTAAACAAAGAAAAAATCTCATTTCAAAATGTTGAATTGTCATGGGAGATAACAAAAAGTGAGAGTATTTCAGCTGACAACCAATATGTCAGAGTTCCTGTGTATTTTGTAACTTCCTTGTGAATTTGGATAATTTATGCATGAGGCGGGAAACTGATTATAAAAGCAAGGCCCCCAGTTCACCTGAATTCAAGCTGCAAAGGCATTTCAAGAACAACTTTACAACTTGGGCGAAATCTTCACAAATTACTGCCATTTCAGTTTGAAGTAAGTTGTTAAAAAATTGAAAATTAGGTCAAGTGTTTTCACGTTTTGTGGTATCCATTATAAAATATCAGTTTAGCATTAGAAAAGAACATTAGTATGTTACAGAATTTTAATTTCCAGCTTAGTTGATGGATAACTTTCGATTTTCCGAGATTTTAGATTTCGTTCATCTAGAGTTTACGCTATATATATTATTGAATCTTCCATTAAAGAGAAATTGCATATTACCATTACTTTAAGACCAGTAAAGTTTTAGCTTTTCAACATATATGTTTTTATAATACTGCAAAAAAATCTGCTTTGTACGAAGGAGATTGATTTAATTTCACTATGTCAGTAGGAATTTCATAACATTTCTTACGTCGCCTTCTTTTACGTTTGACTTATTGTTTTAACGTCGACGGAAATCGCTTCATTTGTGGCAAAGTTTTATACACACATACGAATCCTTAGCCAAGACAAGTTAGACTCTAATTTAGACAAGAAATCTAATTTAACACTTATTTTAAGGCGGACAGTAACCTTTGCGCTACCAACATGCATTATTCTACTTAAACCAACTCAACTTCTATCGCGTATAACTGCATTTTGATTTAATTAATCCTTGTATACAATTCAAATCGTCGTTGCCTCCTATCTTTTCTTAGCCGAAAGAATATAACGATGAAACTTGCAATCTTCACTTTGTTTATGCTGGCTATAGCAGGAATGGCGTCAGGCCGTTTTTGTTATAGACGAACGTGTGTCCTAAGGACGCTGTTTTTCTACCCACAATGCTGCCTTGGCCGTCTTCATAAGCTGCCAGTACGAATCTGTTACTCAGCTTGGCATTTCTGTGGCCGCAAGCGGTCCGTTGGCCTGCAAGACGAGGTCGAAGTTGGTTTCTCGTGCGATTTCAAAAAGTACGACGGCAACAATGACAAATCGATTAGCCTTCAAGAGTTCAAGACAGTCACAGAACTACACGAAGATGGGAAGAAACTTTTCGAAGCAGCGGACAAGAACAAC